GACAACAGATCAAAATAATGTGAATTTAAAACAGTCCTTTCATAGTATAGGAATACCAAGTGTGTCTGCTTAATTTGGAAGGGAAGCAAGACATGGGCCATTTTGATTAAACAACAGTGCAGATAGAATGACCATTTTTTACACTGTGGAAGAGGGTAATGTTTTGTGATGCACTTTCAGCTCTGTATGTGGAAGGTAGTCATATTGTATTTCAACATCATCATCATCATAACCTCCACCAGTATGTGTTTGTCAAGAGGCAGGAACCACTACTGCAAGACTTCCTTTTCACTATTTATCATGCCAACACTATATGTTTAGACCTGTTGACGAGTGTCCATGAGTGAGTGAGTTATTATTTAACGTCACATCGGCAGTAAGTGTCCATGAGATATTGGTAACAGGTCTTGTAGTAATCCCAGTGTATGTGAGGAACTGATTACTGTATGATATTGAAACATTTATGGATTTCTAGAAGATTATTTACAAATAATTATCTATAACCCTTAAGAGTGATGTATAATGTTAAATAAAAACACAACTTCATATATCCTCTATAAAACCAGATTTACCTAATTGTCAAATTGATCTGTTATTGTTTCTGATCTACTTTCTTCCACAACAGCAGTAGGGTACAAAGTGGACCCATGTTTCATTTATCTAACACAGGGCAAACTTGAGATGCTGACAACATCCAGAAGCACTCATGAAAAGGGACAGTGATTTATAGATATTTGTTGCTTCTGTCCAGTTTACATCCCAATCCTGAATCCCATTTAACAAGTAGCCATGACTTATGACTTGTGCATCAACTATCACCAGTCAATGTTGGTTACAGGAATAGCACTCGTTATATTAGACAGAAACCAGCCATAGCACTGTTGTATCCTTATCACACAAACAACCGAACATTTCAGGGAAATCTATATACAATCAGTATCCTGAAAGCTACATAGCCTTTTGTGAAGTAGTCACTTGTGTATATCAACACATCCATCCTCCAAATCATTTGTGACAAATCAAGTTAATGCAATGATTAATATTGGTCACCTCAGACAAGCTCAGATTTAACATTGTTTCAGCATTATAACTGTTCTATTATCATGCAATATCATACACATATCATAATTGTCAAGATAGGAAAAAATCTAATTTGATCATTGCTAATCCCACAAATGCACTCTGGAATTTTGTAGACAGGTTTACAAGGTAGTAAAATATTTGGCTAAACACTGCATCCCAATCCAACAACTAGTTAGCATCCTTCCCAAGGGGTATATGGACTTGTACAGCTCAAGGCAACAGCTGTGAGTGTTGAAGTCCACATCACCTGCAGAGGTGATGCACTAACCAACATATACCTAGCTGGTCCACAGACTTGGTGAGTCTTACACAACAATGCAAAACATGATCAAAGGTTTGGTCCTCTCTCGTCTGAATCGAATGAACCAGCCTCAGATTGGTGCATGTGCAGTCTGTTATAAGGAATAATGGCCTGCCGAAACAATGGACATAATGCACCCTGAGGGTATACATTCCATATGACTCCTGATGCTGGACATTGAGACACCCTGGAATGTCCTCAAAAGGGAAAGATGAATGAAAGAATGTATGTTACAAATCTACATTTCCTTAAACAAAACAGAATCCACATCTCTCTGGTAATAGGTCTATCTTTACATGCAGCACTTTCCAGTTCCTTAGAACACATAAACACCAATAAAAGAATATGTTTAGGGAGACACTTGACTGGCATAAAACATTTGTACATCACACATGGTAAAATAGCTTTGCAACGGCATGAACAGTTATTACACCATAAACATGAAAGCCTCTGGTTTTATCATATATTATACATGCAGATACATTGCTTATGTTAATACGCCCACACCTTTATACCATATTTCTCTTGGGAATCTGTCATTTACTTCTGGGTTGGTGGCTGGGATTGAGAACTGGGCCGGTAAAGTCCTTCGAGATCAAGGTACAACTGACATGCATCCTGTACATCCCATATTGAACCCAGCTTCCTTGATTACTATGAAATCCAACTCAATATTCTGTTACTCTTTACTGTGCTAAATATATCAGCTGAACACGAATATATAATTTTATAAAATGTTATGAATGAATTGTAACACTGGAAGAAAAGGCAAGAAAGAGTTATCTCCCTTATACCAGTAGCTCTTTACAAAGTAATCAACACTGCTCAGAAGAAGAACGCATCCAAATTTTAAAATAACCAGCGAACACATTCTACAAAAACTACAATAATTATTTAGTAATTAAACATCAAAATATACTTGATGTCAAGTTCAAGACATCAAGCTATTCAGCAATTTCTATCTGGGATGAGATTCATGAAGAAAATGGATACATATTTAGGAAGGGTTAATGAAAGGACATTTGAAGGTTTGAGAAGCAGAACAACCCAAGGGAGACTTAGGTTGTTTTGACATAATAATACCCCACTAATACCCCATGTTGAGATATACATTGTCGTGAAATGTCACTTTGATACATTAATATTTTGCAGAATTACAGCACGTTGAATATGCATGATTTATGCAAAAAAGACATTAACTTCAGACCAGTTTCTTGTCTCTCCAGAAAACCAACAAAAAGGGACTTGGGTCATTTTGCTTGTCAACCCTTCCTTTGTGGATGTTCTACCATTCCAGCCACCACTGCCCCATACTAAACGACAGTACCTGACAAAGGCCTCATCTTTACACAGTACAGTTACTACAGCATCACCGCTACAGACAGACTAAACAGCTCTACATAAGGCAGCCTTAAGGAATAAGCACTTGATGTTAACAATTCTTACTGGACATCACAGATTTCATAAGGAACATGTCACCCCTACCTATGTGTACTGATATATTGTACATCAATACCATAACATTGCACCCAAGGTTAACACTGAAGAAATATAATCTACTTACAGATCATGCTTGTAAACTTTCCTAGATACTACAGTTTGCCCATCCTCGATAATCTCCAGGGTATATGTTACGATCACTCTCCACTATACCCTGGATGCATCCATGGCTTGGGGCGATGATTTTATTACCTATTACCCTGGAGATTATCGAGGATGCAGTTTGCCACGTGTACCCCTAACTCTCATAAAATATATTTGTTTATTTGCTTGTTTTTTTGTACAAATATATTTGCTTAATGTGGGATACTTTTATTTTTTACAGAAACATTTGTCAAAATATTTAACCATTACATCAACAATGATAAACATTTTAAATAATCTGTGACAGCCAGTCTGTCGGCACCAATCTGAAAGTCTTCAAATGTATGATCACACGCTTGCTCTGAACTATCTTCAGAAAACAAGTAAAGCCTTTATACTTAACAGCTAATGTAGGTGCCACCAGCTGTAAGTGTGGTAATCCAGCACTGACGGACATCATCTTGTCAAAAGACTAGAACTCACAAGGAAAGGGGAATTCCTCTCGAACTTGTAATGACAAGTTTAGAGAGTTCATATAACAGAAGAGGATTTGCTTTGGTTTCCATTTAATGCCTACATACACCAACTGCTTAGATATAAGGCTAAAATGTGCCTTAAAGGCCAACTGTAGAGGTATTTAAGACATGCCTTTCTTATATTTGACCATAACTGACTGACTGAGTTTGGTTTTACGCCGCTTTTAGCAATATTCCAGCAACATCACGGCGGGGGACACCAGAAATGGGCTTCACACATTGTACCCATGTGGGGATTTGAACCCAGGTCTTCGGCGTGATGAGCCAACACTTTGACCACTAGGCTACCCCACCGCCCCATTCGACCATAAGATATGGCAAAAAATTCATCTTGGTCATGAATAAGTTCCAGCGATACCTTTCATAAAACCTTTGAAAATAGTTCTGTATATATGAAATATATACTTCAAGTAGTTCAGAAAATGCCCTTGTCACACCTTGTATAGAACAAGTATATATGGATGACAACTTCTTTTATTCTAGAGCACGACATTTCGATACAGGTTCTTGTATCGTTTTCAAGTATCATTTTCATTCATACTTGAAAACAATACAAGAACCTGTGTCGAAATGTCGTGCTCTAGAATAACATCCATATATACTTGTTCTATCTGACTTCCAACTTCTATAATGCCACTCAAAGAAGTCACACCTTGTAATTTATGAGAATACACAGGTATTTTCACACAATAAAATACTGCACAGTAGCATGTATCAGCACAATCAAAACGTTTCCAAACAGCATGACTAAGTTCCTGTGCAGATGAGAAAACAATCTCAACATTGTTTGAAAACCTTGCTGCTCTCAGAAATTCACTCATTAAATCCCCTACCTCAGCCAACAGATTCTGAATGTATTGAAAAAACATGATATTTATAGACACTCTGCTATTATTTTACACCTTACACAGCCATATTGATTGTGATTACTAAGTAATTGCTATCAAACAGTTGAATAACTGTGCTATTATCCGTCAAACATGCAGTTACTTCAACACACCACAAATGAAGCTGTATCAGTTGTAATGGAGACAGTTGACATGGTTAGGACGCAGCTCCTGGAAGTACTTCCTATAGCCTCACATGCAGGAGAACTGCAGCTGGTGTGACTCACTGCTACACTACACCTACACCACCATAGAGAGGTTTGAGCAGGTAACCTACATCTCTCATATATGAAGGCAAAGCTTTAGAATAATCAACTTGTTGACAAATCCCAGACTGGAACCTATCTATCAACACGATTCTTAGATTACTCTCTCACAGATATAACAAGGCAAAACTTTAGAATAATAATCAACTTAACAAATTACGGAAAACTTTCTCTCTGTAACATGATTCTTATATAAATCTCTCTCAAAGATGTATCAAGGCAAAACTTTAGAACATTTAACTTGTTGACAAATCCCAGACTGGAACCTATCTCTCCAGAACATGATTCTTACTTGCAGTTGTATACTTCACTTGTTGACAAATAATATCCTGGAACCGATCTCTCTAGAGCAGGATTTATAACTATAAATGCTTTTACAATGTCTGAATACAGACTGGCAAAATGGCATCAGATGACATCCAAACAGTCTTCTACTGTATCACACCTAAGACACATCCTGAGGATGCCTAGATACAGACAGTATACAGTCCCAATAGTAGGACTTCGCAATTGTTGTCAACAACAATTTTTCACACCATGTGACAAGCATAAACTTGTTTATTAAACTCTTTGGTCTTTGTGGTCAGATGTTTAATTTTCAGATATCTACCCAACATGTGAAGGGCAATTTTCGAAACACAAAGACCAAGCTCATCTCACCTCCACCTGTTGGGAATTGAAACCCTTTGAATCAAATTCACAGTGGCCATGATCACTTCATTGGTACATCAGAGTTTGTCTGACAGAAATCGTACTTAATGAGATGTATAGAACACACATTACACATGGAGACTAAAGATACCCTCAAACACAGTGTGAAATATTTGTACATTATGCCCTCCCGTCACCGGGAGATTGTTGACAATGGCTCTGGTCATCACTGATTATAGTACATGTGTATGATGGTACTCCGGTCAAGGACCACGGGTGAGCAGAGTATGGTCAACCTGAAGCAGAGACAAGTTGACAGTGGCCCTGGTCGCTGATGATGTTGTACCGGTACAGAGTGGTACTTCTGTCTAGGATCACATGTGATCAGACATTTGACAGTGGCCCTGGTTGCTGGTGATGTTGTAGCAATATAGTGTGGTACTTCTGTCTAGGATCACATGTGATCAGACAGTTGACAGTGGCCCTGGTCGCTGGTGATGGTGTTGTACTGGTCTAGGGCGGTACTTCTGTCTAGGACTGCATGTGATCAGAGCGTGGTCCATCTGGAGAGCAGCCCGTCACAGAAGAGAATGTTCTGCGTGGGGTAGATGGCAGAGTGCTCCTCCTTGTCCTCTGGGACTCCTGATGACTCGATTTCCGATATCACAGATGGATTCTATACAAACAAATATCAATCATCAGTCAAATGCAAATAAGATCAGAGTGACAAGGCTGGGCTATGGTGAGTGGGTGAGTATGGTTTTGTGCCAGTTTTAGCAAGAGGTGAAAGTGATGTTGGTCAGAGACATTAAACTATTGATGGTCAAACATGGTCACATGGGTAGAGACCAGGGTGAGCTGTTAGGAGAGATGGGGTTTAATGTCAAATTCAAATATCTTAACCAATGCAGGGACAAGGATGTGACTGTTTGTACCTGTCTTGACTTATGCCTGTATTATACTGGTAGCCCAGATAAACCATGCAGTTTAACATGGATAACCCACTCTGACACAGGAGGATGAGTCCAAGCAATCGAGTCCTTGTTTTAGCCCCTTTATGGTGACCACTGGGCAGGGTAATTTCAAGTACCATCTCTTAGCTTCTTCGGCTCTAACCACTATACCATGGAGGAGGTCGGGTATGACAAGCCCTGGATCGGACCTACTGTTCTCTGATGAGATGCCCTACTCTACCAGACCATGGAGGCTATCTGACTGTGACTGTTGTGGTATTACTCTATGTCTGTTACCAGGGTGCCGTTGTTTAAAGCGATCTTAGCACTAAGGTGATCGTAACTCCCCCATACCTTAACATAGACTTAAGGTAGTCTTAGCTAAGGTGGCGTAACTCCCATACCTTTAACATAGACTTAAGGTAGTCATAGCTAAGATTGTTTTGTACAACAGCACCCTGGTCTGTGTTAGTTACTGTGTCTGTGTATGATTACACAGTGCCATTTAGAAAGTGGTCAAATGTTAACATATTACACTTTCTTAGTAAAGTACAGATTCTAGTAGTTTTCCCAGGCACCTAATCGCCAGTACACAAAGTCAGCTGCCTAACCCTGTCTGTGTCCATTAATTTCTATGTGTATAATTTACTGTGTGCAAGCAAGTTACTGTGTCTGTGTAATGCGTTACTGTGCCCGTTACTCTGTGTAAGTAACTGTGCCTGTTACTCTGTGTAAGTTACTGGTCAGTTACTGTGTACTACTGCGCCTGTTACTCTGTCTGTGTAAGTTACTGTGCCTGTTACTCTGTGTAAGTTACTAGTCAGTTACTCTGTGTAAGTTACTGGTCAGTTACTCTGTGTAAGTTACTGGTTAGTTACTCTGTGTAAGTTACTGGTCAGTTACTGTGCCTGTTACTCTGTGCAAGTTACTGGTCAATTACTGTGCCTGTTACTCTGTGTAAGTTACTCTGTGTAAGTTACTGGTCAGTTACTCTATGTAAGTTACTGGTCAGTTACTGTGCCTGTTACTCTGTGTAAGTTACTGGTCAGTTACTGTGCCTGTTACTCTGTGTGCTAACTGGTCAGTTACTGTGCCTGTTACTCTGTGCAAGTTACTGGTCAGTTACTGTGCCTGTTACTCTGTGTAAGTTACTGGTCAGTTACTCTGTGTAAGTTACTGTGCCTGTTACTCTGTGTAAGTTACTGGTCAGTTACTGTGCCTGTTACTCTGTGTAAGTTACTGGTCAGTTACTCTGTGTAAGTTACTGTGCCTGTTACTCTGTGTAAGTTACTGGTCAGTTACTGTGCCTGTTACTACTCTGTGTAAGTTACTGGTCAGTTACTGTGCCTGTTACCTGTGCAAGTTACTGGTCAATGACTGTGCCTGTTACTCTGTGTAAGTTACTGGTCAGTTACTCTGTGTAAGTTACTGTGCCTGTTACTCTGTGTAAGTTACTGGTCAGTTACTCTGTGTAGGTTACTGTGCCTGTTACTCTGTGTAAGTTACTGGTCAGTTACTCTGTGTAGGTTACTGTGCCTGTTACTCTGTGTAAGGTACTGTGCCTGTTACTCTGTGCAAGTTACTGGTCAGTTACTGTGCCTGTTACTCTGTGTAAGTTACTGGTCAGTTACTGTGCCTGTTACTCTGTGCAAGTTACTGGTCAGTTACTGTGCCTGTTACTCTGTGTAATTTACTGGTCAGTTACTGTGTAGGTTACTCTGTGTAAAGTTACTGGTCAGTTACTGTGCCTGTTACTCTGTAAGTTACTGGTCAGTTACTGTGCCTGTTACTCTGTGCAAGTTACTGGTCAGTTACTGTGTATGTTACTCTGTGTAAGTTACTGGTCAGTTACTGTGTATGTTACTCTGTGCAAGTTACTGGTCAGTTACTGTGCCTGTTACTCTGTGCAAGTTACTGGTCAGTTACTGTGCCTGTTACTCTGTGTAAGTTACTGGTCAGTTACTGTGCCTGTTACTCTGTGCAAGTTACTGGTCAGTTACTGTGCCTGTTACTGTTACTGTGTAAGTTACTGGTCAGTTACTCTGTGTAAGTTACTGTGCCTGTTACTCTGTGTAAGTTACTGGTCAGTTACTGTGCCTGTTACTGTCTGTGTAAGTTACTGGTCAGTTACTCTGTGTGTTACTACTGTCAGTTACTCTATGTAAGTTACTGGTCAGTTACTGTGCCTGTTACTCTGTGCCTGTTACTGGTCAGTTACTGTGCCTGTTACTCTGTGTAAGTTACTGGTCAGTTACTGTGTAAGTTACTGTGACTGTTACTGTGTCTGTGTCGGTTACTTTGACAGGCTTGCTGCTGAGACAGGGACATACCTGCCACTCAGTGATGAAGTCCAGGAGTCTGAGAGACAGCAGACGGCTGGAATGCAGCAGACCCTGGAGACTACAGAAGGAAAGACAAGGGGTTATTTACATCCTACTGTCACCATCAACACATCAACCAACATACATATCTGTGTCAACACTGGTCATGTTCAGTGTTTCAGTTCTTGCTGTGACAATACGTGTGTCAGGTCCAGATGTTCTATACAGATCAAATCAGGAGGACTCAGTTTGCAAGGGAACAATGACTTGAATATCAAGGATTCTGTCTTTCATTACACCAAGTGAGTGGTTGTGTGAGTATTGCTTTACACCAATATTCCAGCAATATCACAGGGTTCGATTTAGTGCTTTGTTACTTGCACTGGTGCAACCCAGTATTACAAAGTGCAACCTAGTTATGAGTCTAACAATTTTTGAGAAATAAATCAATGATGAATCTAACATTATAAGCATAAGTATGTCAGCTCATTTTTCTTCTAAACTTTGAATAGCTATGGCACCAAAACATTGCTATTCATAGACACGTCTCGGCTATGACAGCTCTTGAAAATAGATATCAGCTGTGTGTGTCTGTGTTGGTATGGTTTCATGGGTACTACATCACGGAAATATTTTTATGTGCACCGAAACTTCTGACGTTTTAAATACATTATGTTGCAACTGGAATTTGGCTGGTGCAACTAGGTCTTTATTGTAGGTTGCACCTGGTGCAAGTAGGTCAACTTCTCTGAAATCGAGCCCTGTATCATGGCGGGGGGACACCTGAAATGGGCTTCACACACTCTGCCCATGTTGGGAATGGAACCCAGTCTTCGGTGTGACGAGTGAACGCTTTAAGTACTGGGCTACCCCACCGCCCCATTACACCAAGTGAGTGAGTTAGTTTTACACTGCACTCGGCAATATTCCAGCTATATGGCGGCGGTCTGAAAATAATCGAATCTGGGCTAGACAATCCAGTGATCAACAGCATGAGCATCGATCTGCACAATAGGGAACCGATGACATGTGTCAACCAAGTCAGCAAGCCTGACCACCCGATTCCGTTAGTCGCCTCTTACGACAAGGGTTACTGAAGGCCAATATTCTAACCCAGACCTTCACGGGTACATTACACCAAGACAACAAATATTCATCATATAGTTACAGTCTCACACAAGCCTGATAATTCATCAACAGAATGAGAGTGAGTGAGATGTACTTTGACACTGCTTCACACAGTATTCCAGTCATCACAGCACGTAGGTTCAGTAGGTGTGGAAAGCCTGAAGTGATGCAGGTCCTAGACATTTATTACTGTGACAAAACCTGACAAACTTGGAAACATAATCCAGATTTGAATCCATATGTACCATAGGTTTCTAGCATGCCAATGGGACTTATAAATAAGAAACCCCACTATAAAGTGAGCCCACCGGATCCTCTTGGTCGCCTCTTAAGACAAAGATGGCTTGCAGAAGTCAACTTTAGTGGATCGAGTGAGTGATAAAAAGAAACAAATCCAACACATTTTGAAAACTGAAACATAAAAAATACAACATACCTTTCCTGTTTGAAAAGTCCCAAAGAAGAGATTTTATTACAAATGTCTTTGTTCAAACTAGTATCAAACAGCGGTATACCAAAGGAACAGTCCAGCAGCAGCCAGTCTCCCTCTGGTGGCTGGCTGCCCACTCCGTCCTCACTCATGTCCGTTAGATGCAGAGTCAATTTATCCTTCGAGGGCTTTGATGGAGAACTCTCCACACTGTCCAAAGCATCAATCTCGGATGCTAATACTTGTGCCGATAAGTCGTCTTTGATTCCATTGGTTGGTTTCTCCATGTTTTCACCAATCGAGGTCAAGGAGCATGACTTGTTTATTGGAGAAGCGAAGTGGTCATTGTATTTGCTGCATGTTTTGCCGGGCCTGATGAGAGTGATGAAGCCACAGGTGTGCACCAGGTCGATGCTGGAGGAGAGAGCTTGGACCACACGGTGACAGCTGTGGTGGGCTTTGCTGAGTGAACCTACGAGGATACAGACAGACTTGTTTCTTGTTTAATGTTGCACTTACCAATATTCCAGCTAAATGGCAACAGTTTGTAAATGATTGAGTTGGACCAGACAATCCAGTGATCAACATTATAAGCATCGTTCTAAGCAATTGGGATACAATGACATGTGTCAACCCAGTCAGCAAGCCTGACCACCCGATCGTGTTAGTTACCTCTTACGACTAGCATGGGATGCTGAAGACCAATTCTACTCCAGATCTTCATGGGTGGATACAGACAGATGTGTTTATGCATCATCGATAAGATACTGTTGTAGCATTTGACTTTACTCTCAAGGACAGTGCCTAACAACCTAGCATTTTGTTTCATGAATATATGCCAAATCATTGTTGATTTATTGCTTTGCCAAACCGACAAGACAAATAAATATGTAATTTTTCAAGTAAAATTGATATTTTTATACTTATCCTGACTCATGATCTTTTGTTTATCTCCCTTTTCTTTTCGAATGGTAGTGGAAACACTGGAATCACTTGAAGTTCCCGAAGCGGACGTAAAAATACACTCACCCACGAGTTACCTCCCTTTTTCCCTTTTCCCGGGCAAACCAGTCATGTGACCAGCCTTACTTGTCACTCTCTCCTGATTTTCTGCCCATGCACTTGGATCTGCTGTGCAATCCGAAGTGTTTCCAGCGGGGAGGTTGGGAGGGCTTCTCGTCATAAGTCAGGATAAGTATATAAATATCAATTTTACTTGAAAAATTTAATATTTTTTCTTATCCTGACTCATGATCTTTTGCTTATAGAATCCGACAGATTGGTGGTGGGTCAAGCCACTTCCTGGATTCATCAGCTGTCCTTAGATACGTCCTGTATCCCCCCCATGGGAACTGCGAAACGGCATTTCCGAGATCTTATTCTTCCAACTTCCGTTATAACTCGGGGGGACCACTTTCTTGTCTTACTTCAGTCTCAGACAAGTTGAATCATGTTGATTCATGTGGCTACAGATAAACTAGTATCTTCTTATTACTAGATATCTTATAACAATCCATAGATTATGATAAGATCTTTATCATAAATGAGTTGCAACCCCTTCACGTACAGGTAAGATCTTTACCCGTACAGGTGAGATTTTACAACTCAGCACCTTTGTGGAGCCGTTAGTAGCTGTGCTACAATGAGAGGCCCAAATTGGTGAATGCCTGAGATGTCTTCAGTGGCTATGTCTCGGAGGTAGTGGTTGGCAAACACCGTGTCCGATTTCCAAAAGCAGCCCTCCATAATTGCAGATATTGAGCAATTTCCATGCAGAGCCAGTGTTGACGCCAGTGCTCTGACTTCATGTGGGTTGGAAGCTCTAGGAGGTTCTAGTCCTGCTGCTTTATAGGCTCTCAATATGACGGCTCTCATCCAGAACGATATCGTCGTTCTTGAGACTTCTGCTGATGTCTCTGTGGATAATGGGATGAACAGGCACTTGAATTTTTGTCTCCTTGTCTTAGTCTTTTGAAGATATATCTCCAGGGCTCTGACCGGACACAAGGATAAGTCCTCTATATCCACTGGTCCGAGGATTGTAGATAGCGCTGGCACGGGGAACTGTCTATCTGGCTGGCCAGGTAGTTGGTTCTTGGCAATGAAGTCCCATCTAAGTCCTAGATGAACTGCAGCATGTTGCCCTGTGTCGAATCTGGTTCGACCAAAGTCCAGCGCATGTATCTCTGATATTCGAGCTGCCCTGACTAGCGCAAGCAGGAACAGAGTCTTCTGTGACAGCAGCTCGAAGGTAGTCTGGTCTAGAGGTTTGTAGGCATCACTGGTAAGATGACGTAGAATTACATTCAGATCCCAGGCCGGAGCTCTGAACTTCTTTTGCTGGTCCTCCAGTTTAAAAGATCTCAGCAGAGCAAGTAATTCTGGTACTTTCGTCAACTTGATGCCTAATTTCATGGTAATCACTGTACTGATGGCAGCGAGGTATGTAGATAATGTCAAACCTTTCAGATGTCTGGTCTGTCTAAGATGACACAGGTATTCCGCCACTTGAGGATGAGTAGCTTTCATTGCAATGAAGCCTTTCCACCTTGCATAAGTCTCAAAGTCACATACTGTGACATAGTCACAGTACTTTGTCCAAGTTTACTGCACGTTGCTGTACCCGCAACCAGGTGTTTGCACGTATTCATGTGGCCACCATCTGGTCATATACCAACGGATTCGTGGGTTCTTTTAAGTGCACAGGGTTGTGTACTGTACACTAGGGGCTGTGACAACACTGAAAGAGTCTGCACACAAAGTTGACTCCAAGGTTTTTACACCCTGTCACAGGTGGGCTCGATCCAGTCACCTCAAGCTCGCTGGATCACTAGCCTGGCGCTTTAGCCAGTTCGACGCCCACCGCGCCCCCATATAATGCCGTATATGGGACTCCAGTGCTCGCCCAACCATCCAAAAAGGCAGAGAGTGACAAGTAAGGCTGGTCACACGACTGTTTGCGCGGGAAAAGGGCAAAAGGGAGGTAACTCGTGGGTGAGTGTATTTTTACATCCGCTTCAGGAACTTCAAGGAATTCAAGTGTTTCCACTACCATTCGAAGGAAGGAAAGGGAGATAAGCAAAAGATCATGAGTCAGGATAAGAAAAAATAGAACCAAATTAAATATGAAGGTGGACTGTAAAATAGGAAGAGAAAAATATCCGAATAATCTATTTGTAAATGTTTCTATATTTGAAGTATCTACCTGTTTAAATTTCCTTCAACAACGTACTGGTACAATTTTCAAACCACCATTAACATCAGACACAAATTTGACCCTTTTTCAGAGTGAGTTTAGCTCACTTTCTTTTAACCATTCAGAAATATTCTTATTAGGTACAACAATTTTCCAGAACATGTTTGTATATTTTAATTGCCTGACATTACCTGGTTCATCTTTCTTGAGAGGGAAAGGTATCTGCAAGGTTTCTCCATCATTCATGTAGCCATGACCCTAGGAAACAGACACACAAGGAATTACGACACACACCAACACATTTCTTCATACCTAACACACTTATAAAACAAAAAGGCAACCAACATACACTATTTTTCCAAAAGCAAACGTCTGAGAACAATGTCTCTGAAGTGTTACAGTAAGCAAGCTGATGTTACCTGTACAAAGACTGCTGAATGTGTGAGAGCATCATTGAGAGTGAGGAGAATATTGGAGGTGGCGATGATGCCCGGATCATGTCCCCATGTCGTCACCAGTAGACGCTCATATCTCTGAAATAAGAAATCTGGCACTCACTACACTAATAGTTTAAAAGTTCTGGAATGTATTTTATAATTCGGTGACACAAAATGTAATTAATCGCTTAGCACTGCAAATAATATGATACTATCAGAATAAAACGTTTCACCATCCTTAACATGACCTCCACTTACATTTGCTCAGAGTCAGTGCTACAAAATCATCAATTGCAAATACTGATCCACTAAGAAAACAGAGTTTAGGAAATAATTTTCAGTGAACTGAAAGAAAACAGAGAAGTTGGTATGTGGTAGAGAGGCATGAAGGCATCACATGTTTGTCTGACTTTGAGTCCTCATTCCTATTGTCACACCTGGACACAAACTTCCCCTCACTTGCTACTGATTAGAGTAAAAACTCCACTATGCTTTTTAAAAGTTTTTCAGTTAATATGATGATTGAGCATCTCTGCTAGAGGAGGGAGGAGTGTTACCTGGAACACTGCAGGTAGTTTACGGAGTTTCGTGCCCTTCACAAGTAGCAGAGAGGGGGGGCCACAGCCAGTCTGGTGGTACAGGTACAGCTTGAACCACACCGAGCTCACCTGGAACAACACAAAGCTGCATTGTGAACACACAGTGCTAATTTCACATTATAATACATATGTTACCAGTGATATGTATAAAATATGTGTAAGTGCTTTGAATAACATGAATAAATATGCAAATAGCATTTCAGAAACCTCTAATCCAAATACAGGAGAGTTCTGGTATCTGACACAGTAAAAATTAGACTAGAAGGAGAAGAGTTCTCTCCCTTCAATCATGCATATTGATAGTGTTTAAAAACAGAGCATAGGTGAGGAGTTGTGTATCGTAAATACTTGCATTCTATTTTAAACGGTAGTCGACACAGGTAAGCTTACCAGAAACAAAATCAATGCTGACAAAAAGACACTTTATATAATATTTGGAGAGGCCAAAGATTCTATATCGCTTTTGCAGTTGGTATTGGACTTTTGCAACCGTTTTTGCTTAAAAGACCTAACAAGTTGCCAATACTGCCTGGGATCTACTTCTGAGATGCAGGAAGAAGAAAGCCAGGTTTCAGCATTGTTGTACTGCTTCTCACCTCTGGAATGGCTGGTCCTATATGCTGTGGCACACAGCTGCTGACTGGGCGGATCTCGTTACTCAGCGGAGCCATAGACACCAGTAGACTATTTATTATAAACAATATCTCACTGTTAATTCAACAGCTTACAGTTTACCATTACAAGATGGTAGACCATTGACATAAGTAAACATTAATGAGTCCACCCAAAAAAACTTCAAGAGTTAACAAAATCAAACTGTTAACCTCTATATTTGGATAAATCTAATTCTAAGATGGTGACAGTTTTATTTAGGTTTTACGTATTACAGTTCATTACGTACATTGTTAGCAGCACACAACTAACACTCTCTGTGTATGTGAGTCTGTGCATGTGCTAGTGCATTTGTCTGTGTGTGCATGTTTGATGTCTGTTTATTCGTCTGCCCCACCAACTCCCACCCCCACCCTCCCATATCGGTTTATCTGCCTGTGTGTGTCTGTATCTGCATGTCTCTCAGTGTACCTGTAGTTTTTGTTGAGCACCCTGGCCCTGGTGGCTGGCTCCAGACTGAGAAGACTCTCACATCTCAGCAGGTCAATGCCCTGACCGTTCACACTGTCTGTGTCCTCACACAGGATCTTGTTGTGACGCAGGAAGTGGATCGTGTCACGTAATGTCAGGGCATGATCGAAGTACCGTCTTGCTTCACCTTCAGCATCGGAGCCGACCTGACAGGGAAAATAATAACTGACTGTGAAACCCAAAGATACCATAGCAAATATAATTCTAGAGAGGTTGTTGTTTGACGTCCACAATATTTCAGTTATATGACATCTGTATGTAATCAAGTCCAGACCAGAGAGCCAAGTATGAGAAATGATCCAGGCAGCAGGGTCATGATGACCGCAATCAATGAAGTCACCAAGCTAGACCATCTGATGTACATAGTTACCTCTACAACCTATAATCATTCAGGTCTATGCATTAAGTGCAGTAGTGACAGTAGTAATCTATGATCAAAGTGAGAGTCTCGATAATTGTAGCTCCAACATTACTAAATAGTAGACTCTTAATTATACAGTAACAAAGACATCAATCAATTTGAAACATGTGTCAAAGAGATTGTATAGATTATAATAAAGACACATTACACCACGGACATACCTTTTCCAGCTCGGAGAGAAAGCTATCCATGGACTCATCACTGAGTTTCCCAACTTCAAACATGGTGACAGCATGGCTCTTCAGACCCTGGATACAAACCATGTACCATTTAACGGTAAACCTTGCTGTCACTCTCAAAGTGAGTGAGAGAGTGAATGAGTGCAGATTGATACCAGAAGGGTTACAAGAAATGGTTGTCAAACATTGTAAACATGTGGGGAAAAATTAGTGTGACGAGCAAATGCTTTAACCAATAAGATTCCCCAGTGCTCTGTTGACACAGCAAAAACTCTTATAATGCCCATGAAAGAGTGAGTGAGTGAGTTTGCTTAATGCCGCTTTTAGCAATATTCCAGCAATATCACACTCACAGCAGGGGACACCAGAAATGGGCTTCACACATTGTACCCATGTGGGGAATCGAACCCAGGTCTTCGGCGTGATGAGCCAGCACTTTAACCACTAGGCTACCCCGCCACCCCGCCCCCTGAAAAAGCAAGTCTTTTATACTGATTAAATTATATATGTCTGAGACTAACCGGAGACAGGTTTCCCATCATCAGGAATGCTGTGAGGGTGGAGTCGAACAGGAAGGCTATCCTCTTGTTCTGTCCCGATGTTTGGTTACTCTGTTCTGGGAACAACATAAAAAAATATACATCAAGCCACGGGACAAAATAATGACAACATTTTCAACTTGTCGTAGCACTCAACAGCAACAGTGAACTGTCTAATTTGTAATCTTAAACCTTAATGATTATGATATGACAAATAAAAATGACACTTGTCAGGGTAATCATGATCTAATTTCACAGACAATTTCAAGAAATTGTTCACAGTATTAGTTTGTAGTAGGGGGGCAATGAATTCACTAATGTTTAACATCAGGGCTCCAGATAATTATTATGACTCGGGGGTATATAATCAATAAAAATTGAGGAGTAAAATACCAAATGGAAATAAAAGGAACAGTATTTCACAGGTAGCATGGTTTTATTACTTTTCCTTGCTAATTGAAACAGTTTTCCTTTAAAAAAGCTCGACAAGTTTCTTTGGGTTAGTCATTGTTACTGCAGACGACAGGAAATATATGACAATGCGGGTTGAGCGCATTAAATGTTCTCCTACGCTGGTTTAAGGCCATCAAGTAATCAACAGTAGCCTCAAAGCTGTATTATTGCTGATACTGACCGGAAACATTGTGATAGTGACGCTGTTTAAAGGCTAGCTTTTAAACAAATTGTGAAACGAACGTGAATTAGAAATATTAACAGAGATCAAACAGACAAACTTGACAATCTTCGCTTCAATACAGACAACCAACACTATTCGAGTTCTTAAGATCGGATGTGTAGGACTTAAACAATATTTTGACAGGTTTGGTTCATGCATGTAAACAAAATCTTACTCCTATTCTGAGAAAGTTATGCATATCTTTCACTCATTAATTCGACTTTTTATGCGTATATCTGAATTATCCATGCATAATTTACACAGATACGCATCTATCTGGAGCCCTGTAACATTCAGTAATCATGGTAATTTAACAACTCCTCATGCTTTAACTTAAACCTTCATCACTGTCACATCAAAATGTTTCAAGAATAAATTTCAGTATCAGACCAAAACCTGGGTGAGTGGGGTGTTGAGGTACAAACCTACCTATTGCACTTTCAATGGAGGATGCATCTGCATTGGAGTTGGAGTTGAGGTTATCGGACTCGAAGTGATCACTGACTGTCAGATCAACGTCCATTGCATTGCTCAGGTCAATCAACAAATCCTGACTAGATCTGCAATGAGGAAGCAACAACTATTGGACATTGTATGAGAACAAGCATCAGTGTTTCCATTATCTGGTATATACCGGACTCTGACAGGTACAAAGTTTGAATGTCTGGAATTTTCTAAGGCTGTCGGTCATCATGTCTGGCAAATTTTAAAATCAATTTTGTAATTACCTCTGTCAATTTTATTTTTCCTCGAAAAAGGTTAAGTTTTCATAATGACATTGAGGTGTTGTCAAACAAAAAATAGCAGTTTTGGAAAACCCCAGGCTAAAAATAGTGGCATTGAAGCATTGTAATAGCTTCTACATTTCTGACTGGTTGTTAGGGTGCAAGGTCTCGCGCACACTGAAAAGCATGATTACTTGACCAGTTAAAATGACCAGTATTTCAAATGTTAGCCGGTCGCAAAGCCAGCGGAAACACTGAAGCATGGTCTGTGACCTACCAAAAGTATGTCATTACATGCAAGGTTTCAGTCATAATCAGCCAGTCTGATTGTACTGAGAGAAGAAATGTGATGCCAGTTGTAGATGTTTAACACTGGTAGAACTAACTGTGTGTTGGCAACACAAGGATCATTTTAAGTCTGAATCTCTAATTTCAACCTACAAGTGGTGTCAGAGACCATATAATGGACACAACTCTGTTAAGCAGCTGTAACTACCAGCCCATAAGAAGTACAATAGCAGGAATATTACCTGAAACAATTCAAAATCTGCAGTACTTACTTATTAAACACCTAAAATTGATTCTGTTTTGGTTACCCCATATATATATATATATATTAAATTTAAACATATCACTGAAAATAGCTTAACTCACATCAACAATTGCAGAAAATCATAGAAAATGTGCACACAGAATACCAAAACTTATGATATCAATAACCTTCTAAATTTTTCAGATGAACACATCCCAAATCTCCCATTGCTTGCTTTAGTGCTTGGATAATGTGGCAGTCTCAGACAGCATAGCAGATTCAGATATCCACTCTGATACGTCTATTTGCCAACAATGCATGGTCACATAACACAATGACTAAGAAAGACATCTAGAAGTCTCCCCATTTCTTACTTCTGCATAACTGGGGTCTTAGCTGTCTTGGGAGCTTGTTGTGTCCAGGAAGGGTGTACTTCGTACGGGTTGAGGTCAATTGTTTTCTTCTTAGCAAACCCTAGTCTACAGTACATAGACACGGCATTCTGAAAACAGGCATTCTACATGTTAGCATTTCAAAGTCTTAAGAAACAGACACTGAAGATGGAAGCAACAGATTTATGTCTGCCAACTCCATAACAAATGTAGGCAATCTTTATCAATTTATCACAAAGATTAGTTTTTCAGATAGAAGAAAATGTTTAACACAGTGACCATTTGTTACCTAAGAGTTAATAGACTAAGTAAACAACCCATGGAGATCCAGGTTAGAAATGGTCTTCAGCTACCCATGCTTGTTGTAAGAAGCAACAAATGAGATCGGGTGGTCAGGCTCGCTGACTTAGTTGACACATTGTATCCAAATTGCATAGATCAATGCTCATGCTGTTGATCACTGGATTGTCTGGTCCAGACTCGATTATTTACAGACCGCCGCCATATAGCTTAAATATTGAGTGCGGCGTTCAATAAGAAACAAACACACAAAGTGAAGTAAACATGTTATAATGATGAAGAAACAAAGATTTCTGGATAACCCAAATCGAGATGGTAATGATTACATTCTAATGTTTCAGCAGACAAAGACATTGGGTGAGAGTCGTTTTATGCCACTTGTAGCTATCTTCAAGGAAAATCACAGGTGGGGACACAATGTTCCCTTGTGGGTAAAAACCATACACTACTTGCTCACCTTTACTAGTTGGAGATCTATCTGTAGAACACTGGCCAGCTGGGAAACAAGCACAATAATCATAAGGTAAAACAATCTTGAAGTTTTATGTTTGTATTCCCAGAACTGTAAACATTTTAGGCCAAATGTGTGTAGGACAGCAATTATTCAAACGAACAAATGTCTGAATCATGTTTTCTTTCTAGCTCGTAATTGTTTTAATGATGTAAAACCTTCATGTACAACTTTCAAAGACAGAAGCAATAGAAAACACAGAGAAATTATGAAAACAAATTGTGTGAAATTAGCAATTTCCATCTTGATAAATAATCATAGGTAGTGGTTATAGACCATGTTCTCTGTTTATTTACATCACAAGATAATGGGATTGGCATACCTCAGAAACAGTAGTGTGTTCATCTATAGACACAAAGATCTTGTACAACAACGTTTCAAAGTAGTCCCCTAGAACTCGATTCATCACAAACCCTTCCAGAGGAGGCACTGAAATGCAACACAACACACTATATTGTACTATGTTGTTCTCCACTTCCTTCAGCAGACATGTAACTTTAACACACACAATCTCTGATACTGAAAACTACGTTTCCATCAAGTTCATATTACATGTATCATTACTATCAATGTAAAATGTTGCAGGCATAAACAATCATTGATTACTGATGCTGGCAACAGTCCCCACCATGGCAACTTGCACATCATCCTAAGTTCTGAGTTGTGTTCTGGTAGTGGTCATTCTACCAAGTACCATTCACACTCTGCAGACATTGTGAGTGAGTGAGTGAGTGAGGTTTTACACTATTCTTAGCAATATTTCAGCAATATCACGGCATGGGGCACCAGAAATGGGCTTCACACATTGTATCCATTTAGGGAATCGAACCCAGGTCTTCGGCTCTCCTGATGTGCTTTAACCACTAGGCTACCCCACAGACATTGTGACCAACCAGTCCTCGTGTTAATGGGGATTTTCAATCATATCATGAGAAACTGGTGATTTATGGAATCATCCTAGCTAATCATGTTAATCAAAGTCCTTCCTGATTCCACACCAGCCAAACACTCTTCAAGACCTACCTATGATACAATCCTCATCTGCCATAGGAACATCTAGATACACCAGCCCCTTCCTATACAAACCTGAAACATAATATCACAAAGAACATTTACTCTGGAGGCAGTTAATGTTTCAAAAGCAAGTGATCAGTTATTGCAAATACTAATAACACCCATTGCATGTATAATCAGTGTTGATCAACTAGTCGATGTTCTTTGATCTGTTACCATGGTTACTCACTATGTACAACATCTTTATCCTGGTCCCCTGCTGTCTGTGGACCGCTGTCAATGATGGAGTCTATCACAGTCTTCTCTGGTTGAGCACACATCTGGAATGATGTGGCATCACAAACTGAGGTAAGTACAGCATAAGACAGATAATGTAATTTCAAACATGACACACTCAAACGTTTGTCCCAAGCATACCATCAAACCCCAGAACAACCCCAAGGTACTAATCTCCTCCCAACTTTCATCACGTCCAAACAAGCTGAATGTTTACTGTACCTTGATGTCATCTTCTGTGATGTAGCCTGTGTTCACAATCCACCAAGATTCAATACTCGCTGTCTCCACTGGCTGGACAGGTAACAACTCTCGAACTGGTTTCTTACGGAAGAATTTCTGCAACACACAGCATCATACATGTTTCAGACTCAGGGATAGACATGCAATTTTTTTAAAGGGTGCCGCAGTGTACCAGACAGATTATTTAGGTGTGCTTTTGTGAAAATAAATGTGCTCATACTTTTGATGATCCAATTAAACTTAAAACATCCCAACAATTATGTCATCTCAATTTATTGTTAGGGACCATTCATAATTTATGGCTACTAGGGGTGGTGATGATATTTATGGACAAAATAAGTGGACCCCCTCCCTTGCATGTCATGTACAAAATCAATGACACCCCCCCCCTTCCCATAATTTCTAAGCATAATTTTAAACATAATCTTATATACAAAATTGCTGACCCCCCAGCTCCCCAGAACAAAAATGGGTGAACCCCCTTAGTAAAATCATCATCACCCCACCACCACCCCAAACCCCAACCCACCCAACCCCTGCCATAAATTATGAACAGTCCCTTAAATAAACCAGTAAACATCATGTAAACCTGTAAACTTGAGAGCAGGATTTCCTAAAGACTGTCAAGAGTGTTCAGCTTCATTTGTCCTGGACCCATACACTAACCCACAACTACGTTATCAACCAAAACAGGATTTCCTGTTATGCACACTGGCATTCAATATTGCCCCACTTATATTAGGCTGTGATATGTAGAGTGCCACCGATAAACAGTTTGATGGGTGCAAAAATAGGTTTAGAATCATTTCAGTTGGTCAAATTTATAGCATTTTGCATTAAATGGTGCATGTTATTCTGATAATTTTAGTCATGCCACCAAGGCAAATCATCCATGCCATGGCATGCAAATTAAGCCCTATTTTGATCCTTGGGACTGAATTATATTTCATGAGCTAATAATTCATGGAGAAAAAAAATTAAAATTCAACATAAAAATGGTGCCTGAAGTATAATTTTTAACAAAAGTCATTATTTAGTTTACCTTCTACTCTGCAACAGCAATATGTCAGGGATACCATATACAGGGACAAGTTTACAGAATATTCTTCCAATGTGAGACAGTATCTTAATAAGAGCATTCAGTGACACCTTCCTACCTTTGATGACCTACACTGGTTCATGAGATCAATGTACTGGTTGCGGCCAATACCTAGAAGTCTCAGGCCTGTATAAAACAGAAATTGAATAGTTTTACTTAAGCATCCAACTCTTAAAAGTCCAGCTATAAACACAACCAGAAGGAATCAACCACATGTCTAACTTAATATGCTTAGGTGACAATCCAGACATATGGACAAGAGACATTACATTTTTAAGATTTTCTCATAAATTAAGTTTTCATGGCACCACAAAAATGGTCAACAGTTGTGTTTGCATGAAACATACTTCGCATATTTAATGAGCATGATAATGTAAATAAAGAAAATAACACATGACGTAGCAATAGTGAGTGAGTGATTTTGGTTTTACACCGCTTTTCGCAATATTCCAGCAATATCAAGGTGGGGGGACACCAAAAATGGGCTTCATACATTGTACCCATGTGGGGCATCAAACCTGGATCTTCGGCATGACGAAAATCTAACAACTAATAAAATTTGGTCTTAGAAGAAAAAGTGTTTAAAAGATCAAGCTGATCTTAATTTCCACAGAAAATGTTTCAGTTTAAACTTCCTTCTACTCACAGTCTGCGGCAGTGAAGTTAGGGAGGGAGTCGTAACTCTTCTCCTGTGTCATGATATCCTGCATCATATTGGTGTAGTAGATGAATGGGGAAATCCTCAGTCCTTTCACCACTACATCAGACAGGTGGTAGGGGTACAACATTAAGTGATCCCGGCTGTACTGCAGGAGGTCCTCAGTAGTAACGACGCTCATCCTTTCGTATATGCCGCACTGGAATTATAAACCACAAATTATTATCGTAAACCAAGATCATTTCTGCATATGAAATCTGGGATAAAAATAATCTCAAGGTGATTAGACTCAGGAAGTTTCACTGATGGTAAAGGTATTCTTAGGGCTGGTAAAATTTTGAGCATTTTGGAGATGTTATCAGTAGTCAAGCTAGTAGACTGTCCAGTTTAATTTCCATTGCACTTATATTTGCAGAAATTATCACAATAATCCCTGAAATTGGTCATGTGTACAAAATCTCATTTCAAATTCTTTATTTACATGATATACGTTTAGAGTTTGTTCTTATGAGAAACTGACAATCATTTAACTACAAAGCATCATGATTATGCTGACCATGAAAACAACTGTTGCTGGTATATTATCTTGTTTAAACACAATCACATATAAAACTGTTTCAGATGACAAATCATCAAAATAATCAGGCTTATGATTCCAGTGCATGTCACTTAGTTATACACAGATATAAATCATGAGAAAAATATAGTTACCAAGACTTCCTTTGTATCGAAGCTGATTTTTAACACTAAAATTCACAACTGCCTTGTCATACTCTCTTTGAGAATTCCCAAAACTCTGAAAAAGAAAGATATCCACTTATGAAATATACAACATCAATATTATCACATTCATTAGCTGAACAACGTAGTGAACAATGTAGGGCAAATAATAACCATGATAACATACACAAATCATGACATACACATTTCTTGTAAGTTGTATCGTAAGATATGATTAATTATCCTTACAAAATATTTTGCTATCTTCTGTTTTGCTTAATCATCATAGTTGAGATATCATTTTTGATAGTGTCACTGCCATAGCACTTAAAATGTTAGAATCAGGTCATTTTTAGGGAGACAAATGATATCAAAATTCTTAATGACAATTTTAATATTAATATTAACATCACATTTTGATACAGCATTTATCAAATATGAGTGAGTGAGTTTAGTTTTACGCCGCACTCAGCAATATTTATAAAAATCTGTAGAGGTTATGAATTCTTTGAAGAAAGTCCTCCTTGGGGTACATATAAGCATTTAAATGTCCATTTTAAATCCTACGACAGTTGTAACTATATTTTTTCAATAAAATATTTACAAAACAAAAAACTTGTTTTGTCTTGTGAGACCACCCCTACAGGGCCCCACCGGACCCCCTACAGCCAAGAGCAGGTAACTCTCGCCGTCTACCTCGTACCTCACTTTTCATGCTGAACGTGTCAGACAGAATGAAGGGAGGCGGGTGGGCCGTACCCCAAGGAGGACTTTCTTCAAAGAATTCATAACCTCTACAGGTTTGTATAATTCTTTTTCAGAGGAAGTCCTCCTTGGGGTACATATAAGCATATGACAGACTCCCAAAGATATTAGAGATGGGAGTGGCATTCTGTCTGGCAACAACTAAACCCGTGGTGGAGTGAAATCTACAACCAATACGGAAATAGAAAAAACACACTTACCAAGACACCTGACCGCTGATGTCAATCAGGCGGGGGGTGGCTAGGGCGGGAACTAGAGAGTCCAAGCTTATACGTCAATTGGTTCAAATCAATTATGACATAAAACCCCACCCCCAACCATTACAATGGAAAGGAATGTATGGGGACATGCCGAAACAACTCCCAACCCTAATATAGCTCCAACCAGAGAAGCGTGGCGAGAGGTATAAGGGTAGGGAAAGCGTAAAAAGAGTCGAGCTAATAAGTACTGCAAACTAATGCTCGAATGCACCCCTCCTGTTTGGAAGAGGGCTTGCCGGGACCTCGATAAAACCCAGAGAAATTATTAGCCTCGCTAAAAACTTTCTGGGGAAATCGAACGAGTACAAACGCCATGCATTGTATGAGTGAAAAACAGGATAAAACACCCCCACCAAACACTCTCGGGTGTGAGGAGGGTAAGTGTTGATCACCATCCAACAAAGTGCTGATGAACACAGACTCCCAAATACCGAAGTCTCAGGAAGGCGGAAAAAGCGGTTAGCGTACAAAATCCCTGAAAAGGTTAGAACATGTGTTGGCTCAAAAACTAACCTGAATACCTGCGAAAAGCATACCAAACCGAACATGTGTTGGCTCACTATTACACTAACAAGTCAGTAATGGCGAATGAAGGGTTCTGCCGGCTCCAAAGAACCGACAGAACCGATCTCTTCATTGAGCAGTGCTTGGTCAGGGTGGTGTACCCTTGCCAACAAAGCGGCATCTGCCCTACGTGTCAAGTCTGGCCTTCAACCCCTCGGGAAGGTGCCAACAAACCATCTAGCAGTTGCCTTCAACCTCGGGAAAGGTAAACCTTAGCATTATAACCGAACAATTACGGAAACAAGCCAACGAGATAAAGTCTGTTTGCTAGCAGACTCCCCAGTCTTCCCGCCACCAAACAGAACACATGGGTACCCGTATGGATCCCTTTCGTTCGTTCATTACAGTCATTATGAAATCCCCCTATCTGCACACCAGCGCGCCCCACCTATCAAAACACTAAACGGGTTCGAATCCCGGCGTTCCGGATCGAACACCAACCTGACTGCTGTCAATTCCAGCACATTGATGTGCAGGTTGTGACTTCGTCGTCAAGAGACCGCAGGCCGCCCAGAACATCGCCCCAACCCGGCAGGGATGTATCTGGCTGGACTGAGAGCGACGGTGTCTCCAGGGGGAGCCTCTCGGAGAGACGCCTGACGTCTGTCCATCTGACTGCGTGAGGTTGACAATTCGGCCCAGTTTCGTAAGAGTGACCAACACTGATCGTGAGGTTCCCAGACTCAACAGTTATTCCCAAACCACGATGAGCCAGTCGCCTAGGTACGGGTGAGAACACCGGCACTGCGATCTGGCTAACTGGGCTGTAATAAACCTCAATTTGGTGAACACCCTTGGCGCCGTAATGTAGCCTAAGGGGAGCACACGAAACTGGTAGCACGTCCCGTCGAACAAGAACTGAAGGTAAATCTTGAAATCAGGGTGCAATGGAACAAGGAGGTACGCGACCTCGAGGTCGATTGATGTGCTGCAATCCCCTGTCTCGACAGATGAGATCACCCAGCGAGGTGTCTCCATCTTGAAGGACAGTACCTCTATTAACTTGTTCAGCTCTCAGATGAGAATGGGTCTGAACATTCCGTTCTTAATGGCAACGAGGAAATAAATGGAGTGAAACCCCACATTTTCCTGACCATTGGAAACCACCTCACTGGTTGCCTTGCCCAGCAGAGACTGGATCTCGGCCCGGAGTATTTTCACCGTCTCCCGGAAAGCCGACACTGGCGTGCGTCGCTCCGACCGGGGTTTGTGGCAGAATACAGTAAACCCCTGAAGTCGGCAACATAACGTTTGCCGGTGCCTGGGCACCTGGGGAATTAACGAGAAGCTCGACAGACTTCCGTATTCCTCGAAACAGTCCCGGGCACCATAGGCCCATAACCCAACTCATCATTTGGCTGGCACAGCTACAATGCAGTCCCTAGCCAGATGAGAGTTGACCTCCGTCAGATGCCGCCCAGAGTCACTGATGAAAAATCACCGGCGCTCTTTCCCCTTTCCACCAGCTCCCTCAGCAGAGATGAGAGCTGCGCCGAGTGGAGCATACAACGGCAGACTGACGGTAGAGTGTGACGCCTTGTCCCGGATGCCTTGCTAGAAGCAGGCTTCCCTCCGGCAGGTGAACTCCAACAGTTCGGGTATTCGATGTGAACAACACCTGAGGCAACACAGCCACGATTCTATCTCACACTTGCCTCAGGGACGAACCTACTTAGTGGTAAGTTCAAAGTAGCGAAAAGAGCCGAAGCTCAAATCGACTTGTCCACTGTACGAGCCTGAAGCCCGGTTCCGAGGCACATGGGAGAAGCCTGATAAATCAAGGTATCCCAAGCACTCAGACAGACCTCGGAGCATCGAGGTGACCGATATATATATATATAAGTGCTCGGGTCGGCGGTTCGAGTTCGAACCCCGATCCCGAAACACCTGGGAGCAGCCTGACAATGCAGGGTTCCCCTGGTTTACACGGGTAGACCTTGGTGCGTCGAGGTGATCGGTATCTCCGTCACACTCAACAGCCTCTTGGCCTGGGCGTCGATAGATATCAGGCCGAGACCTGAGCTATCGGCGCCGGGGATCTGCGCCATTCCAGGGCCGAAGCCCGGGTCGGGGCTAGTCCCCAGGTTTAGAGAGTCCAACGGGTCCCGAGACACATGGGTGTAGCCTGGCAATGCAGGGTTTGTACACGGGTAGACCTAGGGTGCGTCGAGGTGCCGGCAGGTCACACTCAACAGCCTCCTGGCCTGGGCGTCGATAGACATCAGGCCGAGACCTGAGCTACCGGCGCCGAGGATCTGCGCCATACTGGGGCCGAAGCCCGGGTCGGTGCTAGTCCCCAGGTTCAGAGCGTCCCCGGAGCCGAAGCTCGGGTCCGATCGTCCCCGGGAGGTCGGACCCTTCCCGGAGCCAGAGCTCGGGTCGGGACCTCCTCAAATTGATGCACCGATGCAACCTCTACCCGTAGACTGGGTACCAATCTCCTTTCGGAGTCTGGAAACCACGTCTGAGATAAGAGCATGCACCGACGATCTCCGCTGCTGCTATAAGTAAAAAATCAATCGTTAGTGTAGCAACATTGTTTGTGGGGGAGACGTAGGGGGGGGGGCAATAAAGGGATTTCCTTAGAAACCTTTCATCAAATATTATCCCCAGCCTGAAGCAGATTAGTGAAAAACATCAAATCTGTGTGCCTGAAAGAATGCGCATGAGGCGCAGAAACCCAGGCAAAAAACACAACCTCGGCCACTATGAGCCACATCGTGTGTAAATGTATGAAATGTGTATATGTGTAACATAACACAACATAATGTAACAGGAATATTGACGCAAGGGCGCTTATTATGAACATCCTTGAGCGTCGTGAGCGTCCTCGGCTAAACACCGGAGGCACACCTTATGACCATCCTGTGGCGGCAGTGTGCACGGCACAATGCACAGGGCTTAAACTGCACGCCAGTGTTACTAGCAAGAACTGTGAGGCAGCAAACATATAAACACAAGTAAATAGCAATAAATAAAACGCACGGGTGATATTTAAATGCTACAAGCTACAGCAATTTAAATACTAAACATACAATGCAAAGCAGAAAAAGGCTAGCCGCACCTGCGTGTACATGCTAGCAGGGAGACTATATAACTCTATGTTGTAGATTATCCCTGATACTAATGAGTAAAGTTGAGTGATACGAAACGAACACTATCAAAATTACTCAACGACTTACCACCAAATTCGCTGAAAAGAGAGAGAATTTAGGCAAGCCTACCATATAATATGCAAACATAATATATGAACTCCCTACTACAAGCTACCAAGAACATGTAGCAAGGAAACCACGAATGCGTGGTCCGCCATTTTGCCTGCCACAAGGCTGGAAAACAGAGAACCCACGGCAAAGTTACAACAAAAGATGAATGAGAATATCAACATATGAAGTCCATCTGACGCCTGTGCGTAAAGAAAGGAACCATACATACAGATTGAGACTCTTTAACACTCATCGTATCGGTGGGAGAGCAATCTCGAAAGGAACAGCACGCACGTCTATTCAACAGGACGACAGCATGAAAAGTGAGGTACGAGGTAGACGGCGAGAGTTACCTGCTCTTGGCTGTAGGGGGGCCGGTGGGGCCCTGTAGGGGTGGTCTCACAAGACAAAACTCACAAGACAAAGTTTTTTGTTTTGTAAATATTTTATTGAAAAAATATAGTTACAACTGTCGTAGGATTTAAAATGGACATTTAAATGCTTATATGTACCCCAAGGAGGACTTCTTCTGAAAAAGAATCCAGCTATATGGCGGCGGTCTATAATTTATCAAATATGAAAACAATCATTAGAACAGTATGAACGAAAATCAATGTCCCAGGAAATATGTCTTCTACATGAAAACAGATCCGTGTCATTATTCACAGTTGGTCTTTGTTTTGATACACAGATACATGCACTACTACTAGTTTCATGTTAACTACAAAACCAAATTCTCTACAATTCAGGCTTCAAACCAGTTGCAGAAAGGATGGCATTTACCCATTCCAAATGGCAATGCCACAAAGAGATATGTAGACAATAATATTGTACAAATATAAGACGATAAGACTTACACTCTATGTTTTCGGGGAAAATATCTCAACAGGATATAGATATTTGGGATATTTATTATTTAATAACCGGGGGCAAAACAACTACGTCTGACCGAAAATAGCCTTTGTCAAAATCCTTATAGGATGCATACATTAGGAATGTAAATCAGAACATCAAAATAAACAATTTCTCTTCACATCATGTCATGGACCAAGAGAACGTGGAACTCCAACAAGTCCAAGGGGTGGGTGTGACAGCCTTACCTGTTTGATGTTGGCTGGAAGTTTTTGCCATGTGTGATTTTGGCGAATATGGGTTTCAACGTCAGCGTTCATGTTTACGTTAACATAAACTGATCATATTGTGCACAAAATAGGTGTTAGCGGCTATCAAACGCCCATCATTGTTGCGGAAACACCTACAATTATCACAGCAGACAGCAATGCAATTTTCTCTCACAACATTGAACTTTCCGCTTCCGGTTAACATTTTATACTACTTCCAGCGCAACTTACTATACGCTCTTCCAAGAATATAAAGCCTTCTGTTGACTGTGCATGGTGCTACGTGGACTGATTGAGTTTGGTTTTATGCCACTTTTAACAATATTCCATCAATATCACGGCGGGGACACCAGAAATGGGCTTCACACAATGTACCCATGTGAAGAATCGAACCCAGGTCTTCAGCGTGACGAGCGAATGATTTAACCACTAGGCTACCCCACCGCCCCGGTGCTACGTGGATCACGCAGGACATGTACTGCTCCGTTGTTCATTTAGTGCCTTGTAATGTAGGTTCTTGTTCTTATCACTATTCTACAATGTTTAACATGTTTCACACTTACATGTTCCATCAACACGACCTATCTCACGAATATATTGTTTTCTGGTGTCTTGAATGTCAATACAATGACAATACCATGATAATGTACTCTCTCTTTGGTTGCAACAAGTACATCAATCTTAGCGTTGTCGAAACTCGTGAGAATTAGTAACAGTGCCGACACACAGCGGAGTCAGGGTACATCTTGGTTGTTTTTGTTGTAATTCTGACATATGTTAGGGGATGCACATCAAATATGGATGGGTACCCACACATATCCGTTCATGAGCGTGCATATAAACGGTACACAGACATATCATTGTTGCAAATGAAACAATTTGTAGACATGCCAACTCAAATCTCACTGGCTTGTGTTGTGTTGTGTAAACACAAAATTATGATCTGTATACATGTATATCAACTCTATGCACCTGATGAAGAAGCAAGACGCAACAGTGAAACTATCTTTGACAAAAAATGAAAGACGTTATCTATAAAATAAAGTGTCGTGTATTCAACTCCAATCAAAGTAGAAAATATTTCAACAGGACAAGATGGGGTGCCAGTCAAATCGCCCCAGCGACAAAACGCCCCAGCAAATTTGGTCAAAATGCCCCAGATTTCTGGTCAAATCGCCCCAGGGGCTAGTCAAAATGCCCCAATTTATTTTAAATGGTTTCATATACGCCATAAATACATAGTTTTTGTCAACTTCCATATTATATTCTTCACATAATATTATGTGTTATATTATTAGTAATATTCATGTATAGACAACACTTTAATACCAATTATTTGGTAAAGAATTACAAGAATAAAATAAAAGGTTTGTATAATATGTTTATTGTAAATGCTGTAAATGCATAGTTTTTTGTCAACAAATGGCATTGTGTAATCATAACAAGTTTGGTATAATACTTATAAAAACAATCTAGAGCTTTGTCCACTGGGATATTATAATCCTCATACAGAAGTTCCTCATACAGGAAATCATATGTCTTTCTTTTCTTTTTAACTTTCGTCTGTATGACGGGCTGGTCCATGAATGCGGCTAACAAGATGAATGAATGTCAAATAGTTGTACACGTGTATTTTTCTGTTGTGTGTTTGTTTTTCTTTTCTCAATAAATTAGTTCAATTGTTGTCCCTAAGTGATAATATAATGTGAAGATGCAATGCATGTATACGGTATAAGTAGACGTTACTATCTACAGAATAGCAAGCATGTCCAGCTATTTGAATCGCGTTTAAGTTACAAGTAGATACATCAACTGCAATCAGGGATTTCAAAATTATTTGTCTCCCTGTTGACATAACACACAAATCTATACCTAGAATCACAATTGTCTTTTCCTCCGAGGGCAGTGAATACCTGTTCTTACCGTTACCAGGGATACTCTACACCTGATATAGTCTTCCTGCCGTTTCCGAGTGTAAATGAGCCCAGCGATTAATCATTTACCTCAATACTCAGAGGCAATGTCCCAATATTTCACACATGGCACTTTCAGTAATTTTAAAACACGTCTGGACAAATGCTGTAAATGGACAAGTTGTAAAGTAGAGTCCACATTAATATATATGTATTTCACAATAAAAATCAGTTAGGTCAAAGAGCTGGAAGACAATATGGAAGTCTGCATGCATCTCTGTAAATAACGGATCATTCCATTTATCTGTGGATTTTCATCTTCTGAATTATAGTCAAATGTATGATTTTCGTGATCGTTTTGCAATTCGATAAATTTGCCTATAGCTCTTTAGCACAAATCCCTTGACCAAACAGTGGAAAATACGTTCGAACTGAACCTTTCTAAAGAAAATGTCTTTTCCACGAGTCAGCAACAGCTTAGTTTGTAATTAGTTGTGAGGAAGATACTATCCTCTTTCCCAAGTTTGCGTTGGGAAAATCCATTGGATCATTTCGACCAATGAAAGTTATTTGTACAATGATGGCTTTGGTAACTGTTTTGTTGAAATATGGCCGACAATGACAGGTGCCCGTTTCAGATGTAGATAAGGACAAGGAATAAACATATTTCGGACAAAAGTATGCGGGTGATTTCCACTTTATTTATACCAGTTGTACTACCCATGTTATACCTTATCCTCCTTTGGTATTTCAGATTATATCTATCAAAGATTTCTCACAAATAGACGAGAAATCTTGTGATCGGAGTAGGTCGAATCAGAATGCGTGAGGCCAAGCATAAACAAATAAACAAAGCTTTCAATTTGGTATTTGTTTTCATTTGATCTCTGTAAGAGTACCAGCACCCGTCCCGTTGATACGAGCCGTATATAACTTAGGCTTTAACATTTTTAGTGTTGAGTAAATATTTAACATTTTTCTTTATTAAACTCATTGAAGGGGTTTTAAAGGTGAAGCGTTTTGCATCACTTTCCAAGACTTTGATACATCATTACCTCAAATTCAGAAGTATGTTTAAGAATAAATGGGATGGCTTCTATTTTGAAGGTATATCCTAAGTATTTTTTATTTTTATCATTTTCACAATAGGTATTTAAGTGAAAGGTCTATTATTAAAAATTACTGCAAATGAGCACAACAGCAATGGATGATTCAGATATTTTGTATTTGTGTATCATATTTACCTGCATGAACGAAAACACGTTTTTGTGTGTTTGTGTTGCAAACATATAAAAAAAACATAATTAGGAAGCATCACCTATCTTCCTTTAGGAATCCTCATACAGCTGCTTTGTATATTTTAATGCTAAAACTTGTTAAACAAGTGTTACAAACTTAAGAAATGCCATTTATCAGAAAAAACACGATTGTGACCATGCTGGATGCCAATTTCTAAAATTTACTCCACAGAAAGCAATACTTTTTACACCTCATCTTTTAACAAAAAGCATAAAGCTAAACAAAGCAAAACAGTTCTTGATGTCTCTATACAACAATGTTTGTAAACAGTATAAGAGATACCTGTAATCAAATAATGAAAGGATCAAGAATACCTGACAAAATGACAGGTTCTGTCGCACAAATAAACAAATCAGTATTCATTTACTTTATCCTGAAGTTTAATGTTCAGCTGTCAATGCAAATTTTTCGCAACAATATTTATATTCCAAAAGTCATTTGATATCTTATGAACTTTGATTTGGGCTAATCACAGATTTTATGCTGGGCATTCATGGTACTAGTCATTCTGTATTCATGAATTAAAAGTCCAGCTCACCATCACTATGTATTAGATGGCAAGTCTCTTTTTTTTCTTACTGGGGCGGTAGCCTAGTGGTTAAAGCTTTAGCTCATCACGCCGAAGACCTGGGTTCAATTCCCCGCATGGGTACAATGTGTGAAGATCATTTCTGGTGTCCCCTGGCGTGATATTGCAGGAATATTGCTAAAAGCGGCGTGAAACCATGCTCACTCACTCACTCTTTTCTTACTGTTGTGAAAATGTCAGTATTTTTGTTCTCACAGGTTATCTTTAACCATTACTAAAAGGATACCAATATGGGTGAACTTGGTGTCACTGAAAAGCGCCATGTTCTTGAGCATGTGTTCAACCAGTATGACACATTAAGGACAGGGGAGCTAACTCCTGTACAGCTTCAAATTCTGCATGGAGATCTTCGAATTGGTGGGATCAGCATGCCACAGGTTGGTACTTAGTTCAGAGTTTTAATTTTAAAAGAACTTTTTAAGGAGCTTTCTGTAGTATTATCCAGACTTTCATCATCATCGGTATACAGTAAGGTGGGTCATCTTTCCGACATAGATATGAACACTGTTACTTCATTTGCATATCTAAGCTGATAAGTGCAGTCCACATTGAAAAAGCCTTTTAATGTTTTAATGAACAACTTGAACAATGTTTTTGTAATGAGAATATATTCAATACAACAAATCAAATATTTTTTAGAGAGAGTACATGTGAAATAATAATAGATTTTAAACACGTTCAATAATCTACTCCAAAACCTGTCATTCGAAATATATTCGTTATAGTAATTTATGATACTGTTAAAACTGATCCTGTTTTTGTGCAAAGATTCATGCCTGTAGTGTTGAATGTTTCTTTGAAGAATTAGTGATTTAAGTGTTGTAATCATTCTCTCACAGGTGCAGGCTTCATTGGCATACACCTGTGCAACAGACATGTGCAGTGAGACTGAACTGTATGATGCTCTGCAGGAGATGGATCGTCGTTATTTCCTAATCCAAGACTTGCGCTGGGAGTTTTCCATGTTAGACCGAACACAGACTGACCTCATCACGGAGGAACAAGCAAGGTGAGGGATAAGCTACTTCACTGCAGCAGAAAGCATTTAATCACCATGTTCACCTTGCTAGATATTCTGTAAAACCTTTCAGTTAACTGGTGTACATGTTAAACCAATGCATAGGAAGAGGATGTTTGTGATTTTCATTCACATAGGTATGTGTCTTTAGTTGGTTCTATCAGCATGATAAGTGACGGATCCAGGAAAGTGTCATTTAGAATATGTTTTGTAAACATGTTGTCTTGAAAAGGTTAGCATGGTAAGCTGATTCATTCTGATTCCATCAAAATCATTGTCTATATCTCACTTCAAATAAACATTTGAAAAGAATGAGACTGTGGGTTTAAATCCAGGTTGGTCTTGATTCTGTTTCTTAGTTTATAAGCACCATCCACATGCTTTTGGCTTTCACCAGTGTAGTAAAAGTGTAAGGCCTGCATGATTTTGTGCTTTTCACCCAAGATCAAGCTAACATTCTGTGATAAAACTAAACTGCTGTTGAAAGCTGCGTGGGACCCTTCACTGACTCCTCTATGAGCTATTGTGAGCTTGCCCTATGGTAATATACCTGTGAAGATCAGGGTTAGAATTGACCTTTAGTAACCCATGCTTGTTGTAATAGGCGACTTAACGGATCGGATGGTCAGACTCGCTGAATTCATTGACACACGTCATCATATCCCAGTTGCGTAGATTGATGCCCATGCTGTTGATGACTGGAATGTCTTGTCCAGACTCAATTATTTAGACCGCCGCCATATAGCTGAGTGTGGCATAAAACTGAACTCACTGACATTCACTCACTCACTCATGTATTGTTGATCATGTACCTATCCTGTTTATAGGTGGCTGGTCCAGACAGTTCATGGACGCTACTTCTCCAAGAGAACATGGGAGGAGTTCCTGTTGAGGCGAGCCGTGCCTGGTAGTGGAGTGTCATTCGCTGAGATTGAGGTTCTTCTGTGTGATATTCCTAGTCGGCTCAAACTTGAGAAGGAAAATAAAGATGATGACAGAGAAAAGGAAGGTTGTATGTGTTTCTTTGCACATGATATAGTATGACCAGAAATTATTGAGAATTTTAGGAATATGTTTAATTGGATTTCTAGTATAAACAACCTTGACCAGCTATCAAGTGCTTGGTTTCATTCAAGAGAGACAACTCCGTTAATCCTTTTCATTAGTTTGTGAAGAGTTATCCCCCTTTGTTTACTTGCTAGCAGACGACATTTTCAGTGATCCTCAGTATGGATGATTTAGAGAAGAGGAAGTTGATTTGAGAGTATTATAACAAGGACATCAGATCAGCTAAAGTGATTTCAAGTAGAACAGGCATCCCTTTGTCCACTGTTTATCGTGTTTTGAAAAATATTGCAAATGGATATGGCATTGAGCACCAGGGAGGTGCAGGTAGGCCCAGAAAATTGACTGTCGGTGACAGGAGGTGCTTGGTATTCTTGTTTCTAAAACAAGCGAAGGAGTTTAGAAAACTTAAGGCTGGATATGATTGATAGAGGAACTGTGGCTGTCTGTAAGGAGACAATTAGAACTGAGCTGCATGCAATGGGTTGGCAGAAAAGTCGAGGGAATTCCATCACTGATCATGAAACCTGAACAAAAGGTGCAGAAGGTTGAACTTTTGCTTACAGCATAGAAATTTTAACTGGGACAATGTGATTTTATCAGATGAAAGTTCTGTGTGGCTGTTTCCTAATACACTGAAATTCTGGACCAAACAAACTGAAAAACCTTTGTATCAGCGCCCAAAGTACAGTCCGAAATTTAACGTGTGGGGTGGCATATCTGTGTTAGGGGCAACGCCCCTCTGTGTATTTGAAGGGAATATGAACAGTGAGCGGTACAGAGATATTCTCGAGGGACATTTACTTCCATCTGCTCATGTGTTCTATGGACATTTTGGATTTTCCAGCAGGACAAGGACCCAAACCATCGTTCAAAGCATTCACAGGCCTGGTTTCGGACCCAAAATATGACATTATTAGATTGGCCAAGCTATAGCCCTGACCTAAATCCAATAGAAAATGTTTGGGGACTTATAAAGGAAAGTGTCAATAAGAAAAATCTGACAAATATTGCTGAAATGAAAGAAGAGGTGGTCCAATATTGGAACAGCATGGACCACGACTTTCTAACTTCTTTGATCAGTAGTATGCCCCGCCGCATTGAAGCCTGCATTGCTGCCCATGGTGACTTGACAAAATACTAACTGTTCACCTGTCTTTGAATCTGGAGTTATGTTCTGCTAATATTCACATTTAATACGTGAGTAATGAGTGAAAAAAAATAAAAAATTACAATCTTTAAATTCTCAATAATTTCTGGTTGTACTGTAGTTGTTGAATTGAAGGATACGTGGGACCAGTTAGTTTGGATGTCATTAGTGTTGGGAATTGGTTGAAATCTCACAATTGATAATTGCTTCATTACCAACGAACAATCATCGAAAAAAATTGGTTAGCGTCATTTTTCAGATTTTCTATCCATGTTGTTATTCCAGATATGTATAACATGATGCAACTTACTACTTTAAAGTGATGACTAATATATCATATACATAAACTTCCTTGAGTCTTAGAGAAATATTCAGTCATGGCTTTTCAGTTAGTGAAGTGAGTTTTCTAAGAATTAAACACATTTTCAGGCCCTGAGAACTTCTAAGATATGTTCCAATGTCAGGTTTTTCAAAGACTAAAACAGTAGTTCCAAAATCATTTATGTTCGATTATGAGAAAATGTGATAAATTGCTTGGTCGTTTGGTCACTGCGACCAATCTTCGATTATTTCAATTAATCGGAACACCACTAGATGTCATTATGTTGATTACTCAACCAGCATCATAGCACATGCAAAGATCCTATGTACAGACTATAGTGGGTACCTGTCACGGATCTATTTTATCTTCACATTTTCAAATACAGTTAATGTTTAGTAAATATCAACAACTGCTGTCAGTTGCCATGGAGAACAGGTCAATGCGATATGAAAACTTCCAAATGATTTCTGAGTATTTCTAGATTACTGATCATTGGATCATTATTAGAACAGATACTGGTAAATTTACAGTAAATAGTCCTATCAATTTGAACTCTCAGCTACTATTTGAAGGTGACTGTTGTACAAATAATTGAATTACTAATATATTGTTAAGATATGATCATAGGGAAAAATACTTCTGTAAAAATATTAACCCTGAGTCGTATTTTGTGTGTTCAGAGAGGCTTCGTCGGCAGCGAGAGTTGGAGGAGGAAGCAGAGAAAAAGAGACAACGTCTGAAGAAGGAGAAAGAAGAACAAAGAAGGAAGAAAGAGGAGGTAGGAGTTACAAGCCTTCTACAATAAATTCTGTACTTCTTCCTTTTTGTAAAATTAATGGATATCAATACTGTGTTTAGGATTAATGCTTGTGAAAGATGGCGGCCCTCCTAAATGCGTGTCCATCCTCTCCTCGTAATGCATGAGAGTTAAGTATACCAGATTTTCTGTATTGTTTTTAGAACAAGAAGAAGGATGATGATGAAAGAAGAAAGCGGGAGCTAGAAGATGATGGTAAGCTAGTAGGATGCCTCTATGAGCCTAATGCTTGGTAAACATGTCAATATAGACATTATACAAAATATGCTCTTTACTTGTCACTTATGTTGTCATGTTACTTTAAGGCCTCACAGAACTGTTTCTACAAAAGTGGGGATGGGCTTTAAACTGCAAGACGACACAGTGTTCGCCAAGAAGCAAATGCTCACAGATGAGCCTATGAAGTTTACATTGATCATGTTCATGTGAATTATTTTGCTAAATGTTTACAGAGAGGAAGAAAGGGAAGAAGAAGAAAGGAGAAAGAGAGAAGAAGAGGAGGTATATGTCAGACAGAAAATTCATCAGTATAGTAATTAAGGCATACTTATTGTACTAAATCAAACTGAATGTATAATAATACCATTAAAATGTTGATCTGCTCTCTTCCTGCCATATAGAAACTAGATACGTTGCAATAGAAATATTTTACTTTATAGCATGATTAATTACATTTTGAATCATGTTATTCTGTGTTTCAAATCCCATTCCATATTTCAAATCCCAATATTGCATGATTCCTATTCCATATTTAAAATCTCATTATTCCACATTTCAGATCCATCCTTCTACGTGTCTATTTTTATTATTCCAAAGTTTAAATCTCTCTTTTCCCATTTTTCTTCATCATCAGTCCACATTTCAAATCCATTTTTAAAGTCTTGTTATACCATTTTTCAAATCCTATAATTACATGATTAATCCATTTTAAAAATCTTATGCTTCATGTTACAACCAATCAAATGTATTTAAAATGTATGTAGGAGGCCAAGAGCCTTAAGGAGTTGGAGGAAGAGGAGGAAAGGCGCCGCAAGGAGGAAGAGGAGAAGTACAAGGATGTGGAGAAAGTCAAAGAGGTAGGGGAGATAACTTCTTTACCTTGACCCTGTCCCTCATAGCAATCTTATTGATACAACCATCTTAACCTGTGTTGAAATGTTTGGGAGTTATGATTAGTTTAGCACTGAAGTTTCTCTAAAGAACAGGGCCCTGAATCTCTGGAGGTTAATTTAGTTGGAACCATTTCCTAAACACTGAATGAGAGCCATGGGTGTCATTTAAGGTGATTCAATTCTCTGTGCAGAGTTACATCCCTTAGATATATCATTAACCTATGTCATTGATTGACGCTGGTTATGTTTGTTGTTTTTTCCCAGCAGCACATCCATGCTTATGGCTTTCACTGAGGGATCTATGTGGATTTCACCTATGTGATTTCTGAGACATGAGTCACTTTTTGCTTTCTTCACACATGAAGATGACACTGTGATATAACAGGAATGCTGTTCCAAGCAGCATCAAACCCAACTCACCCACCTACTCACCAAAAGAAACACCTACTGTGATATAACCCTGTTCCAAGCACATCAAACCCTCACTCACCCACCTACTCACCAAAAGAAACACCTACACCCACACCCACTCACCCACCAACCCACACACTCACTCACTCACTCATTCGATGACCTACTGACTATATTGTGATAATCACAAAGTTGGTGCAATCTTGGGACACAGGTGGCCTAGTCATCTAACCTATTATCTAATACATCTCTGTGCAGAGTTGTGTCCCCTAGGTGCAGCAGGAACCCACTGAGTTTGAATTCAAAGTATGTCTCAGGGTTTGTCCTTATGCCTGTACTCATAGATTAAGATCTGAAACAGTGCATCACTTCTGGCTTTCCACCAGGTGAAGCAGATGTCCCATGATGCATTGGTGCAGTTCAAAGCTTTCACTTTTATGCAGTTTCATTAAAAATCATTCTTTTGTTTTTACAACTGCCAAATAGGATCATGTGGAGGTAAGGTTTTAGACATGTAAATTACTGTCTGCCTATGTGCCACTATTTTAGTTCTTAGGTGTTATTCATTTTGTACTTGTTTGTGCCTTATTCAGTATTTTAAAGAGGCTTAACTTGACATAGAATCAAAATGTATTTGTAGTTATGTGATGCTTGAATGATTTATTTTTCCAAATAATTTTTATTTTAAAAATGTTTTATGGTTTGTTTTATTTACATTTTATATCCTTGCATTTATTTACTCAACTGTGATTTGAAAAATGCCCCTGAAAGATTAAACAAAGTAAGGCATGTTTTTTACATTAAGGCAAGTGATATTTTTAACACTTTGAACTGTTGTTTTATATTATATTATGTTGTATGTGTATCAGGAGGAAGAACGCAAGGAAAAGGAGACTGAGGATGAACTAAATCGTCTGAAGAAGAGAAGAGAGCAGGAGAACGATGAGAAGAGGAGGAAGCAGTTGGAGGAAGAAGAGGCCAAGATGTCCAAACTTTACATAGGTATACATGGATATGGTACAGAGAAAGTATGGAAGGATCAAAGATCCTCTCTTACTTAGGTGACTGTTTAGGGGGTAACCATCAAGCTTTGACTAATTACAGAACATTGGGATTAGTGCTGAATTCACACCTTACCTATCCCTCAACAAAATCTCTTGTCTCATTAATACTCCTTGTACCCTTCTATCCCTCTGCGCACCAGCCCCCAACCCCTAACCTATTTGGCAATGTGTTGCACTGAATCCATGTACAGCTAGTCTATCTATCCTTTAGACACCTCTTTTTGGGTTGTTTTTCACCCAGCTGGTCCAACAACCCCACCTACTCTGTTTCAAGCTGTCCTGCCCATTCCTACCTCATTGTCCAGTCTCCCCACATACATATTCTCTACCTGTCATGTCTGGCGCTTTGTCTTTAATGCAACTTTCTGCTATCTGTCTCTTAAACTGCTGACATGACACTCTCTTATCTCAGTCACTAATAAACTCATATTGTTCCCATGTAACCCACTGCACTCCACTCCATTTCGTGCCACTCCACTCCGCTCCATTTTCCCATGTATCCCACTCCATGGCTCCACTGTTCCCATGTAATCCCCCACTCCATTTTCCATTCCGTGTCATTTTCCCATGCTCCACTCCACTCCATTTTCCCATGTAAACCACTCCACTCTCCATTCCTGTTCCCATGCTCCACTCCACTCCATTTTCCCATGTAACCCATTCCCACTCAAATCCATCCCATGTGCTCACTCCACTCCATTTTCCCATGTATCCCGCTCCTCTCCACTGTTCCCATAACCCTCCACTCCACTCCACTCCATTTTGCCTCCACTCCACTCCACTGCTCCTATGCTGCTCCACCCCAGAAGTATCCCATTCCACTCCACTGTTCCCTTGTAACCCTCTCCTGCTCCATTCCGTGCCTCTCCATGCTCCACTTTTCCCATATATCCTGCTCCACTTCCTCCTCCACTGTTCCCATGTAACCCACTCCACTCCACTTACCCATGTATCCCACTCCCCTGTTCCCCATGTATCCGGCTCCGCTCCCTCCCCCCTACCTCCATTTTCCCATGTATCCCTCCCACTCCACTGTTCCCATGTATCCTGCTCCACTCCACTGTTCCACATGTATCCTCTCCACTCCTCTCCATTTTCCCATGTATCCCACTCGATGTTCCCATGTACTGTTCCCATGTATCCCCGCTCTGCTCCACTCCACTTTTCCCATGTAACTCCTCCACTCCTGTTCCCATGTATCCCGCTCCGCTCCACTTCTCTCCTCTCCAATCCGCTCCACTTCTCCTCCACTCCACTCGTTTTCTCCTTCTCCACAGAGCACAGGAACAAGAGGGTTCGGTACCAGCTGAAGGTGGCCATCAAGTCACGGGACAAGTTCAAGTTGGAGTACTCAGTGACAGAATTCAAGAAGTACAACTTAGAGGACACAGACATGGATCTCCAGAAGGCCCAGAGACTGATCAAGGAATTTACTGCTAAAGAAAGTATGTATAAAGAGCCACAACATCAGAGAGTAATGCTTATGGTCTAGTATGTTCCTGTATACCACTGACTGAGGAATTCTTGTGTATACCAAGAATGCACACATTTTAACCCTACATTTAAACCTATTTGAGTCCATTGGCTTTAAAATGAAAATTTGTTTTAGCTCATGTAGTTGAAGCAATACTACACCCATACTTTAACATCATGATAGACATGAGAAGACGTCTGAACATTGGGTAATTACTGCCGGTAATGTCTCTCACATCAATAGGCTTACAACTACCATGGCACTATGGTTTCTGTAGCAACTGAATTACCACAACTTTCCACGTGCCTGTACTTCAACATGATCTTACAATAATCATAGTACCTCATTTTCTTGTGATAATGCTACATGTTTAGAAATGGTCTGTCTAACTTCATCTCACTTCAGACTTGAAGCGAGCAATGACAAAACGTGAAATTGAGGAGCTAGAGCAGGCCATGTCCTTCGTCAAGAAGAACGGGTTTGAGGCTCAGCTGGCGGGTGAGATGCAGGAGGCCAACCAGCTGCTGAGTCGACTCAAACGCCTGGAGCGAATCCGGCATGAGATTCTGGAGCTGAAGCAATCAACTGTGGCCGAGATCCGTAGCTACTCCAAACCGCCTCTGGTCGTCCACACAGTCATGACTGTCACACTGCTCATCCTTGGACATAAAGAGAAGGATACAAAGGTTTGTACAAAGGGAGATGTAATCTTGATGGGGTTTTTTCCTTAGATGTAGTTCTGATATATTATTGATTGACATTTCAATGCAATTCTGCATGCTCAGTTCATAATTCAAAATGATTTCAAATATAATTGAAAGTTTGATGCAGATGTTTACTGACAAGAAACTGAGCAAACATTCCAAAATTGTGTTCAACGTATCACATTTGCTCCTTGTTTATTTATGTGATATTTATTTATGATATATAGTTAAGCCAATATGACAAGTAACTACCCATACATTACAAAAATTATGTTTAAAATATCACATACAGAGGAAGCTGTCAAAACCGGCAGCTGTCCGATCCAGCAAATTGTAAACACTGGCATTAAATCTCAGCCCCGTCTGTGACTTTTACATTTATCATCGTTGAAAAGCTCTGCAATCTGGCAGCTGTCAATTCCAGATATCGGCATGAAATGAGCCGCCCAAATATTTGTTTATACAGTAATCAGCGCTGTAATCTGGCGCATGGCAAGGAGTCAGCTGGATGTGTGTTGTCACCAATTAATCCTGCATTGAAACTACATGGTTGCAGACAAAGCTAGTTTAATCTTAGTTCAGTATGGGTGTACATGTAATTAGTGAGTATGAGCTCAAATCTTTGTCTTCTATTGTCAGTGTGTACTGTAATTGAGAGAACCACGTGCTACAACAATGTATATGAGAGTGACAAAACTGGTTCAGTTCTAGTCGAAGGTAACGGTGTCAGCTCTACAATCCGGCACGCTTTCTAAACCGGATTATTTATTCAGTCCCGACGAGTACCGGTTTAGACAGCTTTCACTGTACATAGCTCAATTTTTTTAGAACACTAGGTGTTTTTACCTTATTTTGAGTAATGTATGTTGATCATGAACATAAGCACCTACTTTGGTAGGACCTTTATACTTATGTACATTACCTGCTAGGACTTACCTGTACAGTTATGTACATACCCCGGTACCATGCTAGGACTTAATCTGTACACTTATGTACATACCATGCTAGGACTTACCTGTACACTTATGTACATACCATGCTAGGACTTACCTGTACACTTATGTACATACCCAGCTAGGACTTACCTGTACAGTTATGTACATACCCAGCTAGGACTTACCTGTACAGTTACGTACATACCCAGCTAGGACTTACCTGTACAGTTATGCAAGTACCCTGCAAGGATTACCTGTACACTTATGTACATACCCTGCTAGGACTTAACTGTACACTTATGTACATACCATGCTAGGACTTACCTGTACAGTTATGTACATACCCAGCTAGGACTTACCTGTACAGTTATGCAAGTACCCTGCTAGGACTTACCTGTACACTTATGTACATACCAGCTAGGACTTACCTGTACACTTATGTACATACCCAGCTAGGACTTACATGTACAGTTATGCAAGTTCCCTGCTAGGACTTACCTGTACAGTTATGTACATACCATGCTAGGACTTAACCGTACACTTATGTACATACCATGCTAGGACTTGACTGTACACTTATGTACATACCCAGCTAGGACTTACCTGTACACTTATGTACATACCCTGCTAGGACTTACCTGTACACTTATGTACATACCATGCTAGGACTTACCTGTACAGTTATGTACATACCCAGCTAGGACTTACCTGTACACTTATGTACATACCATGCTAGGACTTACCTGTACAGTTATGCAAGTACCCTGCTAGGACTTACCTGTACACTTATGTACATACCAGCTAGGACTTACCTGTACACTTATGTACATACCCAGCTAGGACTTACCTGTACAGTTATAAAAGTTCCCTGCTAGGACTTACCTGTACACTTATGTACATACCATGCTAGGACTTAACCATACAATTATGTACATACCATGCTAGGACTTACCTGTACACTTATGTACATACCCTGCTAGGACTTACCTGTACACTTATGTACATACCATGCTAGGACTTACCTGTACACTTATGTACATACCATGCTAGGATTTACCTGTACACTTATTTACATACCCAGCTTGGATGTACCTGTACACTTATGTACATAGCCTGCTACGACTTACCTGTACAGTTATGTACATAGCCTGTTAGGACTTACCTGTACACTAATGTACATACCCAGCTAGGACTTACCTATACACTAATGTACATACCCAGCTAGGACTTAACTGCACACTTATGTACATACCCAGCTAGGACTTACCTATACACTTATGTACATACCCAGCTAGGACTTACCTGTACACTTAAGTACATACCCAGCTAGGACTTACCTATACACTTATGTACATACCCAGCTAGGACTTACCTGTACACTTATGTACATACCCAGCTAGGACTTACCTGTACACTCTAATGTACATACCCAGCTAGGACTTACCTGTTCTGTTATGTACATACCCTGCTAGGACTTACCTGTACAGTTATGCACATACCCAGCTAGGACTTACCTGTACATCTCTAATGTACATACCCAGCTAGGACTTACCTGTTCTGTTATGTACATACCCTGCTAGGACTTACCTGTACAGTTATGTACATACCTGCTAGGACTAACATTAACATGTATATTGCTAGGACTGGAAGGCAGTCCAGGCTCTGGTGGGGAAGACAGGCAAGGAGAGTCTGAAGCGACAGTGCGTGCAGACTGAGGCTGCAAAGATCCCGCTAGCCACAGCCAAGAGAGCCAAGACACTCCTGGATAAGTTTGAACTGGATGAGGTCCGAGATGTGTCAGCTGGGGCAGCTACCTTCTATGTCTGGGTAGGTCACCTCCATTGCCATGGAAACAGTCTCATCATTAAATGAATGCATTTACACACAAAAAAGAACTTGCTGGTGATCTGGTGTCTTACTCTGAGAGGATCCTAAAAAAACTAGGATTTGTGCCTTACTTAAAAAGTGTTATCTCAAAATAATATGTCACATTTGAAAGGTATTGTGTAGTCATGAAACTGGCAATGCATTCTGGGACAGGAAAAGTCCCTGGTATAGCATGTCTTGAAACTACTGACTAATGAAGTAGTAAGCAAACGGCGCCCAAGGTCAGACCTGGCTGGTTATGGGTGATAATACCTCGATACCTTGATACCTCGACTGCGTGGATCGTTGCACATGCAGTCATCAACTCAGTTTCTGGTTATTTGCAGCTATTTATGGATCTCTAGTATAGCTTGATTTCATCTGATGCAATATAATAGCATGCATGGATTTGCTCACTACGAAGGACAAGATGTTATGTAGACCTTAGTTCTTTAACCCACCTAAATTATGTTGGGAATATTATTAATAAAAAATAAGTATAGTGCATTTGTATGCTCTCTTCACTTGCACTGGTCTTATCTATTTCAGGCCATCACAATGATAGAAGAAGCTCTGGATGTCCAGAAATAAGGACAAGAGACAGCATTGTTAACTGGACGTCCTTGTAACCAAGACATTTTTTCAGCAGAAAGAAATGTTGCATTATAAAACAGTATAATTCAAACTTTGGGTATGCGGTATTTTACAGGTTGACAATACATGAATAGTGTTGCAGGGTTTACCATTTCTTTAGTGAGTTGATCTATAAATCAAGGATGAATATGTGGCCTTATAACTAAAAACAATATTAAGCTTCTGTTTCAACTCCAAGCTCATTATTCCTATAAGTATAACGCTTATACCACTCAGTGTACCAGTGTGCAATGGATTTGTCATTCTCAGCTTCCTAGGGAATATACAACCCAAGTTGCCTGTGAGGCACTACATGGTTAACAAATTTACATCTCATACTACCAGGTACCCATTAACAGATATTCCCCGAGGAGGTAATACTTGTACTATGTGTGCTGTCTGGTCCAATAAGGTCACCCATCTCTGACCAAAATTGCTTAACTGCCCCTGATTGGGACCTGTATGCCAGTAACCGAACCATATGCGTAGGGGTGAAACGGTGCGCTCTTACCACGTTACAGTACGTATTGCAGTACACGCTCTTTGGTTCGGTTTGGTTCGGTATATGAGATTGATCATCATGCAGAAAATTTAAGTGCAACTCCAAACAGTTTGACAAAAGAAACGATTTGGCATGACAGGCCTACAACTGTGACATCACGTTTTTTTGGAAAAAAACAATCCAGCAGAAAATAGTTTACATGATTCAGCATAAAACATGAATCAAAATTATTTAGCCAACCCAAGGCCTCCTATCATCACAAGTAGCATTCACAACTGTTTACAGTATTTGTGATAATCACAAAGCCACGAAGCCACCATGAGTCAGCTTTTCTGCAGCATTTTATAGTCAGTCAGGCTATACAAGCTAAGTCATATAGCTCATACTCCCCAGAGAAATGTAGGAGTATATAAGTATATTTGAAGAGTCAGACATTTGAATTTAGTCTTTGTGGAAGGGGAAGATGGTGTTGGTGGTCATGACAGTTGGTGTTGCTGGTCACGTCATGACAGTCGGTGTTGTAGGTCACGTCATGACAGTCGGGGTTGTAGGTCATGTCATGACAGTTGGTGTTGTAGGTCATGACAGTTGGTGTTGCTGGTCACGTCATGACAGTGGGGGTTGTAGGTCACGTCATGACAGTCAGGGTTGTAGGTCACGTCATGACAGTCGGGGTTGTAGGTCACGTCATGACAGTCAGGTCACGTCATGACAGTCGGGGTTGTAGGTCATGTCATGACAGTCAGGGTTGTAGGTCACGTCATCATGACAGTTGGTGTTGTAGGTCACGTCATGACAGTCAGGGGGTCGCGTCATGACAGACAGTCGGGTTGTAGGTCACGTCATGACAGTCAGGGTTGTAGGTCACGTCATGACAGTCAGGGTTGGAGGTCACGTCATGACAGTCGGGGTTGTAGGTCACGTCATGACAGTCGGTGTTGCTGGTCATGTCATGACAGTCGGGGTTGTAGGTCACATCATGACAGTCGGGGTTGTAGGTCACGTCATGACAGTCGGTGTTGCTGGTCATGTCATGACAGTCAGGGTTGTAGGTCACGTCATGACAGTTGGTGTTGGAGGTCATGACAGTTGGTGTTGCTGGTCACGTCATGACAGTCGCGGTTGTAGGTCATGTCATGACAGTTGGTGTTGTAGGTCATGACAGTTGGTGTTGCTGGTCACGTCATGACAGTGGGGGTTGTAGGTCACGTCATGACAGTCAGGGTTGTAGGTCACGTCATGACAGTCGGGGTTGTAGGTCACGTCATGACAGTCGGTGTTGCTGGTCATGTCATGACAGTCAGGGTTGTAGGTCACGTCATGACAGTTGGTGTTGTAGGTCATGTCATGACAGTTGGTGTTGTAGGTCCAGTCATGACAGTCGGGTTTGTTGGTCGGTGTTATCAGTGCGTCGCCAATATGCACCTGATGACACAATGTGCCTATCCATGCATCAGCTTATAAAAATATATTATGTTTGAAGTGTTGTTTTGACCAGTCCTGACAACCATTCAGGCTAACGTTATTAAATTATGAGAGTAATTCTAATGTACAGTATTAGTATAAATACCGGTAAATCCATAAATAAATAATTCACTATCACAGAAACATTTTCATTTAGTAAGATCAGCATGGTTAAGATGGACAGTGAGAAGGCCGAAAGTCACTGAGACTGTTAATGTATAAAGTTTCATAACATCACTGTATGATGGATTGCATTGCAACAATAGTTTGTTGTAAGTGAGGTTCTCTGTAGAGTTGGGGGCGGTGGGGTAGCCGTGTTTAATTCCCCACATGGGTACTATGTGTGAAGCCCTATGTAAATCTTTGGCACACAAGTCCACCACAAGTCAACACAAACTCACATAAAAATATGGTCACTGTGGGTGAAATACTTTGTGGAGCACATAGACGTTTAATTTTGTACTGTTTATTTATTCATTCATGGGAAGTCAGTTTATTAATAAAATTTTAAATTATATGTAGACTGTTGGTCTCTATTAAGTCAATGTGTTTATTCATGAATAAAGACTTTATATACTTTGTAAGATTACAAAGAGCCATCCTTTTTAGTCATGTATATATGTTAAAAATATATTGTGCTGACCATGCATCTTTTTGCAAAAAGAGCTGATCTGTAAGTTATGTCAAGGATGTCCATATTTTTGTATTTGTATAATATCTTCCACATTTAACCCAATCTGTGATATCTTTTTATGATACAACAAAATGATGTTTTTTGTACGATGATGTTATCTGTGTAATGTTTTAGCAGCTAATCATCATATCATGGTGCACCATATGATAATAAGCCTGATAAGTATCAGTATTTACAGTTCTAAGCTGCTTGGGTAATCAGGAGTTTGATATGATCAGGAAACAATCTTCATAAAACTCTGACTCTTTAATCAGCTACACATGTTTATTCAGCTTATATCATCTTGTATTTCTATGGCATCTGAATCTCGTTATTGTGGCAAGGCCGCATTTACAGGCCAAGGTTGTTATGTATTTATGAACCAAGACTGTTTTGTTGTATGTGAAATGTTAATAGAAGACTGAAAGAAGATAGACTGTCAGGGATATGTTAATTATATTTATGCCATATATCCTAGACATTTTCTGTTAGGTCAAGGAAACTGATATAAATTCTCATGACATTATAATTACCTTTTTCCTGAAGCATCATAAAAAGTAACATTACAAGCCAGGCAACTGGTACTTGGTCAAGGCCCAATGGTCTTTTTTTCGGTAAAATCATGGTGACATTGAGAAAGGAAAAAATCCTTCTTTGCACAAGATGCAAAGAAGCTTTAATCTTTACTGAGTTTCCAGAGAAGAAGTTTTTTAATATCTCATTATATATACATTATTTGTGTCTCTGATATGTCTGTTATGTTTGATCGGAATTTTAGAAGTTGAGGGATAAGAAAGGGAAGATACTTAATGGATGACACTTACTGGACTACAATATTCAGGGGCGTAGCTACCATTATGAAAAAAGCCCGGGCTTAAACATGATTTTTGCAAAAAAAATAAAAATTATAATTCTTGCCCAAAATAACTCAAGTACTATCTAAATATAAAGCGTTGCAACATATCGGACTTGCAACATACGCGCCTGATATTAGAATCTACACCTCACTATATAAGACGTTGTCATCCATAAAGTACTAGTATTCTACGTTTCTTATTAACATGGATTCACTGTTAAAATTTGACACATGTCCAGTGATTGTCTATCAGTAATTACTCATTAACTAGTTTATTTTTAGGAAGATAAAAATCAAGCCCACTATTTTCTATCCCCATGTTTTGTATTTCCCTGCTCATTGACTAGATTGATAAACATTTGGTACCAAGGAGTCATTATTTTGTCTTGAAATATCTCATTTAACCTTATGCTGGTTCAAGGGTTAATTCATTTGAATGTACTTAAATATAAATGGGTTAATTAGATGAACGACTTTGATTGACGTATGTCTAACACAAACTGTATTCCCTCCATTCATGTGGCAGGCCACAACTGTGATACCTGTTTACATATTTTTGTTCAGCTATTTTCAAGTTTGTATGTTGTTTCAATAAAACGTGTACCGATGAATAGTGTCTGTTAAACATCGGCAGCTCGAACAGGTAATTGTGCAGTCATAGCAAACTTGGTAGCAGCCAGCTTTTCACACTGAGCTGTCGTGGTCAGGCTTTGGTCTACAATGGTGGAGGAGTCGACTCGAGCATGTTGTCTTTTCAGACTTATTTGCTTTTAACACACATCACTACCATGCTGGATGCCCACGATACGTAGTATCCAAATTCACGTATGTGTATTCCTGGAGAGAAATTCAAACTGGATATGTGTAAAGGGGTAGTTTACCCTTCTTTGAAGATTCGTCTAAAATATTGTTTAATGGAAGTTTTCATTGAAACAGTATAATCTATACAATAAGGAAAGAGTAACTTAAAACCCCCTATACTTTGTCTTTGTCGTTCAACGTCGCGCTGGGGCGGTGGGGTAGTCTAGTGGTTAAAGCGTTGGCTCGTCACGCCGAAGACCCGGGTTCGAATCCCCACATGGGTACAATGAGTGAAGCCCATTTCTGGTGTCCCCCGCCGTGATATTGCTTGAATATGGCTAAAAGCGGCGTAAAACCAAACTCAGTCAGTCAGTCAGTCAACGTCGCACTCGGCATGAGCATCTTTATGCGCAGCTGGGATACGATGACGTGTCAACATAGCGAACCTGACCACCCAATCCCGTTAGTCTCCTCTTACGACAAACGTGGGTTGCTGAAGATCAATTGTAACCCGGATCTTCACGGGTGTACGCGAGGCACAAGCGGATCTTCACTGATAACATTCCCTATGTCCATTTACATCTTCAAAGCATGGATACGTCTGTCCTTGTCTTGGCGCTGTCTCATGAGTGAGTTTAGTTTTACGCCGCGCTCAGCACCGTTCCAGCTATATGGCGGCGGTCTGAATATAATCGAGTCTGGACCATACAATCCAGTGATTAACAGCATGAACATCAATCTACGCAATTGGGATGCTATGACATGTGTCAACCAAGTCAGCGAGTCTGACCACTCGATCCTGTTAGTCGCCTCTTACGACAAGCATGGGTTACTGAAGACCAATTCTAACCCGGATCTTCACGGGTTCGTTGTCTCATGAAACTGATATACAGAAATGACATGAGCATTCCTTGGTCTGAGTGAGCGAGTGAGGGAGTGAATATTGCCTAAAGCCACAAAAGGAATCTTGCAATTACGCGCTGCGAGCAGACATCGGTTGAAAAAAGTAATTTTAGCAATTTGATGATAATCTGCGGAGCATGATTGTTCATGCCTTTAACAAACACTTACATTTTGCTATCTGTTTGCTTAGTGCAAACAACCGGTGGTAAACCCTTTGCCCGAACACCTGGTTGGTTGTTTGTTTAACGCCGCACTCAGGAGTATTCCAGCTATATGGCTTCGATCTATAAATAATCGAGTCTGGACCAGACAATCCAGTGATCAACAGTATGAGCATCGATCTACGCATTTGGGATATGACATGTGTCAATCAAGTCAGCGAGCCTGACCACCCGATCCCGTTAGTCGCTTCTTACAAGCATGGGTTGCTGAAGACCAATTCTTACCCGGATCTTCACGGGTTCAGAACACCTGGTGTCATCACTGACTTTCAGCGATACATTCGTATAGGTTTCACCTCTATTTTGCATTATCCCGACGGAATCTATTTCAGTAGACAATTAAAAGGGTAACATCCCCTCAGATGAATAGGGCATTTTATAAGGCAAAATAATGCTGGAAATCTTATGAGTGGATCATTGACGTTCCAGGCGTTCAAGAAAAAGGATACATGCGCATTGCTGTACTGGTTGCACACACAACTGAACGACATGAATAAAAAGGAAAGTGTTCAATAATAATTACCGAAGCCCACATATGCATGTTGTGGGTATAGGGGCGGTTGGGGTAGCCTAGTGGTTAAAGCGTTCGTTTGTCACGCCGAAGACCCTGGTTCGATTCCCCACATGGGTGCAATGGTGTTCCCCACCGTGATATTGCTGGAATATTGCTAAAAGCGGCGTAAAACCATACTACTCACTCACTCACTCACTTGTGGGTATAGGTGCCAGTTTGTTATCGTCCAGCGTGAGCTTGAGAGCCTGTACGTTGCTATGATTGGCGGTCTATTGGATTTCATCACTTATAGAGCTGCCTGGTGCGCGTAAATGCCCAATGAGTTCGGGCTTGTACTTTACACTACACACGGTGACCCAGCGTCATGACATTTTGAAAATTAAATAGTTATCTGACACAGTGTGCATATCTGTGTTCTCATTTATATGTCTCGTCCTTTCATAGATTTTCTTGCTTTTTGGTCGACAGAAAATCATGAATGGCATCACTGATAAAAAGTCTCATACTATTAAGATGTCACTTTTGCGAACAACGAAAGCCAGCAATTCACGCTTGGGTGTCAGCTTTCAGCACGACCGGTATGAACATCGGGGTGACAATGGCAGGAGCTCCAGTGAAAGATTAAGACACCACAACAAAGGTTTTCATGGAACAGCAATATGTTTGCCAAATATCATTAGTTTAAGAAGCTGAAAAGAATTTGTCCTTGAAGATTGAATGGCTGTCAAAAATAACATTGCGTCATGGAAATGGGCGTGGATGGAAATCTGAAATCTGATTGGATGGTTGAACATCCCACGGTGTATAAAAGCAATACAGTTGGTTCTTTACAATTTTCAGATAATCATCCGGCATAGAACTGGAAATCATTTGTGTATTGGTCCAATGAGTAATGAGTAATACAAGTCATTAATGAACTTGAAAGTAAATAAAAAGACAGTTAGCCCTGTTGACTGTGAACTATTAAATGTCTAACACTGCGGTATTGTGGAGAGATACTGAGAAACTAATTGTTTAGAAGATGATATTCAGTAGAACTTTGAAATACGCTAGATTTTCCTGCAGCTAACAAACTATTACAGGTTTTCTAGTCTATGATACCAGTAATAATTTTTTAAATCTGCCAAGCGTTTAAAGAGCCTTCACAACTGGGGTGAACTGATTACATTCGTTCTTGAACTGGTGTTATCAATTAACAGTTGAAGGCCATACACTGACAACGTTTTTGTTGTTGTTTATGTCAGATTCTGAAAACCAAATCTTATCTTATCAGGCGTGATATTTGAAGCGTGTCCAATCATGCAACACATGCTTCGTGGAATACGCCGTCCGTCTGCAAAGTCTTTTTGTACTTTTCCGTTAAAAACATTTCTAATGACTGACTCTTGTCAATAATAATGCTTCCTCTGACGTTTATAAATCTTGTTTTGAGTGCTAATAGCCTGGGTCACACCCACACTGTGTCTACTCCATTCAGCGCGCTGCCTTCACTGGGGACAAATGTGTGAGTCACAAGTGCTGCCGACGTACATTGTGCTCTGATCATTCCCATTGGTCAGATGCGTAGCAAACTTGGAGTTTGAACCCAAAGGCCCTACTTTTTACGCTCTGAAAGCCAGGACCTAATCCGATTCAACTGCAGTGAAGCACGGAGTGGAAATGATACAGGTTTACCGGTACCGCCGGCCAGATTGTCAGGTATAGTGTGTTGACAAGTGGTGAAAATGTTGTGTGTGTGTTTCGTTGTTGTAGCAGCTATTGGCATCGCTGCAGGAACTGAAGATGATGGACAGACACCGTTTTACGTCAACGCATCAGCGTTCGCACAGCAGATTCTGAAAGTTCCTGAACAGACCATTTCAAGAACTTCAGAAGCTCCCCTAGAAAAGTCAACGTCAGCAACGCCACTAACTTCCACGCCATCGACTGATGAAGCGGCAGAGATTTATCGTAAAACCAACAGACCACTGAGTAAAGGCATTGACTGGAAGGACGATATCGGTTCAGATTTGTCAAATACCAACTCGAAATCAAAACGGAAAATGATTAAGAAGCTTACCAGAGAAAGGGAACGTGAAGAACGAAGGCGAAAACGGAAACAAAAGACAGAAGAGAAACGCCTGTATATGGCTGGAAGAAAATCCCAACATTCAAAGAGCAAAGACAGAAAAGTGGATAGTGAAAAACCCGCCAAGAAAACATGCTTGGAGTGTGAAAAGAAACTGAAAAAAGAAAACCTTGAAAAGATGAGACGTGAGTCTTTCAAGAAGCAGGTTATAGAGAAACTACGTCTTGATCTCAGTCGTCCTGTACGAATTCCAGTTCTGAGTCAGGAGATTCTCCGTCACGGAATCATGGACGACGAGTCTGTCGATGACGATGACGGATACGCCAAGACAACCGACATCATCCTGTTCGCAGCGGACAGTAAGTTACATGTTTCTGTTGACTTGTACTCAGTTGAATAGATTCAGTTTTCTTTCATGTTTCTTTTAGGATTGCATTGCAGCTAAGCTTTAAATACGGAAATACCATGTCAGACTCGTCATATCATATGTGATATTGTCGAACACAAAGTTATTCATTTAAAAACATATTGTATTCATTTTTTCGTTAGCATCCCCAGAAAATGAAATGAAAATTATGCACGTATCCATAACAGTACAGCCTGATGTTGTCAGTAGATATTGTAAAGTGCTTATGTGCGTGCGCGCGGGGGATGGGATGTATGTATGTGTGTTTGAGTGGGTTAAGTAAAGAAAGTAATTAAATTCAGTTGGTCACAAAATATACAATTTCAAATATAAGATGACCTAATAAAGATTTTAACAGTTGGCTTGCCTGTGGTCAAAACACGTTATATATTGTTAATTTCCATACGGCTTTCTTACATTTTGTGAGCATCAAATATGTTCTGTTAGCTACATGTTTGGACCCAGCTACAGCCACGATCTAGGTGTTTTATATCCTACCTATCAAATACAATAGACGCTTTACGTGAATTTGGACTGCATGACACTTGAACCTTTTTGACTTGTTCCAAAGTGAATGATTATCGGTAATTAAAGCAACACACGATACAAACAATGGACATTATACGTTGGTATTTCCGCACCTTACCCCTGCTTCAAATGTTGCCAGGGTTAAGGTTACCCAGCATTGTACCCATGTTTAGAATAAAACCGTGCCAAACCACCCGGTTATCCACGACATCCTAGTTTACTAAGTTAGTGATATGCATGTCTATTTAAGTGAAACGACGTCCCGATCATGTCATATTAAGTGGGATGACGATCAAGAACGACGTCATTAATCAGATCAAAATGAAAGCCTTGTCCTTTGATTATGCCTTGAGTTTTCTTAGTTTTCACTGAACAATTGAAATATAATTGACGTATCTTCTTTTACGTTTATTTAGTAATCGTAAATTAGGTTTCCACTATGCGGCAAACGACGTTCTTGTGTTCTTGTTTGAATGGTCAGTCCAAACGACCTTCCTCCGCAAATTGAGTGAAAAGACCACTTTTCTTCCTTTGTGAAGAAGCCGTGTGACTGTATGCTGACCCCTAGCACCACGAGCTGTGCACGTGCTCGGCATGTGGTCAAATGTTCACTCACCATGACCTATATGCTGATGCAATATCATTTCAAATCGAGCAAGCCGTTTTCTTTTCAAAGTATGTTTGTTAATGATCAACATATTAAACTTTACGAAATAAAACACTGCAAATATTATCAAGAAATGTCAAGACTCGTCGGATTAGCATGGCAGTTCTTCATTCATTCGAAAAGCTAAAATCAATAAAAAGGGTCGTCCTCACTGAAAACCAATAGAATTTAGTTGTACAACCAGATAATATAATTCGTAAACATTTTGATAATGTAGGAAGTGTACCGATATTCATACAAGACAATAGGTCCCTTTACACGATAAAGATTACACAAATAAGTTTATTACATAATTTAACGTGAAAGTCACCTCCGAAATGTAGTGATGATTCAGCTAAACCTGTAATCAGGACTTTCAACTTCCCGGTTATATCGTCCGGATTAAGTAAGGAAGGTCGCGGAACAATAACGTAAGTATGTTACTCAAAGAAGTGAAAGAACATCGGATATATATTAAGATTCATACATCTTTTAACTTCTTTTGAGTAGCATATATAGATGTTCTTTGACGTCATATATACCATCCCCAAAAAGTCTGGGATATTGGATTTACAAGATTGATAAAATACAAATGATGAAGCCAAGGGGGAAACAGACGACAAAGAGAAATTAAGGGAAAATGTGACATTTTTTTACATTCCTTTGGAAAATGTTTCATCTGTAAGAATATATATATTACTTTTCTCATATCCATTGGCATTGGCTAGTGGTATGCTCGCAAAATGGTACATCCCCTACTTTGTTTTGAATGGTATAGCTAAACATGTTTTGAAGTATGTATTGAGCTCTCTTTGGACTTCGCCAGTCGACTGTTCATACTGCTATAGTTGACGGGGTAGCTTAGTGGTTGACGCGTTCGCATGTCACGCCTAATACACGTGTTCGATTGTCCGCTTGTATCGGCGGAATGAGTGACGTCGTCCCCATGCCGACAGAGATATTGCTAAAATATTGCTTAGAGTGAGTGGTGTAGAAATGGTACTCATTCACCCTCACACACCCAGTAGGGTATATAGCCTTCTCAATCCAGTCAATTAGCCTTTTGTAAGTTTACGAACCACTAGTCAATTGGCTGATGTCAATAAGGGACGCCCTCTAACCACGCGTACACAGTGAATGGTGTGCATTGATATTTATATGCACACCATTGTGACAACTCAAGGATGAAATGGAACTTTGGGCAAGTTTACTACAACAGGTAATCGTATCAGTAAAGTGAGTCGGCCTATTGTAGTTTACATCCTAAAGTGGATTTATGTATCCCACGACATTTTCATGCCTTACATCAGTTCAAAGAAACTCCTTAACTGATTCACTGCCGTGTGAAAGATTGACCTTGAAGAGATTCACGACATAAAGGCCGTCCAACATTTAGACAAACTTAACAGTGTCACCACGTCCATGAACTGACTTGTCCAACATTATAGAGCCCACGTGTCTACGCGATGTCACCTATTGGGCTTATCTCATAGGAGTGAAAAAAATGATAGGGCCATTATGTCTGAGTTGTTTAAGGCCCGCGTTATAAAACCTTCCTCTTGTCAATCGGTGTAGAGCTCAGGTGTCTAGCAGCTGTCAGTCGTCATAGGTCCAACGTGTCTACCTGTTGTCAATCGTTATGGAGCCCACATCTCTACCTGTTGTCAGTCGTCATAGGACCCACGTGTCTACCTGTTGTCAATCGTTATAGAGCCCACGTGTCTACCTGTTATCAATCGTCATAGGACCCACGTGTCCACCTGTTGTCAATCGTTATAGAGCCCACATGTCTACCTGTTGTCAATCGTCATAGGACCTACGTGTCTACCTATTGTCAATCGTCATAGGACCCACGTGTCTACCTGTTGTCAATCGTCATAGGACCCACGTGTCTACCTGTTGTCAATCGTCATAGGACCCACGTGTCTACTTGTTGTCAATTGTCATAGGACCCACGTGTCTACTGTTGTCAATTGTTATAGGACCCACGTGTCTACTTGTTGTCAATCGTTATAGGACCCACGTGTCTATCTGTTGTCAATCGTCATAGGACCCACGTGTCTATCTGTTGTCAATCGTTATAGAGCCCACGTGTCTACCTGTTGTCAATCGTCATAGGACCCACGTGTCTACCTGTTGTCAATCGTTATAGAGCCCACATGTCTACCTGTTGTCAATCGTCATAGGACCTACGTGTCTACCTATTGTCAATCGTCATAGGACCCACGTGTCTACCTATTGTCAATCGTCATAGGCCCCACGTGTCTACCTGTTGTCAATCGTCATAGGCCCCACGTGTCTACTTGTTGTCAATTGTCATAGGACCTACGTGTCTACTTGTTAGCAGTTGTCACAGGACCCACGTGTCTACTTGTTCTCAATTGTCATAGGACCCACGCGTGTAACTGTTGTCAGTGGTTATATGACCCACGTGTCTTCTTGTCAATGGTTATAGGACCCACGTGTCACGTCATAGGACCCACGTGTCTATCTGTTGTCAATTGTCATAGGACCCACGTGTCTATCTGTTGTCAATCGTCATAGGACCCACGTGTCTACCTCGTCATTGTCAATCGTCATAGGACCCACGTGTCTACCTGTTGTCAATCGTCATAGGACCCACGTGTCTACCTGTTGTCAATCGTCATAGGACCCACGTCTTGTTGTTGTCAATTGTCATAGGACCCACGTGTGTAACTGTTGTCAATGATTATATCACCCACGTGTCTTCTTGTCAATGGTTATAGGACCCACGTGTCTACTGTTGTCAATAACTGTCATATAGACCCACGTGTGTCTACCTGTTGTCAATCGTTATAGAGCCCACGTGTCTACCTGTTGTCAGTCGTCATAGGACCCACGTGTCTACCTGTTGTCAATCGTCATAGGACCCACGTGTCTACCTATTGTCAATCGTCATAGGACCCACGTGTCTACCTGTTGTCAATCGTTATAGAGCCCACATGTCTACCTGTTGTCAATCGTCATAGGACCTACGTGTCTACCTATTGTCAATCGTCATAGGACCTACGTGTCTACCTATTGTCAATCGTCATAGGCCCCACGTGTCTACTTGTTGTCAATTGTCATAGGACCTACGTGTCTACTTGTTGTCAATTGTCATAGGACCTACGTGTCTACTTGTTGGCAGTTGTCACAGGACCCACGTGTCTACTTGTTCTCAATTGTCATAGGACCCACGCGTGTAACTGTTGTCAATGGTTATATGACCCACGTGTCTTCTTGTCAATGGTTATAGGACCCACGTGTCTATCTGTTGCCAATTGTCATAGGACCCACGTGTCTATCTGTTGTCAATCGTCATAGGACCCACGTGTCTACCTGTTGTCAATCGTCATAGGACCCACGTGTCTACCTGTTGTCAATCGTCATAGGACCCACGTGTCTACCTGTTGTCAATCGTCATAGGACCCACGTGTCTATTGTCATAGGACCCACGTGTGTAACTGTTGTCAATCTGTTGTCATAGGACCCACGTGTCTACCTGTTGTCAATCGTTATAGGACCCACGTGTCTACCTGTTGTCAATCGTCATAGGACCCACGTGTCTACCTGTTGTCAATCGTTATAGGACCCACGTGTCTACCTGTTGTCAATCGTCATAGGACCCACGTGTCTACCTATTGTCAATCGTCATAGGACCCACGTGTCTACCTGTTGTCAGTCGTCATAGGACCCACGTGTCTACCTGTTGTCAATCGTCATAGGACCCACGTGTCTACCTGTTGTCGATCGTCATAGGACCCACGTGTCTACCTGTTGTCAATCGTTATAGGACCCACGTGTCAATTGTCATAGGACCCACGTGTGTAACTGTTGTCAATGATTATATCACCCACGTGTCTTCTTGTCAATGGTTATAGGACCCACGTGTCTACCTGTTGTCAATTGTCATAGGATCCACGATTGTAACTGTTGTCAATCGTTATAGGGCCCACGTGTCTACCTGTTGCCAATTGTCATACGACCCACGTGTCTACCTGTTGTCAATCGCCATAAGACCCACTAGTGTGTAACTGTTGCCAATCGTTATAGGGCCCACATGTCTAAATGTTGTCAATGGTTATTGTCATGAACCCAATGTTAGTCGTAACTTCTGACTGCTGTCAAGTATTGCAAAACCAATATTGAAAAATACTCCGCGTTTTACTCACAATATATAATTTCCCTGTCTATTTTATCTAAACAGATTGGTGCTGACAGCTGTTTCGACATTCGACATACGCATGCGTCTCGCGCATGCTGTGACACCATCTGTTTAAGCCGCGCAGGTGCCATGTATTTCATGTCTCATTCCATAGTGCAAATATCGTTAACAACAGACGTATGCCCTCAGTCTGAAAAGTAATCGCCTCATGCAACCGCGAAAGCCTCTAAATGTGAAATTATGAGAGGTTGGCAGTTAAGTTACAAGATATCTGATACAAAACACATCGTCGTGTTTTATATGCCCTCTCAAGGACTCGGGAATAGGTGTTTTATTTATGATAATCATCTCTATCCGTCGCTAATAGTTGACTTTACATCTGGGCTTAGTTATATGCGAGCGGTTTCAGACACTCTGGTATTTATTACGTCTGGCTTCATGACACAAGGTCACTCGACGCTCAACGGTGCACACGCAGATAATACCGTTATATGTGAGGGCAATTGTTAAACACAGATATATATTAATCTTAGAAGTGTTAGAATTCATCTGAAGGTTTGACACATTTCACTTGAAATGTTGTCAACAGATCCTGACGTTTTATACCAGCCAATTAATTATAAACCAGGGAGAAAGATAAAACTGAAACCCATATCATACCCAAAGACGTTTTAAAAGGTTGCTGTAACAATGCCTGGCGTTCAGTATTAAGGGGTGATGCAATATAAGTTATCACATCGTGTCTCGGGAAATACGGGGTTTTATCAGGCATTTATCTAGCCGAATGTTTTTACTTAATCAAAAGAATGCAATACGCATCGAATCGACTTGTTTTTATTTATGTGAGCTGTCACGGTTCACAGATGTTGACAACAGCTGATCGATTGACCTCAATGCAGCGCACGTTACTAAAGACTTGGCGATGCACGCTTTTCTCACTTAGCGTGGTCACCGAGGCGTGGCGGGATAATATGACTTTTGTACTCCCTGCTCGCGGATCGTGACGGGTGTACATGGTATTTTATCAGAGTCACGTGAACCAATCAAAACTCGACATTCTTACATGAGGCTGGATAATGACTTTTAGTATTCTGTGCAGTGTTCGAAATACCTGCCTGCGCGACCGCCATGGGCGGGTTATTTTCTTTCAACAGGGACTGCCAGTGCCAGATTGCCAAATTCACCTGCCCAACAGTCGGGTTAAAATTTAGATATCGATGTATATCGGTATTTTTTGTGGGCAGGTAGGTTTTGGCCAGGGCTGGTAAGTTTTACATCTTACCAGCCCTGTAATCTGGCTGAAATGTTTGGGAGTTTCATACCCTGATTCTTTGTCATGTCAAATGTGCGGCATGGTATCTCACTTTCTTTCGTTGGTATGTTATTTATCGCCGCGGCAATGGTCCAGCTATATGACGGCGGTCTGTACATATTCGAGTCTGAGCCAGCCAATACAGCGATTGACACAATAAGCGCTAATCTAAGCAAAGGCTCAACCATGTCAGCAACTCTGACTGTCCGATCCTGTCAGTTGACTCTTACGACAAGCATGATTTGCTGAAGACCTGTGTTTGTTACTATCAAAATTATATATATTCAGAGACTAAGCGTAAGTCTATCACAGTCCCCGAACTACATTATTTTCATATTGCCTAGCCCTCCCTGCAATGATAAAGCCCTAAATGAAGTAAGTCCAGATTTCCTCAAGTTCTCCCATCTCACTGGGACTTCTTTTCTTTTTAAATGGGGTTATTTGTTGCTAACACAATTATATTTATTTAGAGACTAAGTCAAGGGTCGGTATCTAAGTTATCAGTTACAAATAATTATTCGACATGAGCATGTAATGTAGAGACTTGGCATATATAAGTATATATCAATTGTTATTGTCATAGGACGACAATGTTTAATGAGTAAATAACAAAATAGAAATTATCCACAACATTCGCATACCTTTCAAATTGGCACTGGAAACATCACAGATGTGAAACTGAACGTTTTTATGGGTTGGCGGCGTCTGCTCCAGTCACACCTGTCGTCTGCATGTTCACGTGAGGACGCACGTGCTGCACGCGTGTCACGTCACCCTGTGATGACATACACTGACATGTGCTGACAAAAATCACAGTAACTGAAATAAGCACTGAGGGAAATGTAAACTGTTTTAGCATGGGAGCTTTTCTACACTTTTTTTGTAATTTTTTCGCAAATGAATTTTTCTCTATAACAATCTAACTCTGCGTTTCATTGTTTGTTTCCATTTTTATTTTGTTTTACTTTTTGCCTTCGTTTTTTAGCATGTTTTCGTTTTGCTTGTTTTATAGGTTTGGGGTCGTCCTGGTTGGGGTTTGAGACCGTTCACAAATTATGGCTAGTGGGGATGGGGGTTTTGGTGGGGTGATGAATCACTGATGATGATTTTCAGTGGGGTCACATATTTTCTTCTGGGGAGGTAGTGGTGTCTGCCATTCTGTATTTTGCACACATGTGCTGGTGTGTGTGTGTGTGGTGTTGGGTCAGACAATTTGTACATAAACATATTAATGATTTGAGCTTAAAAATTAGGGGGCGGGGTGATTTTGTACATGACGTACAAGGGTGGGGGGAGAGGCACTTTGTACATACATTTTAGGGTGGGTCATTCACATTGTACATGCCTCTCCATTAAAATCACCATCACCCACCCCAACCCCACCCTCAGATCAGACATAACTTCTGAACGGTCCCTTAATAAATTAAGTGAGTGGGTTTAGTGAGGAACGTTAAACGACGCATTTAGTCACATTAAGCAGATCAATATCACGGGGCGAAACTAGAAATGGGATTCACATGTTGTACCCATTTTGGAATCGAACCGGTTCTTCGGTGTGACGAGCGAACGCTTTAAGGCTATCCCATCTGCCTATTTAGTTTAGAATGTTTGACTGAAAATAGTGTATACATTACATTTAAAGTGCTAAATATTTCGTAAACATAGTAGTGTATACTTTCGGTGTAAACTATGATACAGTACGCGAATAATATGCACATTCTGAAAAGACTTCCTTTCTTTAACAGTTACAAGAAAATGCAGATACCGGAAGTCGACTGGATGCTTCAAGTTCAATCTCCGGAATAAGATCGATGGTCAGGTGACATCTGCAGAACTGTTGATCTACAAACTCCATGATCCGAATGATGGTCAGCAATCATTCATATTGTCAGAACTGGAACGACCAAAATTCCGAAAACACATGCCTCGGAACATCGTGACTCGAATGGACACGGACATTACCGAAGGATGGTTGACTTTTCGATTGGACAAAACTGTTCAAAAATGGGCTGAAAATAGCAACATGAATGACGGTATCGCGGTCAGGTGCAAAACATGCGCGCGGGAATCCCACAAGCAACTGTACAGCGCCAAAGAAGGCTACAAGCCCGTCCTCATCGTTCACATAAAGCCAACGTCGAAACGTCGACCACGGAGGAGTGTTGAGTGTGTTGGTGACAATACTCGGTGCTGCAAACACAACTTTTGGATCAAATTCAGTGAAATCGATCTGATCCATATCCTTCGTCCAGCGGGTGTTTGGGCTAATTACTGCACGGGCTCGTGTGATTGTAAGTATAGGGTCTACCCTTGCCTATCTGCTTAGTAAATATGTGCTTTGGCAGTTGCCATGCAAACCCCTCTTAACCCTATAGCCTTTTTATAATGACTGCACTACATGTCCCTCGTGTGAGTGACAAGCACAAAAACTCCTCACATTGCTAACAACCCGTGAATATCTGGGTTAGAATTGATCTTCAGTAACCCATGCTTGTCGTAAGAGGCGACTAACGGGGTCGGGTGATCAGACTCACTGACTTGGTTGACACATGTCGTCGTATCCTAATTGCGTAGATCGATGCTCATGCTGTTGATCACTGGATTGTCTAGTCCAGACTCGATTATTTACAGGCCGCCGCCATATAGCTGGAATATTGTTGAGTGCGGCGTTAAACCAAACTCACTCACTCACACTCTCATTGCTGACCTAATCATACAGTCCCCTGACTGCTGACTGAGTCATATGACCCTTGTGCTGTTGTCTGTGCCATGTAGCCTTCGTATTTATGACTGTACCATGTATGCTCTTATTGCTGACTGTACCATCTTCCGCTCTTATTGCTGACTGTACCATCTTACTGTCTTATTGCTAACTGTACCATCTTAATACACTCTTATTGCTAACTGTACCATCTTAATACACTCTTATCTTATTGCTAACTGTACCATCTTAATACACTCTTATTGCTAACTGTACCATCTTACTGTCTTACTGTCTTATTGCTAACTGTACCATCTTAATACACTCTTATTGCTAACTGTACCATCTTAATACACTCTTATTGCTAACTGTACCATCTTAATACACTCTTATTGCTAACTGTACCATCTTAATACACTCTTATTGCTAACTGTACCATCTAACACTCTTATTGCTAACCGTACCATCTTACACTCTTATTCCTAACTGTACCATCTTTCACTGTTATTGCGAATTTAACTGTACCACGAATCACTCCTATTGCTGACAATACCATCTAACCTCCAGTTGTTGACTGCATTACATAGCATTTTATTGCTGACTGTACCATAAAACACTCCTTGTGCTGACTGTACTTAGAAGCACTGGTATATGACTATTTAAGCCAAGCCAACCACCCACCCACCCCCACCCCCATATATGCTGAAAGTACCATATATCTCTATTATGCTGGCTTTACTATATAGCCCTCCTATTGCTGGCTGAATCATAAAAGCACTATGATTGCTGACTGAACCATATAAACTCTCGTTGCTGACTGAATGATGCATCCATCTTATCTCTGCTACATGTAGTTCTCTTCTCTTGTTTCAGTGATGACAACGGGGCACTTTAACCACACAGGATTGCTGCAAAGTGTTCGATGGAGTGACGTCGCCAACGACACCATACGGAACGCCATTACACCCTGCTGTGGCGCGGTTCGACTCAGTACAATGTCACTCCTCTACGCCAACGAACGCGGCGACATTCGACAGGTCGACGTTCCCGACCTTGGTGTGGAAGAATGTGGGTGTTTGTAACGCGAAACAGTGACCTTGACCTTCTATACTGCCGTTGCCATGCATGCGTTTGTGTTTTGTATGCCTCCATGAAACGTGCTTCTTGTTCATTCCTATTGCTTAGCAACGTGATTTAATCGTACCAATGGCTCTAAACCATCCACGTTTCTGCTTGCGATTATCAAAACAACGCCTGTGACGTCATGCTTAAACTAGAAAGTCCATATTGCTTAATTAATTCAACTTTTTTCACACGCAAGACAATAAGAAACATAGGTTGTATCCTTCACAAATAAATTCCTCCTTTTTTAAAATTCAGCAATGCAACGTTCAATACATTTAGCATGAACACGATAAACAACCAAAAAACGATAAGGTCAGGGGTTTGCTTGTTACACTAAAGACCCGGGTTCGGGGGATATATATTGTGTATGTTACTCTTTTCACAATGCAGTTTTAAACAAAACTGAGAAGGGTTTTCTTTAGATTGACCGAAAATCAGTTATACTTCAGATAAATGTGTGTTTACATCACTGTTTCCGAATTTTAATACTTCCAAGGCTAAAGCTAATATCTAAGAATGTGAGGGCGGTGGGGTAGCCTAATGGTTAAAGCGTTGGCTCGTCACGCCGAAGACCCGGGTTCAAATCCCCACATGGGCACAATGTGTGAAGCCCATTTCTGGTGTCCCCCGCCGTGATGTTGCTGGAATATTGCTAAAAGCGACGTAAAACCAAACTCACTCAGTCTAAGAATGTGAAAGGCCACAGTGTATCAGAGCGTCGTTCCATAACACGATCTTGAGGCTATTATGTTTGTTGCGTGTGTTTTGTTAAAGCCAATATCGCTTTGTGGAGCAACAGAGGTACTTTTATATGTGCGCTTAGTTAAGGCACCTTATCTCGATAAACCCGTTTTAGTGGTATTATGGTGTAATACAGTAAAACCTCGTTCATTGGTGATAGGGATAGGATAGGGATGCCTGTTTGCTCTAGCCCCCTTACCTCTGAACTCGAATTCCAACCTATATAAAGATCGAGAGTTCCGTAGTTCGAGACAAGTGACGTTACGCTTCAGCGTCAAGACGTCAGTAAGAATTCAACTTTGACTATATAAGGTGACATCGTCTTAGGGATCAGTCACTTATTACGGTACAATGTGATAGTGGCGGGGATCGGGTGCTTCATTTCTTCATTGCCCTTCCGGAAGAAATAAGCTGTAAAGGGTCGATTTTTTCCTGATCCATCCCAAATATATGAAGTCCAATACAGATGTGTCGAATTTTTACAGGTCGAAGGGAAGGAAAGTATGGTCCCTGTGCTTTTTTCTTAATTAAATCATCATTTCGAGTTAAACTTCGTATAAGTCGAAGTACTTACGCTGTCCCTTCCGGTTCGACACAATTGTGTTTGACTATTATATTTCTGATCCTCCTCTAGACGCTGTGATAGCATAGCGTGACCCTCCCCGAACTTACACACCACGCCTTATGATAAATGTCGGTCGCACGTCCGTTATTCCGAGGTTTCGCTGTTGCAAAAGTGCAGATTGTTAGCCTGAGTGCTGTTTTGCCAAGAAGTAGGCTTGTTGACTTGTCCTCCTCAGCTTTATTGTCCAAGGTTCTGCCTGTATAATCGTGGTATTTATGTGACTCGCCATTACAATGCAAATCAAACAATGCAAATCTCACACGAGCCCCTATACTGGACATATTTTTACTGATTTTATTTTGAAATTGGAAATGTGTTTTAACACATATAGCCTCAAAGGCACGTTGTTTGAAGACTGTAGTGTAATTTGTTTATTTAGTGCTAGTTTTCTTAATAAAATTTGCAACTTTGTTATGTGTTCATTTGTAAATGAATGGGAGGAAGTGTGAATGAGGCTGGTTTAGCGTCGCTTTGGACAGTATCCCAGCTGTATCACGAGTGTCAGTTTAATTCGGGAGGAAAACCCGAAGTCATGCAGGCCTTAGACGTTGACCATATTAATTATAGTGCTGACAGCCTGGGAACATGAGTGGGATTCAAACACATGATCGTAGGTTTCTGGTGTGACCAAGGGAGGCAACTCTGCACAGTGAATTTGCGTCACCAAAGACAATTGGGTCACCGAGTTCACGGTGCTTTACTTGTGAGTGAATGAGTGGCTGTATTCATCAATATAAGTACAAACGATAACACACGGAAGAGTTGACTCACGAATAGACTACTGGTAAAACCACACGCCAATGTCGGAATATACAAACTATTCTGTGTGAGCAGTACTGACAGGGGCTACCATTGTTAAAAAAAGCCCGGGCTTACACATGATTGTTGCTAAAGAGATTGGGCAAATCCTCAGTATACCTACCATCTAAATATATAGTTTTGCAACATATCGGGCTTACACGAAAAATTGGCTGGCTACTCGCCAGACTGAGAGGGAAGAGAGACCCGTTCTTAACAAGGGGATTAGCTGTATGGATTTACGTCTTTATTACAATATATGCATACACCCTTCTTAGTCAGATGTGTTACTCACGTTAATACAAACTGTTCTGCGGGAACATACTTACACACACACACACACACACACATACAGAGAGAGAGAGATGGTGTTATGCTGAGGACGCATAGCGATTTCCTTTCAGACAAATTATACTGCTGAATTTGGACCAAAATTCGGTTTGTTGACAACGTATGACTTTCATTCTGCAAAGCTCAGGGCTAACTAACGACACGGTGCTTAACAGGGCGTAAACTCATCTCCCAAATGTGACACATATCAGTGTCAGTCTTGTGAGGATGTGCTGTGTGATCTAGCATTAAAAATATCCAAACCATACCCAAATACTAGTTATGGTTCATGCGTTGTGAAATATTGTCCGCCCCAATTTTCCAGATATATCATCACGACAGCGTGTAAGTATTCGTCAATTATACAAAAGTATGGTTTGAGGGTTCATGTCGTAGAGTTCATACATGATCTGATTTCCACAAAAGGGTGCTCCTACCCGAGTATGAATAATATGCTTGTTCATACTTTTCTTAGTAACGGATATATACCACAGCCAGTAAAACATTCAGAGACCCGTGAAGATCCCTGTTTGAACTGGTCTTCAGCAACCCATGCCTGTCGTAATAGGGCTCGCTGATTTGGTTGACACATGTCATCGTATCCTAATTGTGTAGATATTCATGATATTGATCACTGGATTGTCTGGTCCAGATCCGAATATTTACAGACCGCTACCATATAGTTGGAATATTGCTGTGTTAAAGAACAATGAAACAAATTATTCAGCCTAGAATTCGATGCCTGCAGGTCGCGATTGATTTCAGAACCCTGAACCTGCGTTGACCAAGGAAAACCCCCAATTGCGTAGATCGATGCTCATATGCTGCTGATCACTGAATTGTCTGTTCCAGTCTCGATTATTTACTGATCGCCGCCATATATACCTGGAATATTGCTGGGTGCGGCAAACAAACAAACAAAACCGAGGTATACCAACGGTGAACTTACTGATGCCATACTCAGTTTGACCTAAGATGCCATACCTATACAGATCACATCTTGTAATTTTATTATTAGGGTATTCTGACCCCCAGGCAAACTGTAGCGCAAATAGCGTTGCGCAACACAGAGAAAATGACCAGTCTTCCTATGTGTCTGACCAGTGGTGACCATAAGGGTTTGTAGCGCCAAAACTAGCACCATGCAGTGCTATGACCCCAACGCTGGCATTATATACTTTGGTGCTAGTTTTCTTGCGTTACAAGTCCCGTGGTTCTGGCGTTGCTAACACGATGAACATTTCTATCAGGCCATAATCTTGCATGATTCAAATGTGTGTTATAACTTAGCTAGTCGAAGAGAGTGAATGAGTGAGTTAGGTTTTACGCCGCTTTTAGCAATATTCCAGCAATGTCACGGCGGGGGACACCAGAAATGGGCTTCACACAATGTATCCATGTGGGGAATCGAACCCGGGTCTTCGGCGTGACGAGTGAACGCTTTAACCACCAGGCTACCCCACCGGCCCGAAGAGAGCGATATACTTACAAAATGACCCCATGAAAATTCACTAGCCAGTCGGGCCAGTGACTGTGGAGATTTACTGGGCCGACTGGACTTTTACTAGCCACGGGTTAGCGGGCCAGTGGCTATTTCGCACACTGCGTACTGTAGTTAATTTGTTGTTTACGCGGCACTCAACAATTTTCCAGCTACATGGTGGCGGTCTGTAAATAATCGAGTCTGGACCAGACAATCCAGTGATCAACAACATCGATCTACGCAACTGGGATACGGAATAGTTCATATCGTATTCCAGCCTAGGTCGAGCACACCTTGGTATAGTGCAAAGTCATCTAGTTATATGCTGGACTAGGATACGGAAGTACTGTAGCATTAACATTACTATCGGGTTCTTGTGTAAACATGCAGAGTGTAGAGGCTATCTATGTTGATCTGGAATCACTTGAAAACTGCACTAGATGCCACACAGATCCCAGAGAGGATTATCAACATCGGATATTTTCTGGTTGAATTTCAAACATGGGACTTTGTTTTCTTCTGTCTAGACACAGAAATATGCAGACAGCCCAATGCAGGTATTGAATATTCACAATGTAATCAGCTTAGCCAGATGAGACAAGATCTCAACAAACAAGGTTAAATCTGCAAACATTAGCCTGGATAGTTTCACATATTATGACCGTCAACAAGCAATGCCATGTGACATACAGAAATTGAGTGGATTGTGTTATAGCCAGCTTTAAACAGTATTTCAATTACAAAACAGAGCGTCCGACTGATGGAGGAAGCTGATGCAGAGCTTAGACCCTTCCCACTCGTGTAAAACTCACAAGCAGGCAACCCTCGAAAGATAATTGGAGCGAAATGAGAATTGAACCCTTGAACAACGGTTTTGTGTAAAACTAATGTATCCGTGAAGATCCCGTTAGAATTGGTCTATGGGGATCAGGTGGTCAGGATCGGATGGTCAGGCTCGCTGACTTGGTTGACACATGTAATCATATCCTTATTGCGTAGAATGAAGCTCTTGATGTTGATCACTGGATTGTCTGGTCCACACTCGACTATTTACAGACGGCCGCCATATAGCTGGAATATTGCCGAGTGCGGTGTAAAACTAAACTCACTCACTCGTAAAACTAAACTCACTCACTCACTCGGAATTCTCAACAGATGCACCTTGGGTCGCAGAGTCAACCATGCAGGGTGTACTAGGTCTAGTTCTATTGGACCTACAGCAGCCATTTCCGCGTGAATCTACACAATGACCGCCAGTTCACAAGTTGTCCTGGTTCATTCCTACAGTGAGAAGGGTATGTCAATCCTGTTTGATTTGAAGTTTTAAATCCAATCAGGTGCTGATAATGATGGGACCTGTTCTAATCCAGCCATCATGAACTACAGGGCGACGATGACAACACTTAAGAAAGTCATGGGCCTAATTGACCACTGCCCCTGGTAACTCTCTCTCTTGTAAGAGGCAACTAGCAGGATTGGGTGGTCAGACTTACTGACTTTGTTGCCATGTCATGATATCCAAATTGCGTAGGACCGCCTCTGTGGTGTAGTGGTTAGAGCGTCCGCCCGGAGAGTGGAAGGTCGCGGGAGCGATCACCGACCGCGTCAAGCGTCATACCAAAAGACGTTAAGATATGATACTTGTTGGTCCCTGCCTGGCGTTCGGCATTAATGGGTACATCAAGGACTGGTCAGCTAGGAGTCAGTAAAATGTGTCTGAGTGGGGTATTCATGCTTCACTGCGGCATGGTATCTCAGTGGGCTAGCACTATAAAACCAGCTTCAGTCTGGGCTAGTACAAGCAGCCGCATATACACATACACACGCATGCACGTCATCATATGAGAGAAATATTCTCAAGCATGACGTTAAACCCAATTTCACCTCACCTCACCTCACCCAATTGCGTAGAGTGATGGTCATGATGTTGATCACTGGATTGTCTGGTTCAGACTCGATTATTTACAGACCGTCGCCATACAGCTGGAATATTGCTGAGTGTGGCATTAAACAACAGACCAACCAACCTCTCTCCTCAGTTTCTCTGGTCACAAATACACAAACACAAACAAAATGTTACTTGACAAGCATCTTCATTATTTTTTCATTACAGTAATTTGCAAAAAACCCAACCTTCCTGAAATTACATGTTTGCATTGACTTGATATCAACATACAGGACACCAGCACAACAACATTGTAGAACATGTCACAGACCATGTGATCAACATAAAGAACACACCATATGTTGACGAAGTATCAACAACATGTAATATTGCTGAAACACACTCTTGTAACACAAACTCTAATGAAGAACAATTCCAAATGATTTTGACATCATTATTTTAAAAAAAAAAATTAAGGAAATATTGAAACTCATAAATAGTTATATTAACATGGAAATAATCCAGACAAAGAAAGATGAGAATTTACAAAACTATTGCTGATAAGTTAATTAAAAACTCTCATAAACATATAAACCATCCACACAAAGATTGAAAGTGAGTGAGTTCAGTTTTACACCGCTTTTAGCAATGTTCCAGCAATATCGCGGTGGGGGACACCAGAAATGGGCTTCACACATTTTACCCATGTGGGGAATCGAACCCGGGCCTTCGGCGCGACGAGCGAACGCTTTAACCACTAGGCTACCCCACCGCCCCCAAAGATTGAAAGAAAGACCAGAGTTTTCACAATACTAAAATGACTACTGACCGCATGAAGGAGAGGCATCTTGGACTTGAGTATAATCATCATATTTCATATACTGTCATACACAGTTATTGGTATCATGGCATATAAGTCACTTATTGAAGATATATCATGTGGCACAGAGTATAGTAAACAAAACACAAAAGACACAATCTGATACAAGGCTTAAGTAGTCGTGTATATCAAGATATTTCATAACAGTACTATGTTCCAACTCTTCCAACAGATACATTGTATTCCAGTTTCCATGAATTCCAAATCATACATCATTTCCTGATTAGACTGCCACAATTGATACACATACTGAAATACACCTGTCAGTGTTTCATCCATATGCAGTTTGGTTGTTGTTGCCACCCTGTAACCATGGTTATCGTATATATCGAAATGATGATCAAACATGTAAATCCAGTTACTACAAGTAGTCAGCAAACTGAAACAAGCTCACTAATGTCTGTTCAAATATCTTCACCAAAACATGTGTAAATAAACTTTAATGATGACAGGCTCAAGGGAATCTGTTTTATGCTGACATGTTTTAGTTGCAGAATTCATGTTAAATGCTGCCTTGTCTCCCAGATGTGAATACACTTTGAAGGTCGTAGTGGTTCAATCCGCCGAGGCCGGAAGGTGTGGTTCAATCCCGACTTCGTCATACCAAAAGACCTTAAAATATGGTACTTGTTGGTCCCTGCCTGGCGCTCGGCATTAATGGGTACAACAAGGACTGGTCGGCTCGGAGTCAGTATAATGTGTCTGAGTGGGGTATCCATGCTTCACTGCGGCATGGTATCTCAGTGGGCTAGCACTATAAAACCAGCTTAAGTCTGGGCTAGTACAAGCAGCCTCACATACACACACACACGCATGCACGTCGTCATATGAGCGAAATATTCTCAAGCACGACGTTAAATCCAATTTCACCTCACCTCACACTTCTCAAATAACATCAACAACCTCTATCCTAAGAAAAACATAAGGTCAAATGAAACAATCATGTATTCTTTAACTTTTGTTGAGAAGTACCGGTATGTATGTAATCTCAAAGTGTTCAGCCTTCACATGTTCACCAGGTAAACAGTATTACTTCAGCACTACATTACTAGGGACGCTTGTTCCACACTCAGAATGGAATGCCCAGTTTATATACATGTTTTTATCCTCAAACTGCAAGGTACAAGTTACTCTGGAGTATGTCTGTGTCACAAGGAATACAAAAGTTTTCATCCTCAACCTGCAAGGTGCCAGTCACACTGGAACATGTCTGTGACACAAGGAATAGAAGTGAAAGAAGCTACAGATGCTCTGAGACTTAAGTTACAAAACAACAGAAAGCTGATATCACAGACAGAAAGACACCGTTCAAGCACTGGTAGTTAAGATTTTCCTCAAAACATCATTCACAGATATCCCTGTTTTTTTCCACATTCAGGTCCAATGCATCTGAACAGTGCATTAAAACTCATAATCTGATTGTGAATCATAAAAATTACAGTGAGTGAGTGAGTTGGTTTAACACCAATTTGAATAGTATTCCAATTATATCTTGTAGGGCTGTAACAATTCACTTGCATATTCACTGCGTCGAATCCCTTCATGAATGCAATTTGCTATTTGCGAACACTGGAATCAAATATTCATGATTCTTTTTAAACATGGGAGTTTATATTTGAATTTGAGTGTTATTTATCAAAACAAGATGATAAATGGATATATCAACGCTATATCAGAATTACAGTCAACACATACATATCTACCTTACATATCTTACATATCTAATTTGACAGTTATGTCGTCACTGGTCACTGTCATGAAATATTAAGACGGTCAACATGGTCAAAACATGTCAAATAATGTATTTTGTTATTGTTCTACTGAATATACTAAATAATACATTAGCTGTTGATTTCTTGGTATATTTGTTACCTAATATTCGTATTCATTACCCAGTATTTGTGATCTGCAGCATATTTGCCTCGTAGTGGATTGTTGCAGCCCAAGTATCTTGGCTTGTCAGCTTAATGTTGGATGAAAAGGTAGTTAAAGCCACAAGAATGGGATCGTGCTAACAACCTAGTAACAACTGGAGTGAAGCTCGATAGTCTACCCTCGGGACATCACGATGCATGGTAAATTGTGTTGCCTTTGAGTCACCTGTGCCCACCGTCGACAAGACTAACAACACTGACCATCCGTTCTCTATGTGTATTGTGAGACGATGATGATGATCTCAGTGCAGTCCATAAATACAGTGAGACTCACATTTTGCTTGTAAGACGACAAACAACAACCTGATTTCATGTCGACCGACTGCTGCGGTGTGACTCACACTTAATCGTGATCGGTCACACAACCACTGGCCATCTGTTCTCTATGTGTATTGTGATGTCAGAAAACAAAGATGATGATCTCAGCGCAGTCCAGGATTACAGTCTGACTCACATTTTGCTTGTAAGGCGATACACAACCTGATTTCACGTCAATCAACTGCTGCGGTGTGACTCTCGCTTGATTATGATCAGTCACACAACCACTACACCCGCTTCACACCTGCTTATTGTCATGCTGGTCAGCTTGACCCAAGTGTCTGTTTCAGGGTTGTAACGTTCCATCAGGTCAAGGGTGGCAGGGGCAGAGTGGTCAAGGGTGTACGTCCGGCCACCTATTGCATAGATTTGACCATTCACAGCGGCAACGCCAGCACCAGCCCTCCTCACAGACATCGGTGCCACCTCCTCCCACTTGTCCTGTGATGGAGAAAACATGATTATCGGTACTGTTCAAAGTACAATATGTGAACTACAGTTAAATTAAACAGGTTCAATTTTTATGGAACAATATCATTAATTTAATTCAGGCAAAATTATATTTGGTTTTAGAGATGATCCTATGGAACAGAATAGAACATATGAACAGAACAACTTCTCTTCCAGGTATAGGGGTGGACATAACTTTAAAATTGTTAGTGAGGCTCGGTACAGTGGTACATGTAAAATCACTTGCCCTGATAATGTTTCCACTATACCCACCGAACGTTTTCTTGTTGATTTTTTAAATAAACAACATAATTAACATTGGAATGTCAACTAGACACCGGTACAGTGTGATATACAAATTTCCTTGCCCAAAAGAAAAAACACTTGACTCGGGCATCGGGCAATGGGTTATTTCCACCCCTGAGGTACCGTTCATTAATAATAACTTGGTCATATATTGAAGATGGAACAAGTTTGATTTAAGTTTTATCAGATATTCTTTACTGAATGAATATCTAGAATGTCCAGCAACCAATGTAATTCTTAGGATAAGAGTGAATGCTACATTGTATTTTTACAGTATATTCCATGTTCTCTGGAGTGAGTGAGTGAGTTTAGTTTTACGCCACACTCAGCAATATTCCAGCTATATGGCGGCAGTCTGTAAATAATCGGGTCAGGACCAGACAATCCAGTGATCAACAGCATGAACATCAATAGACTACGCAATTGGGATACAATGACATGTGTCAACCAAGCCAGCGAACCTGACCACCCGATCCCGTTAGTCAGCCTCTTATGACAAGCATGGGTTACTGAAGACCAATTATAAACCTGATAACCTACTAATAGTACTATTGTCAGCACGGATCACACTGACTTACATCACAGAAGTGATTAACAGACCACACAGCTGCGTAAATAGTACTGAATCGCTCACATCTACTCAGAAAGCATAATTCAGCATGGTTTTCAGTATGGTCATGGTGCTATACTATGTAGATAGTCTTCCAATAACTTATCAAAGGGACACAACTCTTGCCATTACCTAAGAAATATTTTATCTTTCAAACAGATCAAAGATTTTAGCCATATCATATGCAAAATAAGATGTTGATTTATTAACATGCATATCACCATCTACACATTTTGGATAAGTATATTTTAATTATTTGCATATAGCTAATATCTGTTGTTTCATGTCAAACTTATGTCTGTTACAGTCATATATCCATACGCATGATAGACTACTGGGGTCCTCATCAGCACCCTTTCCTGTCATGAAACGTACACCAAACACATGACATTGTTCTTTTTCTTAAAATTTCTTGAAAATTAAAAAACTGCAAATATGAATCCAAAACCAGTCAAAACTCACATTTTCAATGGAGTATTTTTCCACAGATGCAAGAGACCCATGGTTCTCATTCCATCCCCCTACTGCATAGATATAGTCGTCGATGGCCGCGACGACCGACATACCCGCGGGACATGTGCATGTCACTGAGTCTCTGCCACTCATTGGTTACAGGGTTGTAGCTCTCCATGTGCCGCAACTCTGTGCTGCCCATGTCACTCAGACCTCCTATCACATAGATTAGACCTGGAACAGAGAGACAGACCAGGTTATCATGTCACTCAGACCTCCTATCACATAGATTAGACCTGGAACAGAGAGACAGACCAGGTTATCTTGTCACTCAGACCTCCTATCACATAGATTAGACCTGGAACAGACAGACCAGGTTATCTTGTCACTCAGACCTCCTATCACATAGATTAGACCTGGAACAGACAGACCAGGTTATCTTGTCACTCAGACCTCCTATCACAGACCTCCTATCACACTCAGACCTCCTATCACATAGATTAGACCTGGAACAGACAGACCAGGTTATCTTGTCACTCAGACCTCCTATCACATAGATTAGACCTGGAACAGAGAGACAGACCAGGTTATCTTGTCACTCAGATCTCCTATCACATAGATTAGACCTGGAACAGACAGACCAGGTTATCTTGTCACTTGTCACTCAGACCTCCTATCTTGTCACTCAGACCTCCATCACATAGATTAGACCTGGAACAGACAGACCAGGTTATCATGTCACTCAGACCTCCTATCACATAGATTAGACCTGGAACAGACAGACCAGGTTATCTTGTCAGACCTCCTATCACATAGATTAGACCTGGAACTATCAGACCAGGTTATCTTGTTCAGACCTCCTATCACATAGATTAGAGAACAGACAGACCAGGTTATCTTGTCACTCAGACCTCCTATCACATAGATTAGACCTGGAACAGACAGACCAGGTTATCTTGTCACCAGACCTCCTATCACATAGATTAGACCTGGAACAGACAGACCAGGTTATCTTGTCACTCAGACCTCCTATCACATAGATTAGACCTGGAACAGACAGACCAGGTTATCTTGTCACTCAGACCTCCTATCACATAGATTAGACCTGGAACAGACAGACCAGGTTATCTTGTCACTCAGACCTCCTATCACATAGATAGACCTGGAACACAGACCAGGTTATCTTGTCACTCAGACCTGGATCACATATAGTTTAGAGAACAGAGACAGACCAGGTTATCTTGTCACTCAGACCTCCTATCACATAGATTAGACCTGGAACAGACAGACCAGGTTATCTTGTCACTCAGACCTCCTATCACATAGATTAGACCTGGAACAGACAGACCAGGTTATCTTGTCACTCAGACCTCCTATCACATAGATTAGACCTGGAACAGACAGACCAGGTTATCTTGTCACTCAGACCTCCTATCACATAGATTAGACCTGGAACAGACAGACCAGGTTATCTTGTCACTCAGACCTCCTATCACATAGATTAGACCTGGAACAGACAGACCAGGTTATCTTGTCACTCAGACCTCCTATCACATAGATTAGACCTGGAACAGACAGACCAGGTTATCATGTCACTCAGACCTCCTATCACATAGATTAGACCTGGAACAGACAGACCAGGTTATCTTGTCACTCAGACCTCCTATCACATAGACTAGACCTGGAACAGACAGACCAGGTTATCTTGTCACTCAGACCTCCTATCACATAGAAGATAAGGTCAAGGTCACCCAAATCAACTGGTGTCTGCCTAATCCCCCAATTTAGGCTGTCATCAAAATTTGAAGATATTGGGTACAACATTGCATATCACGTTAACAAGAGTTATCATGTTAACAAGAGTTTGAAAAGTGTTTAAAGTGTCATGTGACCTTGAAAATAAGGTCAAGGTCCCCCAATGTAGGCTGTCACCAAATTTGAAGACATTTGGTATAACTGTTCATGAGATATCGCGTTAACAAGAATCAGGATGTACGTACATACGAATGCTGCTGAATACATAAGTTCCCCATTCCACATTGTGGTGGGGAAAATTAAGAAAAAGATAGTCACTGAATTACAAATACAAATTTGATAATAATCAGGATAGTAATAAATAACCTGAACATTATTCTGCCAGGTGCCTGATGAGTGAGTGAGTGAGTATGGTTTTACGCCGCGTTTAGCAATATTCCAGCAATATCACGGCGGGGGACACCAGAAACGGGTTTCACATATTGTACCCATGTGGGAACGAGCCAACACTTTAACCACTAGGCTACCCCACCGCCCAGGTGCCTGATGATGTATAATACAACATACATAACAAATACATGCTCAGCTTTTAATGCTAATAAGCATGAACATGCTGAAGTTCCTACAATTCCTAGTACATGTAGTAACAAATCACTATTTTGATAAACATGATTAGCATAACATCCAATAGTTACTGACCTTCATGTTCCACTACCCCCATGGCAAATCTGGGCACTTCCAGCTGGCCAATAATCACCCAGGCATCTGTCTGAAAGTCATATCTTTCTATCGTGTTCCCAATCTCAGAACCAATCCATCCTCCGAAAGCAAACAGGTAATTCTTGAACGAACACACTCCCAACCCACACCGAGGGTAGTTCAAATTAGGCAGCGTCGACCACTTGTTTATTGCAGGATCATAACACTCAACACTGTCGTTAATCAGAGCATCGTTCTCGCCGCCGATGACATAAATCTTCCTGTCGAGCACAGTCACCCCATGACCACTGCGAGCGTTCTTCATACATGGTATTCCATGCCACAGATGATGGAAAGTGTCATAGCGTTCCGCAGAGACCAGCGTCTCGATGTCACTCCAACGAGAATCCTTTCCTCGAGTGTAACCACCTATAACGAAAATATTTTTCCTTGCACTTTTCCTTGGCTGAAGCATGTGTGGGTGTGTTCTTGAGAGTTTAAGTTCTGAGTAGAGTTTGCGGTCCACTTTGTAGTCCTGAAGAAGTTTCTGCAGGGCTATCTTCAGGCTGATATCCTGGCACCTGTCGATACACGCATCTAGACTCTGTTGAGGTATTATGGGAAATCGGACGGGGCGCCATGACATCAAACACGTGCCTCTTTCTAACTGCAAGGTCATGGTGAATCCACTTCATAGCTGCATTAAATACCTGGAAGAGTTCCAGTAAAGCTCAAGTGCAAATAATCTCTTGTATTGTGTAATGTTCTTCCCTTTAAGGAAAGTCAGACCTCATTTTCAAAGGATAAGTTTTGCTGTGTTTGTTTGATATTTAATGCCACACTCAGCAATATTCCAGCTAAATAACAGTGGTCTGTAAATAATCAAGTCTTGACCAGACAATCCAGTGATTGACATCATGAGCATCTATCTACGCAATTGGGATACAATGACATGCATCAACCAAGTCAGCGGGTCTCAAACGACATGGATGGGATGCTGAAGACCAACTCTAACCCGGATTTTCACGGGTATCAAAGCATGAGAATCATCCCTTCAAGACATCATTATCCTGTAAAATAAACATGCAAACACGAGAGCATACTTTAATGCCATTTGGAACAGTATTCATGTCTTTACTTGTAAGATAATGGAAGAGGAAAGCCTGCAGTGATGTACGAGGGGCTATCAAATTGACAGCAGTACGAGTACCCCATGGGACTCAGTACTCGTACTGTCAATCATTCTTCAATATGCTTCACCGGATGGCCCTCGAGGACCAAAAACTTTATGACTGCTCTGTACTCAAGCTTATCCATTTCTGCCGTTTCAATAGGGGTACATGTGATTAGTTGTCACGTGACCGGAACCTAGCAACATGTGCATGTCGATATTACATTTATGTGAATGATATAAACCATTCTTCAATATCACACAGGTATTTTCATCATGCACATATCAGAAGTATTTTAGGCTAAAAACGTTTTGATAGCCCCTCGTAGGTCTTTGAAACCACCATGCATGTGTATAGTGTGAAAAGAAGTGTGAAATTCAAACAGATGATCATAGGTGACAACTGTGTCCAAAGGGACTTGAAGTACCTTAGACAAATGTGTCTAACTGACAATATAGAAGCTGCAGAGAATCAGATTTGGGTATGTTTGGTACAGCAACAGAATGATGTACTCCTGTAGTAGATCTGACATGTTTTCTCATGCTGCTGTAACAGTACATCTGAGTAACAATATAAACATAGAGAATGATGATGATGATGATGATGATGATGATGATGATGATGATGATGATGATGATGATGATGGTGGCGGCGGCAGTGGTTCACATACCTGAAGCTCCTGTTCAACCCTGAGTTTTTCACTGGACAGGAAATGTATCAGCACGTCTTTGGGCAGCGTAAGAAATTCTTCCTCTCGTGATACTTGCATAAAGTGTCCCTGAATGTAACTTTCTGCCTCGTCTCTCACATCCAGGCACTGGTGGGCATCAGCAAACAGGTAGATACCTGCAATACAAATGACAAACTGGCATTTGAGGATGTAGTAAGAAGAGTCTGTATTCTCCACAACTCCATGATCAACAGCTGTTATACTTTAAATACCCACTCAAACATGCCACAAAGTACATTGTTAACCATGATAATAAAACTCATGATTTGTTCGGCATAAAGGGAAATGTTTCTAACTTTGAACTGATTTTTTCATAAGAAATGCTTTCATGTATATGGCAGGACTTTGTCTGTATAAGTGAAATCGTCTAAATCTTGAAAACATATTCATTATGCTCAGGTGTTTCAACTGATGAATAAACAGAACTGATGTTTTCAACACACCAAGTAAATGTCAGAAGTGACTCTAACACTAGAACTGACCTAGAGAGTTGTCTGGTTGGAGCTGAGTTTTGAGGAACTCACTGCATGCCATGACAACATCGACCAGCCCCAGCATGTCACACACACCCAGAAGGTCCTGGCAGTTCTCTGATGTCACCTCCACTTGACCTGAAACACATACATATGTACCTGACTCTTTTACACCTGGAAACATGGTTCCAAAGCACCAAAATCAACTTTTCTGCTGCATCACTTGAATACACATTTTGTCAATTTTCTACTTAATTTGGTAATGATACAGAAGAATGTCATATAAAAAATTGGCAAAAGAATGTTTAAATCCTGATGCCATTATCTTTGAAAAAGACCCGGTAAATACCTGACAAACAAGTGCCAGAAAGTGTTAGGAAAATATCAACAGTCGCATTTCTTCAGTATTGACAAACTTAAAGGATAACAGCTTCTTTTATTTAGTGGGTAATGTTTGATACAGATACTGCAGGTTTGACAATGGTACAAAAATCTGTATCAAAATGTCAACCATGATAAAGTTTGTCAATATTCTACTTCCCAACGTATAAAATGCTACATTTCTTCAAGTTCAGTTCAGGGAGGTAACTCTAATCTAACATGTCTGGTAATGTATGAAGAGTTGCCTCCCTTGGACTGATAGCAGAATTTCATCATCGGTGTACCTCATGAATAAACCTTGGGAGTTCAAACTGACCTGAAAAATTCTGAATAATTATGAACCGAACTATATATATAGATTCCTTTATTAAATCACTAAAACAAAATAAGAGAACGGCATTCACTCACCTGAGTAAATAAAATTTAGGGCAGTTTCAAAGATGTATGCTTCTGTGTCCTGCAATGTTATCTCACTACTGCTCTGTTCCTGCATCCCGGAGGAGAACATGGCGCGGAAGTAGGGGCTGGCTGCAGACAACACGTGTCGATGTGCCCTGAAGCTCTTCCCTGCTACAGTGATTGTTACATCACAGAACAGAGCCTCCCTCCACAGATCACACAGGCCATGCAGCAACATTTCAGCATAGCAGGGAGCTGTGGGGTTGATTTTGGACGGAGTTTTGTCACTGCTTGTGTCTCGAGATATTGTTAAAGCTCTTGTGATTCGGCTGAGAAAGTCAAAGCTGGATGCCATCTTGACTGTTCACATTCACTGAAGTTCCAGGATTTTGTATTTTCTTGAACTGAAACCAAATGTTGGTTAAATTCATCATATCACAAGACAACAGTGTCACATGCAAGTCTCGAGCCAGGTCAAGTCTCTCTAGTCTCAATCAATATTAGCTTATGTTAGCACAGATATCAAAGACAACTTCCTTTCAAGCCACTCCTGTTTTCAAGCAACAACTTGTCAAAAGGTTTTGGTACTGAACCTGTAAACTTGAGAGAGACAGATGTTTTTTTAATTGCCACTATATTCAAGGCAATGTACTGTATTTGTTCATAACTGACAAAATATACCTTTTCCATCAAAATACCTGCTGTATATTATTTGGGAAAAACAGATTATTAAAATTAGACAATAGCTTGTAATGTGTATTTGTGAAGGTTAATTTTAATTCAGCACTGCACTCTTTTGGACTTGCTTAACAATACATACGTGCATGACTACGATGAAGTAGGGGATAACCACAGATAAGCACATTATACATCAATTAAGGTATCATACCCCAAACAATATATTGTCTGTACCCTGATCAGCATATAATATCATGAAAATTGTGATATACATATTTGTCAGCACTAATTTCCAAGATGAAGATAAGATGTAAATAACAATAGCTATGTTTCACATCCATCAGATGGTGATCTTCTTTTTATCATTTTCATATCCTTGGGGTACAAATAGATGTCAAATAAAAGTGGAAAGGTTTTCAACGAACAACAGTGTTCACGAAAGGAGAATACATTCGCGAACATGTTTTTTATCCAAGGATTCAACTTCATTCAAGGGTAGAGGATTGTGGACATCCTACCCTTAAGGCTTAACTAACTCTGCTTCGAAGAAGTAAAAGTGAAGCGAATGCAAAGATTTTTCTTGAGCTATATCCATTTCTTACAATATTATTTATCGATATAAGGTGACGAACGGATTTTTATCGCTCCAAAGGCAAAGATATCTTATATTTTCTCAAAGCAATGTCACATAGTGAATATGAATCTTCATCCGTGCAACCTCGCATAAGGAGAAACAAATAACTGGTCAAGAAAGCGTCTTACGTGTTTGACAGTCGTTGATGGTTTGTACATGCACAGAAGCTTTAATGTTGACAACTCGCAAGGTTTATTGATGCTTGTTAGAATTTCCAAACTCTTCATAACACCGTACGTTCTAGTCCACAACCGGTGATCTTCTTTTGCTGTTTTGTCAGTGGTCTTTATAGATGCGTAGGCGCATTCAAGGCATAAAACTTATATAAAATTCGGTGCATGGAGCTAGGTAAACTATTTCCGGTTCTTGGTATGTTAAAAATATGCACAAACAAAGAAACGAAACTGGCACATTTTCTGCGAAATTATCATTACTTACAATTTGTCAGTGTCAGATACGATAAATATATATATCGTATGGTAGAAAAATCAGTCGGTCGGTTGGGGTGAGTTCGGTTGATGACGCTAAGTGCAGAGTAGCAAATATTTAGGGCGTGCCTACTCGGTGTGGGACGACAGGCCAAGCTTATATTAGGTGATGCTGGTCTTGGACCTTTACCACATTGGTGCAACTCACGAGTTCGTGTTTACGTTCAAAAAGTTCAGAATATATCATGAAGGTATATATAAATAAACGTGTCTGGACCAGGCAAACCACTGGTCTCGTGACGTTGATCATACACGTCTTGTTACCTCGCCCGCCTGCTCCCGAGTTTGTTTTGACTGGAGGTGAGAAACTTGTGAAAAAAATGCGGATGACTTTACATGGCCCTGCGAGTACACTTGCCTCTGTTCACAAACAAATTAATTGCAGTGGATCACACCTCATCTTGAATCCTCATTCGGATATATATTCATATATTTACACGCTCGTAATTTCCCTATACTTGTGTCTGTTAACTCCTCCAGCACAGTTGGGGCAGTGAGGTAGCCTAGTGGTTAAAGCGTTCGCTCGTCATGGTTCGATTCCCCACATGGGTACAATCTGTGCAGCACATTTCTAGTGTCCCCCGCCGTGATATTGCTGGAATATTGCTAAAAGCGGTCACTCACTCACTCACTCCAGGACAGTTTGTCGTTTTTAATCAATGTACAATGGGCGTGACCTTGGGCTTGCCAGAGAAAACACTGTCCAGATGAACTCTTAACAGTCTTTGGAAAAGCGTGTATGGAGTTTCGTTAACGTCACGTGACGTAAAGAAACATGGCGGGCAGAGATAAATTTATTTTTTTGTATTGTGTTGATATTCGTTTCAGTCAGTGTATGTGTAGGTATGAATTTACTTTCTCATGCTTTCATATCAAACATTTAACAAGGTGTAATATGGATTTCATGTACACAATATTTTGTATACTCAATACTGGAATTGTACTTCTAACGTCGCTGCCAGTGACCTGACTCCTGTGTGTCAACCATTTGCAGAATATTTTAAATGAGGACGTGGGAAATATAGCAAGTCCGATCACTTACATCCACCGTATGTACTATTACCAGGTAACCAGCCTTCCCATGAAGACGCATCGGAATGTGAAGCAAGCGAAGATCCTCCAATCAGTACCGCCTCAGATGATACATGTGAAATGACAGGAAACGATGACACTTGTAAAAGAACCGGGAACGATGACACATATGAAAACAATGGGGATGATGACACATGTAACGAGACACAGCAATGCCCCAAAGGATTTCATGGAGAGAATTGTGATAAACGTAAGACATTATATCTGAATTTCTCATAGTCTCATACATGTAAGTAGTTACCATGAAGAAAGATAGCATAGACAAGTTGAAAAGTGTTTTGTTTTTGTTTTTGTTTTCATGTTAACAGAGTTGGAAAAGCACACTTGACAAGCAAGTTTCTATCTGGAAATATTTTTTTCAGCAGCGAATATAATGTAAAAAATTATCATCAAACACACAAAACAAACTCATAATTCCCAAGGCTAGGTGTGGTAAAATTTCTTTGTGTTTAAGTATTTTTGCAGTTGAACTGAGGTCTTGTCATGTTTAATTGAGGGGAAATCAATCCTTATTCTAACGGGCATATAGCTATGTTACAGCCTGCGAATTCGGCTCGTGGGGTCCACGTTGTTCGCTCCCCTGTGGTCAGTGTAAAAGGGGCGGTGTCTGTAACAACGTCAACGGCGTCTGTCCCACGGGCTGTGCTGATGGCTGGATAGGAAAATATTGCAATAAAGGTGCGTTTATGTTTTTTTGTCTGTCACTTATTAAGTTAAATTTGTCAAACCGCTTGTCCATATCCCTTTGCAAAAAGAATATATCCCTGTGTTAATTTTGTTTGATATGTTATACGATGTCAAAAACCTATGACAGTCTAATGGATAGAGGTCTTTCCGGAGAGGGGAAGGTCAGTGGCTGGATCCCTGACTACTTCTCCTAAAAACAGAGACAAAAGCGGGTTCTGTCCAGACCAATGGCATTAAGGGGATAAAACAATTGTGTCAGCAAAATGCGTTTGAGTATTAAACAACGGCATGGGTTTACTGTGCACTAGATAAAGGTGGCATTTGCTGGAGTACAACCACACAGGTTCCTATGTACAATCTTGACGGCAGCGTGAAGCACCATTTCTCATCCCACTTGATTTGTTAACCAAGCTTCATGTCACATCTGTTGGCATAGAAAGGGGAGAAAGCAAGAAATTTAAAAACCATATTGCTCCTGTCATCATAATGAAATCACAGGATGCAGTAATAGTTCAGTGTAGGGTTTGCTAATACTAAAGATATACATGATTTCACCAGATCATTTTATCTGTTGGGGTACACCTTCATGCTTGTGTAGTTATTTGATACTTTGGGTGCTGTTACAACTGTTTATCATCTAACTATTCAGTGTGTGACAGCGGCATGTGGGGCAGTGGCTGTAAAACACCATGCGGTCACTGTGCGGCCAGTGACGTGTGCGACCCTACGACAGGACACTGTCCCGGCAAGTGCTCTAATGGCTGGGTTGGAAAAGACTGCAACAAGAGTAAGTCCACTGAATCACGAGTATTGTACTGCCGCTTCTGTAGGTCGTTGTCACTTCGTTTACTTGTGTTCATTCGTTATTAAACGCCCCATTCAGCGTCAATCAGCGATAGTCTATACCCATAGAACGCCCTCTGTAAATACCCCAGTCTGGACCAGATAACCAAGTGTTTTGCATCCAGCACATGTGATGATATCATTATGATTATTGCTTGCAAAATCAAAAGTAATGTGTAGAAAATGAAACAGAAGCAAAATGAGTCTCAAGGTTGCATGATTTCTTAATTATCTATATAAACCATCCAAAGTAAAACACCCTTCTCATACATCAGAAAAGATATATGCTATCTTCACCTAGTTCGATGTCTTTTTCTTTTATGTTCTTTTTCATGATCAATCTCAAAGTTGCATGATTGAATGTTAAGTATCTATATAAACAATCCCTCTCACACAGTTATGGTAGAAGTTCCCCATCACACATCAGAAAAGATATGTGTTATCTTCACCCATATAAAAGTCTTTTCTTCAATTGATGTGTTCATGATCAAATTAATGGATGAAACTAATGCTTTTCGAAAGCCACTTCACCCAGATTCTGTACACGAAAAAGGCAAGAATATGACGTGAAGAGCTACCATATTGAAACACTACCATAAGATCACCGGCTGAGTACATTAGACTAACGCTGAATATATAATTTTGATTGTGGTAAATAAACCTATTTAAATTGAAAAGGAGGCAGACCAGAGATTCAGAACCTGAACCTGGGGAAATCTAGACTTGCTTCATTTAGGACTTTAGCACTGCAGAGAGGGCTTGGCAGGAGGGAAAATAATGTGGTTCAGGGACTGTGAGACAGACTAGGAGTACATTTACGGGATGTGATAGGAACAGAACGAGTTTCGCGATAGTTGTTTAGCGATTTCTCCACACATTTCCGTGATTTGTGGTCCTTGTGATTCATGCACTGTCATATTTCATCACATTATGAATATTCTTGTTTCAGAATGTATACATGGTCTGTGGGGTGAAGATTGTACCGTTATGTGTGGGATGTGCAAAAAGACGTGTAACAATGTGGACGGGACGTGCGATGGAGGTTGTCACAGAGGGTTCTATGGCGACCGTTGTCAGTATGGTCAGTGATTTACCCCAGGATTATGCCCTACAGGGAAACGTTAAATGTGATGTTTCCCCTCGAAATAGTAATCGGTACAGGCTGTTTGTTGTTTAACGCCGCACTCAGCAATATACCCATAAGGCGGGGGTCTGTAATGGGGTCAAGTCTCAACCAGACCTTCAAGATCAACAGCATAATCGGGTTTAAAATACAATGACACACTGCAAGTGTTTTAATATTACGTACACGTTTGTGAATGGTAAGTCTCAATCGAAACAATTTCAAAATAATTGAGTTGTGTTGGAAAATAATCCCCAAACACTGGGTGTGTACTTTCTTTTGTACTTCAGTTCATATAGAATAGGCTAATTCTTAAAGTATATATTACAGGTGTACTGTAGGTTCACTTAGGGTAAGCCTTTTTATGTCATGAGTGTTGAATACTGCATGTCGCAAATAGTAGTTGTGCATTTGAATTTTGACATGCTCCGATGATCAGGGATTCAAATTCCGGTTTCGTTTTGATTAAATTGTGGTGGGTCAGCATTGTGGTCGGGTGGTCAGGCTCCCTGACTTGTATGCCAATGTGCATACATCGACGCCAAGGATGGCAATCTCCAGATTGTCAGTTCCGGTTCCAACAACCTGAAGGAGCTAGAGTTCTTCATCGTGGCATGATCTTATATGAATGAAAATAAGAAAACACTAATCTTGAAAATTGGACTTATCCAAAAAACGTACCAAAACGTTACTAGGCTGAAAACAGTCACTAATACACTGCAAACGTAAGGTCCAAATCACAACTATGATACCCCTACCAAATACATTACAATGCGGGCGGTGGGGATAGCCTATAGTGATCAAAGCGTTCCTTTCTCTGGTCACGCTGAAGGCCTGGGTTCTATTCCCCACATGCGTAAAATGTGTGAAACCCATTTCAGGTGTCCCTCGTCATGATGTTGCTGGAATACAGCCTCGACGCCTCGCTATCCGGACGATTTCTGAGTGTAACCAAAATGTCCGGATAAACGGGATTCGACTGTATTGCTAAAAGCGGCGTAAAACTATATTGACTCACTCACTCACATTACAACGCAGTAGATGTAATCTTTTCTTCTTCTTTTTTTTTTATAGCAAATATCGAACGTGAATGTACACTTTACACGTTCATCCATTAATTGCTTTCCAGGGTGTGAAACTGGGACGTACGGTGTAAACTGCGAAGGCCGATGTACAAACTGTCGTCACAAACAGTGTAACGGCATTCTTGGAAACTGTCTCATTGGCTGCAACAAGGGCTGGACGGGCATCAAGTGTGACAAGATTGCAGGGAGCGCCTGACAGATCACCTTCAGATAGAACCAATAGAAACACAAGTACTCTGAATGAAGATTCAGAAATCATCTCATTCACCGTTTTTAGTCATCATATAGCCTGGATATTGTATGCTATTGATCATATTCATCAAGCCTTGTCAGATACTTTGTTGTTCTTTTGTGATTGTTATTACATTATGACAAGTTACTATTATTTGTTCACAATTTGTCTTTTTCTGAAATCAGTGTGTGTATAAATTTAACCGACAGTCATTCAACATAAAGGTGTTTTACTATATTCACGGATAATGTTTTCGTTACATATTTTGTATCCTTTGGGTAACATTTTTAAAAGCAAATTTTACTAGGACTCATTGACTACAATTAAATGATTGAAAACTGTCTGTAAGTGATACTTACATTTTCAAGCACGCTCGCCTCGCTACCACAAACAGTTTCAAGTGTTTTTATGCCTAACCACCCCAACCACACACACACACACACACACACACACACACACACACACCCCATCGTAACGCGTGTTGCAGGGAATGCACGTGCACGCTTCAGAAACGGACATTCTTCATGTGAATTAAATTCTTTCGTTGTAGTCTCAGTGGAAGCTAACAAGAACGGTTTCTAAGCTTGATGTGGGCGGTGGGGTAGCCCAGTGGTTAAAGCCTTCACTCGTCACGCCGAAGGCCGGGTTCGATTCCCCACTTCATGTGTACAATGTGTGAAGCCCATTTCTGGTGTCCCCTGCACCGATATTGCTAAAAGCGGCGTAAAACCCAACTCACTCAAAGCTTGACTCAGACAAGTACACCACTATTCAGTTGGATACGTAAACTAATAATTGGGTAGGTTCATTATTGACGTGTTTCTGTTCTGATTTTTCAGTGATGAATAAAAATAGTTTTGTTATTTCATTGTTGACTGATTTATCCTCAGGTAATTCAGAGACCATATATGGTCTCTGGGTAATTCCACGGTTCCTGGTAGAATTTTATGCATATTGCAATGCGTGGACAGTTGTTTTTTCTGCTGTGTGAATTGTTATAAGGTTTAGTTTTCATTTGGAGGTATAAGGCAGAATTGCTCCGGATGAGTCCAGAACGATGTCTACTGAGTAGCTTCCACAGACTCAGTGTGCGCTTCCTAAAAAGCGATTTGCCGCGCTTAAATGCTCCTTAATTTCGCGCGTTTTGCCTTCACAAACTATAGACAGGAGCCCAGTGAATTGTTTTTTATCCTTACGGAAAGATGGCTGTTTAGTCAAACACACCAACCTGGTTGTTGTAAGCCCGGATTGGATAATATCTTACTGTTGTCGGAATGTTCTGTTACTTGGTTCAACCCAGGGAAAGAGACGGCTAGTTGTTTCAACCCCACTCACGCACAGTTGTCGGACAGTTGCGACGCGCACCCGAGTGAAAATACCAGTCTGTCACATACCGGAAGTGACACTGGGAGCGGATATTACTTTATGTCTAAATTTAGTACGTTTCGTTTCGGTTTAGTTCATGAATTCATAACCGAACTGGCGCCACAACACGCTCGCCTTAATACGTTTTATATAATTCACAAACTTAACAACACAGTTAATTCAGTGTTTGTAATAAACACAATAATTATATCGGACAATTTGATTTATATTGTATACATTTCTTTTACATTTTAATTTTGTAACTGTTTTTTTAACAAAATATATTTTATAGACCATGAAAATGAATTCGTAATATCTTTAGCTTTGCGCAGTGGCGGTACCATAGCCAATGAGGTTCATCCGAGGCGTGGTTATTGCTAGTTGAAAACTAATCCCAATACCCCGCGCTGACGCCCTTCACTGGGCGGCATGCGCAATTTTTGAAGGCTCCTACGGGAGCAATTCTAAAATCAAATCAAAATAGACCGAAAGAGAACAATCTGCCGAGGGAGGTGGGTTGTAGTAGAATGCTATCCTACAAACTGTGTAGGAGTTCCCGTGAGATGGCTTTCCGTATACATGTACATATATATTACAAAAAAAAGTCTTATGCATGACGATGTTCATCAGAAGGGATCCCCTGCAGTCAAGTAATGGTGACAGTTGTTCGCTTCGGCAGGCGTGGCTCAACATTTTACATTCATTGGGACATGATTGCAAGCAAAGAATAATGACCACGTGATCATATCAGCTTGAAGGAATTACAACGAAATTCATTCTTTTGCTGATTGGTCAAACGACGTCACAGTGCTTCGTTGCATAGGAGTACTGCTAGTCAGAAAATCGATGAACGAAGTCCCGGTTTACTATCCAGATGGGGCAGGATAGTAACCCGGGGCTTGGTTTATCGATTTTTCTTTATCGATTTTCTGACCCGCAGTGGGGGCCTATGCTTCGTATTTGAGAGAAATATATGCCATCATCGTTTATTTTATTTTGATGACATGCTATTGAGTATATCCTTCACGAAAAGTTGGGTTACTGAATATCTTTCACTCCTATCTTAATGCTTAGTCTCTTACTTAAAGCTCGGGATTAACGCCGTTCTAGTCATTCGTGTCCGATTATACCTCGTCGCGCGATGGTAATTCTCTAATCAATGGACAAACTCGACACCAAGTGACTTAGGTTTGACGTCGCTTGACGTCGCCTGCATGATGAGTCAGTTCAAAGTTGGGCTGATCCCAGACGTTGACCGCTTTGGGGAACCCAAGAGCATGGTGTGGACAAACCGAGAAACAGTCTGAGGGAACAGCATGAAGATGAGATGGGACATTTTAGGTTGCTTATTTCGCAAGCGGTAGAGGTGTTAAATAGATGCGCCCCTAAAATCTTTACCGTCCCCCTTGATGATTTCGATATCAGTTCTTTGGTCACATGATAATAAACGAACGCTTAGTCTCTGAATATATTAATTTTGATAGTAACAAATAAACCCATTTATAGTCTGTTTGCAGTGTAAACGTACCAATAAATTTCACTTTAGACAAAAATATCAATCAAATACGGTGAAATTAAGATTACGAATCCTCATAATTTTGCCTTGCCAATTGAACATTTTAAGCTCAGAATTTTATTCAACTTAGGATAAAAGTTGTTTAACAGACGATCATAGTTTCAAATCGCTATTATTGGTTTGTAAGGGGGTAAGCGCAGTAGTTGGAACGGTGAAACAAATGCACGTGCGGTACGTGATGAACGTTAACTTAAACCAACCTCACTTGTTCTAGGTGTTTCATTTAATGTGCACACCCCCTTGTAATACAAACCAAGAATAGCGATTTGAAACTATGATCGTTTGTTAAACATCTTTTATCCCAAGTTGAATAAAATTCTCAGATTTAAATGTTCATTTGGCAAGGTATAATTATGAGGATTCGCAAGTTTAATTTCACTTTATTTGATTTACGGGTTTTTTTAAAGTGAAATTCATCGGTACGTTTTCACCGCAAACAGACTATAACTTGAAAAGAAGCCCCAGTGAGATGGGGATTCAGAACCTGAGGGAGTCTAGACGTGCTTCATTTAGGGTTTTAGCATAGAAGGGAGGGTCAGACAGTAGGGAAAATAATGTGGTTCAGGGACTGTGAGACAGACTAACAGGGTAAGTGTGGCACCGCGTATAGTTCGACTTGTTGTTTTCATCGTTTGACCGTAGCTACACGTTTAATGTTATCCCAATGAAGCAGACGAATTTTTTAGTAATATTCATACTAAGTGGTCGAATCTCGATCAGACAAACCAGTGACTGATATCATGAGCTTCAGGGAGACAATGGCAATAATCAAGAAAGTCGTGTATCCTGATTGCCCTCCGCCCCGTGGTAACCGTGGACCTCGTAGACATGAATACGAAAGTACATTTATATCATTTATGACAGTTTCTTAACAACCGAACTTTGCTGAGAAACGTGATAGTTTGTTATTAACGAAATGTGTTCTTGATTGTTGTAATGTAAAATATGCATGTTGTCCATTAATAATCTCTATAACTGGGGACCGCCTCCGTGGTGTAGTGGTTAGAGCGTCCGCCCGGAGAGCGGAAGGTCGCGGGTTCGATCCCCGACCGCGTAATACCAAAAGACGATAAAATATGGTACTTGTTGGTCCCTGCCTGGCGTTCGGCATTAATCAAGGACTGGTCGGCTCGGAGTCAGTATAATGTGTCTGAGTGGGATATTCATACTTCACTGCGGCATGGTATCTCAGTGGGCTAGCTATTAAACCAGTTTAAGTCTGGGCTAGTACAAGCAGCCGCACATACACATACAGACGCACGCACGTCGTCATATGAGCGAAATATTCTCAAGCACGACGTAAAACCCAATTTCACCTCACCTCACCTCTATAACTGGGGCGGTGGGGTAGCCAACTGCTTAAAGCGTTCGCACGTCACGCCAAATTCCCCACATTGGTACATTGTGTGAAGCCCATTTCTGGTGTCCCTCGCTGTGATACTGCTGGTATATGGCTAAAGGCGGCGTAAAACCCCACTCACTCACTCACTCTAAATAACTGCTCTCACTTCCTCATGTTTCTCTCTGACGGTGATGTACGTGTTGCCCCGCACGTTGACGTCTCTGTTTACAATCAGGTACTGTGTACACGCCAGTCGCTCAGTAGACGCGCTGACGCCATGTGATGCACCGTCTAAGCGGAACCCTGTTTCTCTGGAGATATATCATCCGATTATATCGGGTGACGTTTTACACCGACCCGGTTCAAGACGGACACGCGTAAAGCGACTGGTTTTGTTAGCTGTAGTCCACATGCCATTTAACATTATTAAACGCCCTGCTTTCTGTATAATGTACACATGAAGCCAGCCGTTATACAGGAAATTAACTGTCTGTGAAAAGAAACTGTGGGTGCAATCGCGTTCAACAGGATTCCAGTTAGTTATGTCACGGTGTGTCAGTCAAATGGGGGACGGAAGTAATGCACTTTTGGACGTTTACCAGTTTCATTAATGGATGGGTATGACCTACCAAATCTAGAAACATAATCGGGATTCGAATCCACAACTCTATTTTTCAGTCGAGCCCAAGGGATGCAACTCTGCACACCTTTTCCACTAAATGGGATGTATACACACTTGTAGACTAAGGCTTAGTCTCTGAATATATATAATTTTGATAGTAACAAACAAGCCCATTTATATTGAAAAGGAGCCCTAGCCTGAACCTGGGGAAATCTAGACTTGCTTCGTTTAGGGCTTTAGCACTACAGGGAAGGCTAGGCTGTAGGGAAAATAATGTGGTTGAGGGACTGTGAGACAGACTAACACACTTGTTTCATGGTTGGTTTAACAAACAAGAAAGTTTATTCTTTAGTTATGTATTTGTTGTGTGATACTTGTGTTTTTTTACCTTTAATGTTTGTTATTTTATCCAAATATTTTATTTATTGTATACTATCTTTTGCCCAGCAGCTACATATTGTTTCAGTGTGAAATACATGACATATAGTATTTTTATTTGTCATAGTAAGATGCTGACGTTTGCCCATGTATTTTGGACAAACATTGATGAAGAAAGTGCCCATCCTTTCAAAGACAGTGTAAACTTCAAGGACTGGAAACCTTTCTGACTATATTATAGACAGAAACTGTTATAGGTTAGGTTATCAAAATTGAGGCATTTTTGTAAATGCAACACGTTTTATGTGTCAAACGGATGAACATTTATTCATGTGGAAAGGAACATCTACATGTCTTACTTCAAAAACTGGAGTCCATTAAATTCAGTGTGAAGAGGCCTCAAACATATGAAAAGACAGGAAAATATCAGTTTAAATATACTTACATGGAAAACTTAAATGCCAACTTTGTACCAACTTAAATGAGTTACGGAGTATGTATGTTTAAGTTACTTGTCAGCAAAAGAACGACGAGGGACATCGGCAAGATGATTCACACACTGTTCCAATTTCGACGTGACGTACGAACGCTTTCACTGGTACATTTTACCCCATCCCTAACGAAATAAAATAAATCACACGAGTTTGTTATATTTGAATGCATGATTTATTGATTTCAATATTCGGGAAATCTGATACAGGAAATATATAGCCCTGAAAGTCATGTACAGGGAAGAGATAAATACCGCATACATGTGGTAAACAATCACTTATTGCACATAGGTCTAATGGTGTTCTAATTAAGGCATCTGTACATTTGGAAGTGAAGCGGTTTATCTGAGGTGACGGAATACCACAGTTACTGTGATCGTTGTAAAATGAACACTCAGTTATCAACAGAAGCAAATGCACGGCGTTTTGTAATATCGCCTCATATACACTTCTTGTAGGCTATATGACATCATATCACCCGTATAAGTCCACAAACAATGCTGTTGTCGTGTGTATTAACAGTGTATGTAAATGTGTATTTCACATTGATTCCGTTAGCGGAAGAAATATGGCACATCAGTTTTATCAAGATTATGACTATCTACCATGTTCTTGTCACTGTGAAGTCTCTAGCTCTCGTCAAATCATCGAACAACTCGTTCTCGTCAAACTATAGAGTGTCTAGTTCTTCAACCAATCATGAACAATTCGACAGACTATTACACAGTTCCTGTCCAATCGTCAAGCAAATTCAGCTCCTACTATCGAGCATCTAGCCTTCGACCAATCACAGAGCGTCTGGTGCACTTCCAATCCAAGAGTGTATGTAGATCCTTGTCCAGTTATCACGCATCTTGCTTTCGTTCAATCAAATATCCCATACATTTCAGTCAAGTAACAAAACTTGGACACCGATACATCTCAGCTATAGGTAATGGAAAACGAATATAATGTTACGAATTATTATTCCACCAAACCTATATTTCTTGAAACCCATAACGCGCCGATCGGCAAATTGATGCCTTCGTTACCCCACAGTGCTAAGAAAAATAGGAAAAATTCACGTAGTTGTGTAACATGGTTACGTTAAAAGGTACTGATACATCCCATTTAAACTATTACGCTGATTTTATATAATGACGATGCAGGTGGTTACGACTGGTGGTGTATAACACGCTAAAATCCCGACAACAGATAACACACGGATCCAGGAATGGGATGGGCGGATCCAGGAATTTTTAAAGGAGGGGGTTCTGGATCCGCCACTGACACACACATAACCCCCCCAGCACTACCCCGTATTAGAACGTTGTTAAAAACATATGTCTATCGCATATGGCACCTTGGTTAATGCCCGTTATCTCCCTCCATTAGATAACAGTAGCGGTATATGTTTGATACTATTCTCCTATCAACTTGTTACAAGGCATCGTGTAATGTACCCGACAGGCGCTGAAGTACACAACATTCCATGCATTCGTAGGGAGTCGAACAAGGACGCTGGTACTGATACAGCAGCTGGAGATTGAAATGGACACTTGTTTCACGATGGAGCCCAGCCAGACGAGCTTCCCAACCACATGCTGATTCTCTGAGTTGTAGAGAGATCACTTACAGTGACATAACAACCCATGGCGAATATATCCATCAGAGCTAGCTGCCTAGTCGAAGTTGCATATTCGTATTGAGGACCAGTGGGGGGTAAAGTCTGCGTTTTGTCCTGTGGAAAGTTATATCATATGAAAGTCCAGACATGCAAGCATCTGTTGGGTTGCGATCACATTAGTTATTGTTCCTCGAAAACAACTCTTTGTTGTCACTGTTCGTCAAACCAATTCTTTACTCCCGCGTCGCCTCGCCAACGCTGCGAGATCTCGCGATGTTCTCATTGAACATGTCCGAGGTCTAAAAGTGTCATCTTCCTCCTCGCCCTCGTCAACGTCGTTTAACAACGTCACACTTGACGACGGACGCACCACGAAGTTATCCAGCAGATAATTGTCCATGTCGTGGAAATGTACGTGATGTTTGGACTTGTGTTGACTTGAGGACTGTTCTTCTGGCTTGGGCCTCTGGAGGGAATGGATGGTGTCTTGTATATTAAAAAAACTGTCTCTTTAGCAGGATGTCGTGTTGGCGAAGTAGAATCTGTAACAAAGGACATGATATAAAAGAGAATGGCTTGTGTCATTCACAACGGAGGGAATACTGAATTAATGCATTATTATATATTATTGTTCTCGGTATGTGTTGTGAAGCCTATTTCTGGTGTTCCCCGCCGTGATATTGCTGGAACATTGCTAAAAGCGGCGTAAAACTAAAACTCACACACTCACTCACTCGACATGTGTACTAACGGTATGTACCCCAGGGTTGTTTCTGTACACAGAAATGTACCCTAACCAAAATCGGATTACACAACGGTACCGCTAAACAGGTTCCTTAAGTCTGAACACAGATTTTCTTTCTGAACACAGATTTTCTTTCTGAACACAGATTTTCTTTCTGGCTTGGATCGGTCGTGCTGCTGTGCGACATGCATTCCAGTGTGCTACATGAAACTGGGCAAACACAGAAGATACGCACGGTATTGTCAAGCGTGCTGTCGTCATCAGGCAAACCACAGGAACCATTTCGGATTCAGTTTGAGGGATATGGACTCTTTTAGTGTACCGGCTACTGCTCTGTATTCTGATTTTTAGTAGGGCACCTTTTAGACCAACGCTTAGTCTCTGAATATATATAATATTGACTGTAAAAAATAAACCCATTTAAATTGAAAAGGGGCCCCAGGGAGACCAGAGATTCAGAACCTGAAGAAGTTATAGAACACCCGATTTCTTTTTAATTCTGTTTAATCTTTCATGTGATGCTAGACTACGTATAGTCATTACAAAATCAGTAAAAATATATGAACTACCGTATTTCCCCAAATAAGCGCCGGGTATCTCTAATAAGTGCCGGGCTTTTAAACTGAATCAGGGATCTTGTGATCATTCATTGCTTGTTTTGATATTTGTAGATAACTCCTCTACTCTGAATAAAACGTTGCATACTTATAGTACAGGTTGTTCGTTTTGAAAATTGGACATAATCTCGCCACATTAGAACTCAAGTTAACATAATCCCTATTAGAGGAAATACTATAACTTAGAAACTGATAACAATATATTCAAATGAACTTCTGATTTTGTAAAGCGGCTTTTTAATATGCAAAGATTCGCCATGACAATTAACCTTGTCAATCGGAACTTTACTTGTAGGCTTCCTTCCAAATTGTCAAAACAATATTAATATCATCCTTCCTCCCATGCCGTGACGTACTAATATTGTCCAAAGCGGCTTAATACTCAATCACAAAAACACTTTATCACAAAAACAAACTTCGTTTACCAGCTCCTGCTTGACCCACAGCATAGCTTGCATGAGGTCGTCCAGACGATCTCCCAAACCCTCTTTCTGCACCTGCGCCTGACTTATCTTCCGGGTCCTGCCGTTGAGAGTTGTCTCCCTGCACACCTTCTCGTATCGCTTGGGAAGCTTCACCTGCCCAGGGAGGCTGGAATGTCGTATTGGGATGATCCCCGTGTTGATGTCGATATCGTCCATCAGAGTATCCGGGGCCTCGGTCTGTTCCGAGACGAACCTGTGGCAGACGAGGTACTAAATAACTACTAATGTTCAACACTGTCCCAACTGGGGCAACCAGATAGGTCTGCCTAATAGACGCAGGTCATTTATACCAATAAATCGTTGAAATACGAGAACCTGGTGCTGATTGGATAGGTTTCTTAGATAACACTGCATCATAATTTCATACCGTGTTTCAATTAGTTATGAAACTATGCCCGTCTCTCATGCAGACCCTGAAACAGGAATCTTCGATACTTTGTGCTGAATTTTTTTTCGGCCCTATGATTGAGTACACACTAATACTACACAGACCCTTAAACAAAAAGTCCGAAAACTGGTACGTTTACAATACTGCAAGTTTATGAACGTTAGTAAAAACTAGTTAGTTAGGCTGTTGTTAGTTTGTTGTTTAACGCCGCACTCAGCAATATTCCAGCTGTATGGCGGCGGTCTATAAATAATCGAATCTGGACCAGACAATCCAGTGATCAACATCATGAGTATCGACCAACGCAATTGGGATACGATGACATGTGTCTACCAAGTCAGCGAGCCTGACCACCCGCTTCAGTTAGTCGCCTCTTACGACAAGCATGGGTTGCTGAAGATCAATTCTAACTCGGATCTTCATAGTTAGGCGTAGTTAAAACTCACATTGGCAGTATTTAAGCCATATCGTGACAGTTTTCATGCAACCCTTTCTATTATATGTATTAAAAAACAATCTCTGCAATATATAATATCATATTGATGATAAAATTATTCAGTATGGAACTAGACAGAAACATTGTTAAGACGGATGGACTGACTGACTGAGTTGGGTTTTTACGCCGCTTTTAGCAATATTTCAGCAACATCACGGCGGGGGACACCAGAAATGGGCTTCACACATTGTGCCCATGTGGGGATTCGAACCCGGGTCTTCGGCGTGACGAGCCAACGCTTTAACCATTAGGCTACCCCACCGCCCCTTAAGACGGATGGACATGCCAGTGGACATATAAATGGATTCTGGATATTCCTCGTTAGATATCTTCAGTAAACAAGAAGAAATTTGTAGCGGACAACCAGTAAACATTAGTAACAAAGGTGTTCATTTACAGCATACGAACCTATTCCGCAACAACAACATCTACTATTCAGAGTGTGGCTTCCCAAGTGTTATGTACTCACAAATAGCGGAACAAAGAGTATCCATGACAACACATCCGGGGCTACAAACCGCGAACGTTGCTGCGTTCATCACGTACGTTTCCGTAGTGACGTCAACACGCCCCCACCCACTTTGACATGTGCTCTCCGCTCGTATCTGGGTTTACTGATCTCGTATACAGATCTCCTAAAGTAATAAGTCCTTTTTTCGAGAGTATTACTGACATTGGTGTCTTCAGATAATTGTGTGAGTTAACGTTTTTCACAACATTCTGTGCTTCTCTCAGTGAGTAAGTGAGTTTAGTTTTACGCCGCCCGCAGCAATATTCCAGCTATATGGCGGCGGTCTGTAAATAATCGAGTCTGGACCAGACGATCTAGTGATCAACACCATGAGCATCGATCTGCGCAATTGGGAACCGATGACATGTGTCATCCAAGTCAGCAAGCCCGACCACCCGATCCCGTTAGTCGCCTGTTACAAAAAGTATGGGTTACTGAAGACCAGTTCTAACCCGGATCTTCACGGATATGTTCTCTGAAACAATTTATATATTTTTTAAATGTCAGGCCTTCGGTGAAAGTGTAAAGTTAAAATAATGATTGCTGCCTTCCGTTATCAAGTGAACTAAAATTAATCTCCGATGTCTTCAAACGTAAATACATGTATAGCGTTAGGTCGTATCCAGGTGGCAGATCGCGACCCGGTTCTGAACAAGTTATGCCCGACCAACGTGGCTGTCGTAGTTCACAATTTACGAACGTCGTATACACAAGAACTGCGTCTGTTTGTCAACTGAACTTTGTCAGATTAGCCCCTGTGATGTTAGCGATGTCCTCCCATGTCTGAAACAATACTAGCGATCTTTACATGTTGGGTGCACTTCGTTGCGAATCGAACCCAGGATTACCACAAAGGTAAGCAGCAATTCTAGGCAATTTTCCCGCACATCGTTAAAAACTTTAGACGTAACGTAACTTTAGATTAGCTATAAAATATATATACTTGCTCCGTGATGTTTCTTTAACACAGTGAAAAAATACTCTTATATAAAAAGCCAACTAACACCAGCTATAAGAACATGACCTTGCTCGCTTTTTGTCTACTGCTGGAAAATGGACCAGCGCACCATGCACTGTTTTACATAGGGTTGTACATGGCCTCAGATGATGACTAATGCTGCAAGCTCTCTAGACTAAGGCTTAGTCTCTGAATATATATAATTTTGATAGTAACAAACAAGCCCATTTAAATTGAAAAGGAGCCCTAGGGAGACCAGAGATTCAGAACCTGGGGAAATCTAGACTTGCTTCGATTAGGGCTTTAGCACTACAGGGAAGGCTAGGCTGTAGGGAAAATAATGTGGTTCATGGACTGTGAGACAGACTACAAGCTCTCCTACACTCACAGTTATATAAAGCCTGGACTCTTTGTACAAAGAATGTAAAGTAATAGACCTCTATTTATGCGAATGAATATGTAAGTCTTCAATCAAAAAAGATATCCCCTTGCGCATTAATCCGCTCCATTGCATAAGAGTGTTCAAGGGCTTGGGAAAGGCGCGTTGTGGGTCATGGTTGGCGGTCTGGGTCACGTGATAATAAATCATCTGGTGCGATTCCCTGTCTCTCGTCTTGTACTTAAACTGTGGGCTATTACAATTAAACATATGTCAACACATTATTTATCAAGGAGTGGCAGTAACATTTGGCTGGCAACTGAATACTAGATAATTAACTTTTTCTTTCATTCACAGCTGGAACGAAAATATATTAATGAAGTGTCACACACTGTTTTAATGCTAAGAATCTCTGAATAATCTATGCGTGCTAAAGTTATGAAGTAACATAAATGAGCTTATTATTCCCGGACTCACCTAAATGATGCATCTGTACTATATTCAGCACCATGTCTTTGGAAATGCTGTCAGCAACATGTCTGTTGTTTATGAATGGAAGTGCGAATGTAACTGGATAGCTCCGAATCAGCATCTAACGCTTTAAATAGGACTGCAACCTTTCATGGCTGCTGGAGCTGGATGATAATCGGCTTGGCCGACTGAGTGAGTGAGTGAGATTTCACATCGCTTTGAAATGCATTTCAGTTGAAAGACCCTGTGCCATCTGAGAGGAAATTTGGAATTTTACGTTCAACTATCAGAGCACCGTGAATTGTGACTATCAGTTAACTGTAACACACAGCTACGGTGAGCGTAAAAAAGATCTACCAACTGACCGTGACACAGATGTACCAACTGACCGTGATACAGAACTACCAACCTGACCGTGACAGATCTACCAACTGACCGTCACACAGATCTACCAACTGACCGTGACAGATCTACCAACTGACCGTCACACAGAACTAGCAACTGACCGTGACAGAACTACCAACTGACCGTCACACAGAACTAGCAACTGACCGTTATACAGAACTACCATCTGACCGTGACAGATCTACCAACTGACCGTGACAGAACTACCAACTGACCGTCACACAGAACTAGCAACTGACCGTTATACAGAACTACCAACTGACCGTGATACAGAACTACCAACTGACCGTGATACAGAACTACCAACTGACCGTGAAACTGACCGTGTCAGAACTACCAACTGACCGTGATACAGAACTACCAACTGACCGTGATACTGACCGTGTCAGAACTACCAACTGACCGTGATACAGAACTACCAACTGACCGTGATACTGACCGTGTCAGAACTACCAACTGACCGTGATACAGAACTACCAACTGACCGTGATACAGAACTACCAACTGACCGTGAAACAGAACTACCAACTGACCGTGATACAGAACTACCAACTGACCCGTGTACAGAACTGACCACTACCAACTGACCGTGTCAGAACACCAACTGACCGTGATACTGAACCGTGATACTGAACTACAACTGACCGTGATACAGAACTACCAACTGACCGTGATACAGAACTACCAACTGACCGTGACTGATCAGAACTGACCGTGTCAGAACTACCAACTGACCGTGATACAGAACTACCAACTGACCGTGATACAGAACTACCAACTGACCGTGATACAGAACTACCAACTGACCGTGATACAGAACTACCAACTGACCGTGATACAGAACTACCAACTGACCGTGATACAGAACTACCAACTGACCGTGATACAGAACTACCAACTGACCGCGATACTGACCGTACAGAACTACCAACTGACCGTGAGATAGAACTACCAACTGACCGTGATACAGAACTACCAACTGACCGTGATACTGACCGTGTCAGAACTACCAACTGACCGTGATACAGAACTACCAACTGACCGTGATACAGAACTACCAACTGACCGTGATACTGACCGTGTCAGAACTACCAACTGACCGTGATACAGAACTACCAACTGACCGTCACTAAGAACTACCAACTGACCGTGATAGATCTATTTACTGACCGTGACATAGAACCATGAGTTCACCGTAACACAGAACTACCAGCTGACTGTGACAAAGGAATTTCACTAGCACTGACGTTACAGTTAGGGGTGGCTCAAAGTGTACTGTGTCTTTAAGATGTGTCTTCAGAGGCAAGCGCTTGTGTGATAAAGTCGCGTTGTCAAGTATAATATTCTTGTGGAGTTAACCATGATGACCGACCCCGAACTGCACACACCATGTTTTAAGACTTATTGCGGCTTTATATCCCCTGCTCTTGATGATATCTGTACCACCGCCATGAACATTTCTGACCTCAACCTTCTGGGTCTCAGTCTTGACAGCCGTGTACATCTAACCTCAACAGAAGGGCTCCACGCACGGCAACCCTGTGTGGAGGCATAAGTAACAGGATTCCACTATTTTTGTCAAGGG